AATGTAGTATTGCACATCCGTACAACAGCAAGCACCTTTTGTTAAAAGGGGATTATAATAGAACATAGAACAATAGAGTTGGAAGGGATCTCAGAGATCTCTAGTCCAACCCTCTGCTTGAGCAGGGGACCCAATATTGTTACGGACAAATGCTGAGCACATTGTAAGCCACCCTGAGTCTCCGGAGAAGGGCAGCATATAAATCAAAAAATTTTTTTAAAAAATGGTTGTCTTTTTGAAAGCCTTCGGTGATGGAGCACCCACTATTTCTGAAGGCAAGCAATTCCATTGGTTGATTGCTCTCACTGTTAGGAAATTTCTCCTTAGTTCTAGGTTGCTTCTCATCTTGATTAGTTCCCAACCATTGTTTCTTGTCTTGTCTTTTGGTACTGTTGGAAGAAATATCCATTTGGTTCAGTTCCAAGCTGGGAGAAAGAAGCTGGAAACAATATAGAAGCTGATTGGAAAGTTGATTTATTGAACAGAACCAAAAAGACACAGTTCTGGGTCAGCTGAACAAATGGCTGAATGAGTGGATGGATCTTTATTGGTTTCTGTGACTTTGAAGTTTTAACTGTTCTTGGGTGGTGCAATGAAGGATCTTGTGTTCTGAAAGGGTGTTGGGCAATTCCTATTGTGGCTAATGGCTTTCGTCCTGTGTTAGATCTTGGGTGAGAGGCTGCTTTCTAATCGTATCATTCTGCCTTTGTTAGCTGTGCTGCAAGCAGTTTCAAAATATCCTGTCTTGAATGGATTTCTGCCTGCAGTATTTGCTTTGCTTATGAATAGAGCTATCTAGAGACTTGTCTTCCTCTTTCAATAAGCTCTTTATCTCTTAAGTGCTGGCATCTGCTGTAGGCTATTAAGAAAGACTTAGGGGTTACATGTTTCTCCATTTCTCCTTTAGGGAAATATAATATTCTGCCTTTTTAATATTTCCCAAAATATTTCATTCTTCTGTGGGGGGGGCTTCCCATAGTACTTTGAAATAGTTTCACCCCCTCATCTTTGTAGGAGCCCCTCAAATACCAGAACAGTGCTATCATGTCCCCCCCACCCCAGTCCTTCTTTTCATTAGGCTAGACAATTCCTGCAAACGTTCTTCATATGTTTTAGCCTCCAGCCCCTAATCATTTTTGTTGCTTTTCTCTGCACTTTTTCCAGGGTCTCTAACATCTTTTTTGTATTGTTATGATTAGAACTGGATGCAGTATTCTAAGTGTGATCTTGCTAAGGCTTTGTAAAGCAGTATTAGAACTTCACATTATCTTGATTCTATCCCTCCATTAATGCAGCCTAGGATTGCATTGGCTTTTTTGGCTGCTGCTGCACACTATTGGCTCATATTTAAATGATTGTCCACTAGGAGTCCAAGATCTCTCTCACATTTACTGGCATTAAGCCAAGTGTCGCCTAGTCCAGTGGTCCCCAACCCCCGGTCCGCGGACCGGTGCCGGGCCGTGGAGTACCTGGCACCGGGCCGCACAGCGGCCGGGGGACATGAACGCTGCAGCGCACGGCCCAGGAGCCTTTGCGCTGCAGCGTTCATGTCCCCCGGCCGCTTTTGCGCACTGGGCCGTGCGCAAAAGCTCCTGGGCCGTGCCCCCACCCCTGCGCGCACTCAGCGGGCCGCGGCGATAAAAAGGTTGGGGACCACTGGCCTAGTCTATAGAGTTGTTTTTTTGACTTAAGTGTAAAACCTTACTTTTATCTACGTTGAATGTCATTTTGTTAGATTGGGCCCAATGTTCAATCTGACAAGATCTTTTTGGATCTGGAGCTTGTTTTCTGGAGTGTTGGCCATTCCTGCCAGCTTAGTGTCATCTGCAAATTTGATGAATTCTGTTGAGGACTAAACATTGAATACGAATTGTCAACCAGCTACATAATAATCTCAGCTACACATCCTTAGGAATCCACATTGAAATTTTCCTAACAGAGGGCTGTCTATCCTATGTCAAGTAACAAATTGAAACCTTTTTTTCTAAAGTTCATTTAGTATCTGTCCTCCTATAACTTAAAGGCACTATTTTGTGTCTTGCAGTCTGGGACAATGGAGAGTAACCTTTATCCTTCTGTGAATATAAGGTCCTGATAATCTATGGAAGAATAAATTACCTTCAGGTATTTTCAGAATAGTAACATATCTCCAGGTAAGTCACCTTAACAATTAATATTCCCGAATCATTTAATCTCCCTTTACAGGAATTCTTCCTAAGGTGTAAAACTTGAACTGGACATACCTGAGATGGTTCTGATAAACTGTTTTGCCCCAGCAATAAATATCCTTGTCCACCTGGACAGGCCAAACAAACTGCAAAATGATTGAATCCTAAACAAACTAAAAAAGGTCTTGAAAGATAATCTATGCATGCCTGTGGTAAAAGAGCAACACAGTACTTGTGTTTTACAGGTCTGACTGGTACGAAACAAGGAAATAACTTCATGACCTTTGACCTCTGTTGGAGTAAACGAAGGCATAGGGGCTGTGGAAACACCAACGTATTGAATTACAAAATGTGCTTCCTTTGATTTGGAAACTACCTCTTTTGCCTTTTTTTTGTAGAAACACTATTTTATTGACTCAGATGCAGTTTGAAAGCAACTTTTCCAAGAACTTTTTCACAGAGGCAGATATCCCCCTTCTTAACTCACTTTATTGGAATGCTATTTCCTAAATGAAGACTTTTGCATTGTCTATCCAATTTTAATAAATTATCCTCTAGTCCAATGCTTCTCAACCTTTACTTCACCACTGACCCCGTTTAAGTATCTTTTGTGGACCTTGGCCACAGACCACCAAGATTTAACTCAAGATTTAAATCATAACATTTCTTCAAGCTTTCGTGGACCAGGATTGAGAAAAACTGCTCTACCCTATTAAAACCAATCTGAGTTTTTGATTTATTTGGCTGATTCACTCAGATTACATAACCAGCCAATTTTATAAGCATTTTCCCACTTCTTCACCCAAGCCCTTTAATAAAAATGTTTCAAGTATAGGACTCAGGACTGAATATTGTGGCACGCCATTTAATACTTCATTCCAAAAATCCAAGTGAGTATTCTTTCAGTTTGTCTCATGTGCACATAACAGAAATGTCACCCAGCCCATATATTTTGCTAATCAAGTTTATTAGCTTGCTAATCAGAATGTCATGGCTACAGTATTTCCACAATTGATTAAGGAAGCTATTTAGTCATATAATGAGATCAGGTTAATGTGAACATACATTTTCTTGACGAATTTAGAGTTTGTTTAATACTAGTTTATTAAATAAATTTCAATTGGATAAGCTTGCATCGAAACTAAACCTGTGATTTAACACATAGATATTTCACAGGCAGACCAATATATTATATACTGCTGTATATACGGGTAAGGATTACCTTGACCTTAAGTCAAGGATCCTTGACTTACAACAGTTCACTTAGTGACTGTTTGAAGTTACAACGTGTTGTGGTCTGCCAGCAGCCTGCGGAGCTGGCAGCGAAGTCAGACAGCGATGAGGCTGAGGAAGAACATGGGCATGGAGAAGAACATGGAGGCTGGGGAAGGCCCAGATGAGGGCTCTGCGTCAGAGGCAGAAATGGGGCCAGGACCATCGGGGAGTGAGGTGCGGACTCCAGAGCCTCCAGAGACTGATAGGAGTGAGGCAGAGAAACAGGAGGAGCCTGTTCCTAATGCATGCGTGAGAAGAGCTGCCAGAAGGCAAGAGCAGCTCAAGCAAAGAGGACAACTCAGGAGTAGGGCCAAGAGATGATTGGCCCCTCCCATAAGGCTTAAAACAGACCAGCAACGGCGTTTGGGCTGTGCCGGAAAACAACGTTGGTAGCTTCGTCTTCTACTTTGTCTACGTCTTGTATTTATTTTTGTATCTGTGACTTCTGAACGTTTGCCAAGAAAGGCCTTTGACAGTTTGCCTAATTGGACCAAGGTTTGTGATAGGACTGAGGAATTTGTGTTGGAAGGAATTTGCTTTAATTTAGTTGAACGACGCTGGGAATGAAGTAATTCTCAGCTGTTCGAATAAAGTTTGTTTTTTCATTGACTGATTTTCCTACTAAATTGGGCCTGGGTCACAACACAATGGCACTAAAAAAGTGACATGACTATTTTTCACACTTATGACAGTTGCAGCATCCCCATGGTCACATGATTTACATTTGGATGCTTGACAATCGACTCACATTTCTGATGTTTGCAGTGTCCCAAAGTCACATGATCACTTTTTACAACATTCTGACAAGCAAAGTCAATGGGGATGCCAGATTCACTTAACAACCATGTTACAAATTTAACAACTGCATTCGCTTAACAAATGTGGCAAGAAAAGTTGTAAAATGGGGTAAAACTCACAACACATTTCTCACTTAACAACATAAATTTTGGGCTCAATTGTGGTCATAAGTGGAGGACTACCTGCAGTGTCTGTGGGGGTGCTCACACATGGGGGAATCACATGTGTGCCTGATCCCCCATGAGCTGTTTGATTTTGCCCTGTGTATGGCTGGAGTTACTATTTAAGAAAAGCTTGGATTTGGAAAAATAATGGATCTTAGCTTGGGTATTGTACTTCTCCAGGATGCTGGGTGCAATTCAAGTTTTTTTTTTTTTTATAACTTTGAACGTGATAAATTAAGTATATTTTATGCCTTTAAGAAAAGACATTCTAAAGAATAAAATCTGTTCCACAGGAGCCATGTGAGACAGGGAGGAAATTTTATAATATATATATATATATATATTTTCCATATTCTGATTGAAAAGCTCCCGAATAGCATGGCCAAAGATAAATATAAAACAGAGAAAGGCAAAAGGCCTGCAGCGGTGTACAAATGTACGAGCAAGCCTCTTGTGAGTCTGGAATGACGCTGCGCCGACCCGGAAAGCCTGACGATCCCACAGCCAATGCGGGCAGGCTGGTGTCTCAATTTAAGTGAGGCGTGCGCACGTGGCGGCCTGGTGTTTTCTTGGCAGGCTGCCGTCCTTCAGGTGTTGTTCCAACTCCAGAGGCTTCTGCTCTCCGCCCACCGCCTCGCTCGGGAACTGCAGCGCGCCTCTTCCCAGCCTCCCGAAGGCTCCTCCCGCCCGGTGACTCCGCCGCTGCCACCAGCTTTCACTTTTCCCAGGTGCAAAAGTTTTTTTTTTAAGACGGAGGAGACGGCGGCAGCCCGGTGCGGCGGAGAGCGAGCCGCTGACGGCATGGCGGGAGAGAGGTTCGTCCGCTTCTTCCGAAACAGCCTGATACGGAGGTCGTCTAGGAGAGGTGAGCCTGAGGGGCAGGACCGGGCGAGCTCTCTTCCTCCCACTTGTCCGTCAGTCTGGCGCCAGCCCAGCCTTCGTCTCCTTCCCTTCCTCCCTTCGCTCTTCTCGCTCCTTCTCTGTTGTAGTTCGAACTCGTCGGGAAAGAGCAGCGTGCTCGCCGATCCTGTTAGTGAATTCGCGCCTTGGGGTGCGCCGTCCCTGTAAAAAGTTTTTTTTGGGGGGGGGGGCGACGGAAATAAACATGCCAAGTTTGTGGTGGGTCTACTACCCTTATTCTCCGCCCCCGCCGGTTGGTCAGACGCTGAGCGGTCTCTCTTTCTCCCCCCGTCCCCGTCCCCCCAGTGCTTCCGATAAATTCACAGTAGGAAAGTCCCTTGTGTACTTTCATTTGACGACATCGGAAGGAAAACGTTTGGAATAACCGGGAAAACTGGAAGGAGGAATTTTGGGAACAAGACTGAATGAATGAAGTGAACTGGCAATAAATAAATAAACTGAAGCGGCCAGGGTTGGGTTTTATACCTGCTGGTATAAAGTCTCTGTGATAATTGTTTAGATGGACCTTTAAGGCACAACATGTTGCTTTTGCAGCTAGAGATTAGAGCTGATTCTGAATTTTCAGAAAATAAGAGACAGGATGCAGAAACGAAGGTTATTTTGTGCAGTTTAGTTTCCGCTTAACTAAACTTTAGCTACTGGTTTTTGACTCCGTAGTCAAGATGGAGGGAAAATAACAATGAGTTCTGAGAGACCTTAACAAATAAATTGATTATGCTTTTGGGCAAAGTATTGATCCTAATTCTGATTACTTGTTTGGTTAAAGCAAGATAATTAAGGTTATTCTATTTTATTATACCAGTGTAAAATGTCTTGGCCTCTTTTATCTGTGCTATAATGAACACCTGGCCTTTAAGAATACCTCTGATCTGGCAACTGGCGGATTTTTCCATGTTGAATGGCCATTCAACAAAGTTGCTTGCTGAGAAACTCAAGTTACCATTATTGAAAAGGATTAAGTATAAGTGTATGACTGTATTGAAAAGGATTAAGTATAAGCGTACTGCAGTGTGTATTGGGGAGTCCAGATGGATTCATTCAGCATCAAGGCTGGGATTATTTTATGTCAAGTATGAAATAAACTCAGATATGTAACAACTTTGTATCAGGAACCAGGAAGTGCACATGTGGGGCAGGTTTACAACTCCCTTTTCTGTTCTGTTCTGTTCACAAAGTAAATGTTTCTTGTCTACAATACAATGGCTGGATTAATACAACACTGCAAATTGAATGTAATTTACGTCACAGCCAAAGTCAAACAAAGATTATAGTTCTGTGTACAGATAATCCTTGATTTATGACCACAGTTGGAGCTGGAATTTCCACCATTAAGTGATGTGGTCCTAAAGCAAGATGTCCTGCAGTCCCAGCAGTCTCAGTTGCCGTCATAATTCCTGTTAAGCAGGAAGTGGAGGGAATCCCAGCTAAGGAGCATGGGGTTGCTGCCTTGGGAGAGCCAGCGCAAGTAATGCACAAGTTGGGGGAGGAGTGGTGTGGCCTGAGCTCAGGAAGGCTGGGGAAAGAATACACTGCAGCTCAAGTGCTTCTTGATGCTTTGTGGCTCTGGGACTGCAAAATGCCCCCAAAATGTAACGACAAAGCTCTGCACTGTGCTGTTGACTGGGCTCAGAATGAGGATGGGTTTTGTATGGCACAAAGAGACTTCGTGGTGTGATGTAGATGCAAAAAGCCCCAGTGGCATGATGCACCAGGAAGCCCTGGTGCTGTGTGAAGCCTAGCCTTACCTTGGCCCAGCCAGAGTACCCTCTGCTGCTCTACACTCCAAGGCCTCAGCTGATCTTCACCTTCTTGCTCCACTGCTGATGAGGGGTGCCCAGCTTGGCTTTTTGTGAGGCAGCTGCTGGCCAGGTGAGGCTTTCTTGCCTGCAGTGGTTATCTCCCAAGACCTGGGGGAGTCTGCCTCACGTTGCCAGCAGCTCCCTCGGGAAGGCCATGTATTCCTCATCAGCAGGAAGGAATAAATTGGCAAAGGTCAGCTGGGCAGTGGAGCGCAGAGCAGCAGGGGGCCAAAAGGGCATAGATGAGGAGGAGATAAAGGATTGGGGTGAATGAAAGCACCCCACTTGTAAATTTGGATGGCTGCCAAACTCCAAAATTTTGATCACTTGACCACAGGGGTGCTACCACAGTCATAACTGCAGGTATGGGTCATGGTGGGTTGCTCCCGGTTCTGTCTGGTTTTCTAGATCTGATAGTAAAAGTGGCAGGAGGCTCCGTCCACCCACCCGGATGTCATAAATGACGATCTATGCATGCACATTGCGAACCGGTAGTAAAGGTAAGTAGGACCCACCCCTGGTCATAAGTACCTTAGTTCAGAACTCTCATAACTTCAAATAGTCAGGGAATGAATGGTTGTAAGTCGAGGCTACCTGTAAAGTGTTTGCCCGTTTCCATTTTTCTGAATTGGAACGCTTCTTTACCTCTTAATGTTTTCAGAGTTTTATGTTGGGCTACCGATATGTAAAAGGGGTGTCTCAGAAATAAGTAACAGCAGAGTTGATGGAGAAATAAGTGGTGGATGAAAAACACCCCCCTTTGTGCTAGTTACTAGAAGCAGAAGATAAGATGGTCTTCTGCTCTCTGGTCTTTTTTGCTGCAGAGTGATCACTCCAGGGTAGGGGTCTCCAACCTTGGCAACTTTAAGCCTGGCGGACTTCAACTCCCATCAATTCTGGGAGTTGAAGTCCTCCAGGCTTAAAGTTGCCAAAGTTGGAGATCTCTGCTCCAGGGGATAGGAGAACTGACAACTAAGGAGGCATGCCACTTCTCTACTCTCTCCTCCCACCCCGCTTTCTCCAGTCCTTCAAAGCAAGATAAGCAGAAAAGGAAGGGGGAAACAGACACAGCATTTTGGAATGAGTAAGCTGATGTAATGTTGTTTAGAAGAGGCCTCATGTTGTCATCAGAGAATTCCCCGAATAGAGGTAATTCTAAATAGTCCTTAAAAAGATCCTGATTAAATGTTCATAGTAATATTTCTGAAAAGCAACTGAATTCTTTTTGTTGTTGTTGTTGTTGTTGTTGTTGTTGTTGTTGTTGTGAAGCATTTCATATGAACATGAAGCTGACAATGAAGCATTTGGTTTAGGAAAAAAATGATCAAGGTCTCTGGATCTCAATCTGCCCACATTAATGCTGTTATTAAGAACAACTGTTTATGTTGATACATGAGGAAAGAATCCTTTTTGCTACTCGCGCTTGGAGGAACACAAGTGTTACTCTTTCCAAGCCACTTATCCATCCAGATGGAAGGGTATCAAGCACAGAAACTCACTAAGGGTAGTTTGCTTTCCGTAAGAATCCTGGATGGGCATCCCTAGCCAGTCAAGATTGTCAATTTTTACAGAAATAGTTGTTATTTGCTATTACAGTCAGAGAACTAAAAGACAATATTTTACCCAAACAATCTGATGGGAATGTGTGTATGGTTAGGGTGTTATTTAGTTTGTCAGCTGGAGCATCATTAGAGACATAAATATAAATGCAATCTTCAAAATGGGTGGTGCGCTTACCAGAGGCAACAGTTTCCTGCAAGTCATTAGTCCACAGGAGTCTGTTGTCCTCATTAGGGAGAGGAGACTCTGGAATTTCATCTGATGGATGGGATAGCACTTCAAAACTGCTCACAGGATTCCAAGAAACCAAGTCTTCAGTGGAAACCTTTGAAGTGAGGAGCCCATTAATCTCTGCGTGTGTGTGTCTGCATATGTGTGTTTTGCAGCCTTTGCTGATTTGCAAAATTCCAGGGCTGGTTCTACATCTTGTTTTTTTTTTATCTACAGCACAAAAGGAGGAAACATTAACAAAAATGTATAAAAAAGAGCCTACAGGTGTTTTAGTCCAGAAATCTCTTGGACATGGATGTGTCTTTTGCTCTCCGATACCATGGAATGAATACCCAGGAGGATTTGAGAATTAGTACTAAAGTAGCCATCAACCCCCCACTCCGTTTTCTCCCCTTCTTCCCCAGCCAGTCATGGTAAAAAAAATTTTGGATGTAGATCTGGGGGCAGTGGCAATTCTCTTCTGCTTTATCTTTAAATTAACTGAAAAAGAAGGTTGCCCAATAGTGACAAAGAAGACGGTATTCATATTTGGTGCCACTTTTGCAGATTTCAGTTGTGCAATTCAAGAAGGAACTTTGCAAGCCCTCTTCATAACATTTTAGGTCTATTTTCTTGTGAAATAAGGTTATATATCCTGATCTTGACTATAGGAATATGAGTCTTCAGATCACATTTTTTCTGATTCCCCCCCCTCCAATTTTTAAACTTATTTTTCAAAATAATAGAAGTTTCAAATAAATCATAGAGTATATTAGAAAATCTACATCCCTTTTAAGATATTACACTACAATAATTTTATATTTATGCATACCTTTTCTTTTGGAATACACTTTTTCTAAATAATTTTTACATAATATTAGGATTTTTCCAGGTTAAAGACACTGTCTATATCTTAAAAAGTATAAACATTTTTAGAGGTGCAGTCTCCAAAATAGGTTTTATAAGTCCCTAACTAAGCTTGACTTTAATTTTATAAACTACAAATTATAATTTAGCATACCAATGGAAATATACTGCTCAAAAAAATCAAATTTTTTTGATAAAAAAGCATATAAATCAAATTTAAAAAATAAAATAAAAAAATAAAGGAAACACAAGCAGAAGACATCCGAGATCTGAATGAATGAAATAGCCTTATTAAATACTTTTTTCTTTATATACAGTAGTTTATACACTGCTCAAACAACTAAAGGGAACACAAAACTACTGTATGTAACGAACAAAGTATTTAATAAGGCTATTTCATTCATTCAGATCTCGGATGTCTTCTGCTTGTGTTCCCTTTATTTTTTTGAGCAGTGTATATTGGAAGTAGCATTCCAAGATATTTTATGTCTATACCCTGTTTCCCCCAAAATAAGACATCCCCTGATAATAAGCCCAATCGGGCTTTTGAGCACATGGCAATAAGGCCAAGCGCTTATTTCAGGGTTCAAAAAAATATAAGACAGGGTCTTATTTTCAGGAAAACATGGTAGTACAAATCATAAAGCAAGGCTTGTTTTAAACTCATTCTATCTTGAGTGCAATTTTGACCAACAGAACTGTAGTCTTTTAAAAATTTATTGTAAATTCTGCTCCTTCCTTCCTCTTATTTTGGTATTTCCTCACTAACCAAAAGGAAATATTTGGTTGGTTTCGATAGCATCAATCAGTGTGGGCAATTTATGGGGCTATGCTGTCAATATTTAAATTATTCTATAGTTCCAATTGGAGGGTCTTCAGTGACATTACACAGAATAGAGGAGCAAGCGGGCAACTATATTTTGTTCCTCTATTCAGTTCAAATAATTGAGTCTTACAACCACATTTGGTTCAAATACAGTTTTCAGATGATATTTATATGTTTAATTTATATTTTTCTAATGTCTTGAACAAAATAGCCATTACAGTGTTGTGTGAAATAAACCATGGTATTAAAAGCTATAATATAATTGCTTGGTCTGCACTGAGCATGCCCAATAACCACAGCCAAGGTAGTTAATTAAGGGTAGCTTATAGCTTTAGCATGTTTTTCAAATGCAGCTGATGTACAAGATGTCAAGGGTATTGGGTGCTGACTTGATTGCATGGCAGCTTGGAAATGTGTTCTTTCTTCTCCCATATTTGTTTCTGCTTTGGTAATGACGTTCCTTACTTCTTTATCTATAGAATCGGCTGTCTAAGGCAAACACAGAAGGGATTTTCCTCTACACTCCTTGTATGCTTAAAACTTGTTTTTTTTCCCTTCAGGCAGTTAAATCCACCTATTAGCAAAAGTTACATTGCCTCATGCAGCCTTATGCAGTCATTATCTGTAATTTATTATTTGACTAACTCAGAAGACCTTCTTTGCATAATATATATATATATATATATATATATATATATATATATATATATAAAAATTTTCTTACTTCTTCATAGGGTTTATGTCTTAGGACATAAAGACATTATGTCTTATGTCTGGCTAGAAGAAAAACATATATATATATATATATATATATATATATATATATATATATATATATATATATATATAACATACATACATACATACATACATACATACATACATATTATTTATTTTTTGTTTATTAAACTTTTATGCCACCCATTTCTCACACAAGATGACTCTTCTTCTGTTCTGCTCTTTCTTTCCTTCCTTTCTGATCCATGGATAAAGATTTATAATGATTTTCTGATTCTTACTAGACAGTGATAGATAAATGCAATTAAATGAAGTTGAAAACAACTTTAATGAAAAATAGCAACATCCATTCAAGAAAAGCCTGAAGGAAGCAACAGATTTTTACGTAGTATCTACCTGCCAAGGGGATGTCAGTGAAGGCATTCAAGAAAGCAGGTGTCAGCGTAGAGGTGAACGTAGAATACTCTCGATTCAGAGCAGGTTATTTTGAAGGCAGACAAAAATTGTGAGCAGATGGTTCAGATCATCAAAGCTTTCTTGGGAACATTTTATATAAAGACTGAGGATGTGTGCAGCAACAGATGATAAGGGATCAGAGATGAGGTCACTATTAATGTGCCTGATGGCAATAAATGTTTGCTAGCTTTGCATTGCTAATAAGAGGTTGGGGAAAATATTTATGCACAAGAAGGCAAACCTTGCTTGTTAAGGCTAGGTTCTATAGGTAGCAAATAAGTTCCAAAATGGTGAGGAATGGTTTCAATTTGCTACCTTTAGAAGCATTTATTTCAAGACAGATAATTCACTTTCCTTGAGGATAAGGATAAGGATAATTTTATTTCTATACCGCCCGTCTCCCAAAGGACTCGAGGCAGTGTACAGCCAGGTAAAAACACAATACAAATATCACAATTTAAATTTAAAAAATTATTAAAAGTATTACATTTAAGGCCAGAATGTCTGTCTGATCTTAGCCAAGATTTTTACATTTTACATTTCTCAAACTATAAGTGATAATGTTGCTGTTGTTTTGCATTACAGGTGACTCCCAGGATGCAAATCCTACAGAAAGCAAATCTGGTGCTGATGTAAGGCTGAAACAAAGAAGCAGTTTTTCTTATTCAGCAGGACACCCATTTTTTGAATACCTGGTTGTGGTCTCACTTAAAAAGGACACAAAGGGAAATTATGAGCCCAAGATTACCTATCAATTTCCAAAGGTAAGGAATTAAACATAATGATTTCATCATGTGTAGAAATTAGAACATTGTGAGGAGCCCCTTTCAGATATTTCTCAGAGATAAATATGTGGCAAAACCTGGAGCAACAACCATAGCTGGCTGTGTACCAATTTCATTTCATCCAGTGTTCTCTCTCCACTCCCTTTTAACATCTATATGAAGCTTCTGGGTGAGTTTATCCATCACCATGGGATAAGATATCATGAGTATGTGGATGACACTCAGTGGCACATCTCAGTAAGTGATGCTGTCCACCCTTTTGCAGTGCTTTGGAGTTTACCAATGAGTTGAAGGAGATGAAATGGTTGAAGAGATGCCTAGGGCAGTGCTGAAGGACGACATGGGGTAAATCCAAATTAGCACCTGCTATTAAAGCCTACCTCAAGGCATTAAGGGAGAATGATTGATTGATGTCAGAGCTTCTAGATAGATAAAATCAAGAAGCCTTTTCCAGGACAACTTATAGCAGACGTAGACAGGGAAGAAGGCACCAAGATTGCAATGGCCAGACAGTTTGTCTTATTTGAGACTACATGAAATATATCCCCTAACAAAAAAAGTGCATAGAGATCTGCTAAAGCTTAGGTTGTGTTGGTCTAATTGTGTGTTTCTCCAAAGTAATCCAAAGTAATTAGAATTTGTGTCCTTTATTTTCTATTTTTGATCATCTGGGCCTCATCATCGTTTCTTTTGCTTTGGCTTGGCTTGGCTTCATATGGTTCCCTTTCATAGTGCAGCAGTTTCATTTTATTTGACTATATATTTTCATCACACAGCCTATGTAGCAAGGGGAAGTATATGATTGATTCTGGCTGATAAATGACACAAGCCACCAAAACCACCAGATGTGAATACAAGACGCTTAAGATGCAATCTGCTCTTCCACTGCTCTTTTTTTTCCTGAGCAGGTGCTCTTAAACTCCTTACTATGGGTTTGACCTTGCTCCTAAGACATTCTTTGGAGGCATTGAATACAACATATCTTACTTAGATTAATAATCAACTTAGAAGCCTTTTCCTATTATTGAGCTGAAATGCATCTTACCCACCTTTCAACTGGCATAAAGTATAACATGATGACACTTAGTTTTTCCATTGCTGAACCTGCCCTGCTTTTGTTTCTTTTCACATTGCTGCAGTCATCTGATTTCTTTTCAAAGTAAGGAGTGACAAAGTCTAATGGATTTTATATATCTTAAGGCTGTCCTTGGACAAAGTTGGAGTAATAAGGAAAATAAACTAATGCCGATTTACAACTGTGTCAATCAAGGGCTGAGGTAAAACACAATAATGGCAATATTTAGGGGGCCCTGAAAAAGATATTGCTAGACATCTTTGTGCTGTGGTTAGCTGCAGATGGGGAAATCCCTAGATCTGTTTACATTCTGATGAGGAGAAGGTTTCTTTAAATGAAGTTCTGCTTCATGATTGTGTGTGCATAGAAGAAAAAATATGTAGGAGCAAGTCTAAACTCCTGCAAGTTTTTACTGTTTTTTTTCCCTTTTTAAAATCCTGCTTAGTGTTGAGCAACAACCAGATTGTATGTGTATGGGGTCTAGGAAGCTGTATACAGAATCAGACTGTCAAAACTGTTTATTCTGACTAGAAGCAGCTTTCAGATCTTTCCTGATTACCTTCTATGTCAGAGGCCCACTGTCTGAGCATCAGGATTACATGTAGTCCCCAGAAGGTCATTTGGAAGTGACCTTCATGAGCTTCCAAACACTAAAACCAAATTGTAATTTTTAACATGACAGAAGGGGAAAGTTATTAAATATACAGCTATAAAATATCACATTAGTGTATTTGATTAATGTTTGATATTTATTGGAAATGCCAGAGTGTAAATTGGATCTTTTGCCCACAAAACATCTACTTTACTACTGAGTAAGGAGTCTAAAAATACAATACCAATTTTTGTTTCTTCTTAGAGACAATCATATTTTTTTAAAGACAGACCAGTATTCATTATATGGAGATTAAAAGTATTTTCTTGTTGAACCCTGCATTTGGAAAAGAAGTTGTAAAAACTATTTGGCTACATGTTGCTAATAATGATTATTGAATGTCACTTGAGAATGTAAAAAGTGGTTTATGAATATTATCTTAGTAATTTTACAAGCATACTAATCATTTTGAGAATAATTCTAGTATGTACAATATATATAATCATCTGTTTAAAAGAACTGACAGTTTTGTTTCTGTGATTAGTCCTGACAAAAGTGGATGACCTTGAGCCTTATTTCAAGTCTCCAGAAATAGTTATATATTAGTACACATACCATACACAATTAAATACAAGTCTGTAAGTAAGTGATGTTAGCGGACATTTCTTTACTTGTCGTTTTTCACTTTTGCATCTCTAATAACCCAGACATTGGTTTTTTTTGATTAAGTCATAAGGAAACTACTAGTCTGGTATAGTGGTTAAGGCATGAAACTGGGAGACTGAATTCTAGTTCTGCCTTAGACACAAAGCCAGTTGGGTCACCTTCGGCCAGTTACTTCCTCTCAGCCCTAGAAAACAGGTAATGGCAAACCATTTCCAAAATCTTGCCAAAACTACAGGGACTTGTCCAGGCACTTGTCAGGAGTGAACACTGAGTCAAAAGTACAAATGCAAAAAAGTTTCTCTCACAACTTTATTCTATCTACTTTCTGCTTTGTGTTTCAGCGTGAGAATCTACTGAGGGGACAGCGTGAAGAAGAGGAAAGGTTGCTTCAGGCCATTCCCTTGTTCTGCTTCCCAGATGGTAATGAATGGGCACCCCTCAAGGAGTATAAGAGGTAACTGTCCTGGGATAGTATACAGCAAGATTGTAGAACTGTCTTACAAGAGACCAAGTATACCCTAATGAATGCCATGAAAACAAAAGCAAACAAAAACTAAGTTCACATTTTCCTCATTTCTATATAACAATCAGTCCAGAATTATCGTACCATTATTCCACTCAGTGGAATAAATGTATGATACTTGAGTAAATAAATGGTACTTGTTTAAATCGGTATGTACTTTGGACCGCTTCCCTCCCTTTTTTAGGAAGAATTATTATTCTTGAGTTTTCCAGTACAGCTTGTTTGAGAAAATTTACCTGACAGGTTATTCAGCAAGCAAATAGGGCAACTTTCCCACTCTTGTTTTTGAAGATCTTCAGCTAAATGCTAATTTGGTGGCTTCCTGTATGTAGTAAATAGAGTATTCTAAATCCCCGAGTACAAATGGCACTTTGGAGGAGAAAAAGGTTGCAATCTTATGTTCAGGAGCAGCACTTTAGATGATCTGCAACCCCCCAAAGATGCCAACTGAGGAGGAAATAGGCTGTTTTAATGGAATTTTATTTTAAGTAGGCATATTCATATTGTTTTGTTTCAAGGGAGCATTTTAAAATGAATTCTATTCAGTTTGGTGATTAGATGGGTTTTGGTGCTGTTTTGTAAATAGATGGTTTTTCATGCTTTTTTGTACACTGCTCTGGGCACCACAAGGGGAATTAGAATTGGTAATTATAATAAGTTAATGTTCCTAGAGATTTCTTTTTCTGACCTTTAACTATACATGGTTGGGCAATCTCCTGACTCTGTGAATAGGCTTATCAATCCTTACAATCAATCAGAATGTCCTTCTTGGAAAATTTTGGTATGGTATGGTGATTTTGGATTTCAAAACAGATTTTCTTTTTTTATTTCAATAGTCCTGGCTAAAATAATTTTTTTTAAAAAATTGATTTATATGCCGCCCTTCTCCGGAGACTCAGGGCGGCTTACAATGCATTAAGCAATAGCCTTCATACTTTTTGTATATTTATACAAAGTCAGCTTATTGCCCCCACAAACTGGGTCCTCAATTTACCTACCTTAGAAAGGATGGAAGGCTGAGTCAACCTTGAGCCTGGTGAGATTCGAATTTACAGTAATTGCAGACAGCTGGTGTTAATCACAATGCTTTCAGTCTGCTGAGCCACCAGGCCCCTAAATAAATGCTGTACTGAATAGCCTTTCTTGTATAATTTCCATGCAGTGTTTTGCAAATTATTTATAAATATTATAAAATATTGGACTATTTTTATATTTTGTTATTTTTATAAATTTTATACCTATTTTGCTGATGACATTCTATCCTAGTACCTAGAGGTTATGAAAACCTAAATGGGGAACAACAGGCTTCAACTGAACCCTGGCAAGGCTGAGTGGCTCTGGGTTTTGCAGCCCTCCGGTTTAGGGGCCATCTTTGGTATTGGATGGTACTGCGCCAAACAGACCTGGTGTGCAGAATGGACAGAAGTCATGACTCCTGCTCAAAGAATAGTTGGCAGTTGTGACTAGGAAGGCCTTTGCATAACTTCAAATTGTTACCAGTTGTGCCTATTCCCGGGTCAGGAAGGTCTCCTCAGCGTCATCTTGGTCACTTCCCAGATAGCCTATTATAACTCACACTATAGGAGGCTATGTTGAAGAGTATTCTGAAGCATCAACTGGTTGAAAATATGGTGGTGCAGGAAGTTATGTGTGCCTCCAGAATGACATGTTACCACATCTGCTCTGTGAGCTGCATTAGATGCCAGTTTGCTTTGGAATCCAATTCAAGGTTCTGTTTTGATTTTTAAAACTCTTCATAGCATGGGACTGAGTTGATTGAAGGACCTTTCACCCACCTAATTACATTTGCCCATCACGTTAAGTCCAGCAGAGGAGGGTATGCTACAGGTCCTCTCTGTAAAGGACTTTGGAATCAGCCCTTTTCTGTTATGAACCCCATTTCCCTTAAGGTGAGACTGGCCCCACCCTGACATTGTTCCACAAGTCCCTTAAAACCTGGTTGTATCATCAGACTTGGGAATCTCAGAGAAGTGGCAAATTAGTGAAATGGCTATATTGCCTATCATGATAGCTCTATCTGCTACTCTATCATTGGTAAGTTTGATTGGTGTTTTTAATTTAGATTTTTTTTTAATTTTTAGTTTTCATTGTACACTGCTCAGAGTCATGTTCTGTGAGACGGGGAACTATATAAATATGATAAACAAACAAATAAAACTAGTAATATTCTATGTCTTTTATTCTTTGCAGTGAAACTTTTTCTTTTGTCCTTACCAATATTGATGGGAGTAGAAAAATTGGCTACTGCAGGAGACTGTTGGTGAATATTTCCTTTTTTAATTTTATTGTTTTGAAAAGACTTGTTAAGAGTTTACTTGGCTGAGGTATTGGATCAATTGAGGCAATACATTCTATGCAAGTCATACTTTCCATATAATAAATAATTCTTTAAAATGCCAGAAAAATAAATATGTTTCATCATGATTAAAAAATATTATTGTCTATTTGAATCATGGTGCTAGAGCCTGGTTCTTGCTAAATTAGAAAAAATTTAATATAGATAATCCTTGATTTATGACTGGTTGTTTAGTGACCGTTCAAAGTTACAGCAGACACTCCCCCCCCAAGCTACTAATAACCCGATACTGAAGTTACAGCTTCTTCAAAGCCTCCTGCCTATCTCCCCTCCATTCCCCTGCTGGGTCCCCACATTCCTTAGGCCTGCTTCCTACACCATCAGGCCCCACCCTGCATCACTAATTGCACACTTACCTTTCAAAGATCTCTGGAGCTCCAGAGCTTAAGTTAGGGAAGGAGGACAGGGTATCCCATTGTTGGGCCCTGTGGTGCGATCCTGGAAGCAGCCACCATGTTTCAGTGACTGCATTGAATTGTGGCCACTTGTAAAGTTGTGACTATTGCAGAATCATACCACATGGCCCAGCAGTAGAGTAGTTAACACAAGCTACACAACCTTCCATAATCCACAGTTACGGGATTTCTAGTCCAACAATCTGAATGATACCACGTTGGAGAAGGTAGAATGCTAGTAACCTCACTTTTAAAGTTTGAGCAGGTTATTCTTTGGAAGAATATTTGGCTTCTGACCATTCCTGTATGCTCAGAAGCCATATTAGATCATAGTTGCTATTGAGCAAATGGACAAAATACAGAATTGGAAAAAGGATGTTATCTCCTGTTATGTACTGAATTAGTTTAATTATGACTGTGGTGTCCACATTTTATTAGTATGACTAGGCCAGCGTTTTTGCAATGATCTGTAGTTAGATTTCTTTTTCCCTGAAATGTAAAAGTAGTAATATCTAACTTTAGAGAACTTGACTTATTTGGGGGAATAAATACAAATCTTGTATTGAAAAATACAAGACAGAAAAGTAGCTTTGCTCCACTCTGGCAAACATACTTTTTATAACCCTGTAACTTTGGACAGAACTGAAATTATGTTCCAAAGTTCTGGGCCATCTTAGATAAGAATAACACTAGAGTTACTGCACCAATAAGAATTTATAACATTGGTCTTTTATCACCCCTAGCTTTATTAATACCCAAAGAGTAAATGAGAAATGGCAAACATGGAGAGGAAAGATAACATGGAGGGGAAAGATAGAAAAAAATCAGACTGGTGGATTGCGATAGATAGAGAATATTAATAATGATTTCTTGAGACAGCCAGCTATAATTTCTGGCTAGAGTACTATAGAAGTGAAGTGATTTTTTTTTTTTGTACATGCATGTTTTTCTTTAATTCTATGCTTCAGATAAAATAAGAGAAAAGATAAAGAGAGAGAAAATGAAGGAAGAAAAGATCCCGTGAGAGGCAGTAGTTGATTTGTTTGTTAATTTCTCGACAGTTTCCTCAGCTGGGAAGTGAGTTTTCAATATTGTAGGACAGGGTTATAGAAGGTTTTCATGTCTCAAACTGGAAAATACCTCTTCAGGGAGATATTTTCCTTGTGATTATAAAAGAACAATAGCATCTACTTCGGGAATTGATATCCATATGGAGTGAAATAAGGTTATTTAAGTAACAATTAATAAATATATTTGGTGTGTATATATTATCCAGTCACTGTTTATTCTTCCTGCTATTAAAAATTATTTTTAAAAATTATGCTGACTCCAAACAGAATTGCAAATGGGATTTAAAATGTTTATAATGGGGTAAGTTTGTGTTGAGTTGCTGATGTCCACAATCTCTTTTAAATTATTTTAAACCGCCTTCTCCAACATGGTGACCTCCAAAATGTTAGGTTATGAATTTATAATAAATTAATCATCTCTTCCAACTAAAAGTCATGATACGTAGGAGTGATAGAACTGGTAGTCACATGATCGTTGATAGCCCAATAATCAAATTGGCTTGGGGATGATAGGATTGGTAGTTAAAATATTCATGGCAGTATAAATTGATACTTCATAATTTAAGATTACAAAGTTGTAAAAAAACTGAAGTGTTGTTATATATTCTTCTAGGCTTCTCCCCAGCCTAATTTATATATTCACTGTGATAATGTTATGTTTTATTTAAGGAGAAGAAAGAAACAATAGTAGTTACTACTGATCTCGATAGGATTAATGCTTTTCCCTGAAGTAGATAATTTGCTAGCTATTTTGAACAATTGTAAAGACTTGCGGATGTGGACTTGTGTGCGCATCCTAGGGATGAGGAGGTGCTTGATGTGGCCAGGATTGATGGTCTGCTTGGTTGCAGTTGGGCCAGCATAGAACCACCCCCTCCACTTGGTTGCTGAGCTCAGCACTTGTGATGCAGCGCTGTTTTAGTTCTGCAGGAGACCAGAAACCTGGCTTCCATGATCAGTTAATAGGCTGTATTTTGAAATGCAGAACAATTTATCTATCCATGACATATAGCAAAAACTCTTTCTCAGATCTTCCATAATATTTATACTATACAGTAGGTAAATATTGGCAACTTTCTGCCACCAGATGACAGCAAAGAAATGCAACTATATCTTTGCTGCCATCTAGTGGTCAATCAGTTGCTTGATTGGTAGATTGATTACCAACAATCAACAATTTAAGAAAGTCCCAAAGGTGCTTTTTCAAAAGGCAAATGAATTTCCTTTGTTTTGCTTTAAAACGTTTCACTTCTCGTTCAAGCAAAGCTCTGTTTTGCTTCAAGAAAAACAAAGAAAGTCCAGTTGCCTTTTGAAAAAAGCACCTTTGGAATAACCATGACCTGGATGACTGAGAATCTCCATAGAAATTTAAGAAAGCACTTTTTTGCTGCCATCTAGTGACTGATAGGTCAATGGAATGGAAATCCTTTGGAGGGGGGGAAATTATTGGATGCAGTGCCCAAGTATTGGCCTTCTAAGAACCATTGACACATTCTGCATGGCAGCTGGAGAAAATTTTTCCTACATTTGGTGATGTCGGAAAATCTCGTAATGTCATGTGCTTCAGCTGTATGACTATTTCAGGTGGCACGGGTGCCGCAGGTGGCATGCGGAACCATATCTGGGCAAGTGAGCGTTGCCCTAGCTCAGCTCCAGTGCATGTGTGTGCCGGCCAGCTGATTTTTGGGCCTTCCAGAAGCTGGGAAACGGGCCGTTTCTGGCCTCCAGAGGGCCTCTGGGGAGTGTGGAAGGCTGTTTTCGCCCTCCCCAGGCTCCAAGAAAGCCTCTGGAGCCTGGGGAGGGTGAAAAACGGGCCTATCGGGTCCACTGTGCCATCGCATGCCAAAAGCGAGGGGAGCGAGGGGGGGTTCATATGTGCATGTGCGGGGCACATTGAATTATGGGTGTGGGCACGTGTTCATGCGACCCCCCCCACACACTCCCCCTGCTTTTGGCACGCGACAGCAAAAAGGTTAGCCATCACTGCCTAAGTCCATCTGCCATCAGTTCTTCTTGCTATGTGACCAGCCCATTCAATTCTTTTACTCTCTTGATGCTATCATATGCTTTTGTTTGCATCTGAGTTACATTGTTCCATCTGCAGGTGGACTCTAGGACTCTTGATTTCCATATATATAGTAGACAAACTTGTAATCCAGGTTTATCCTTTTCCTTTTTTTTTTTTTTGTATCTGCCTCGTACATAACAATATGTTTTTATATTGAGATCTGTGAGGTAGATTTTAGAACATTTTACACTACCACAATTTAGAAACTGAAGCCAGTTTTGGCTTCCTTTTTAATAAGTGGCTGTGTTAACAGGTAGTCTGAAATGAAACAAAACCTATGACTCACAGAGTTCACCGAGAAAAGCCAATGTAAAACACAGGTGGCAGCTGAGTGCACATTTCCCTCTTCTCATCCTGTCAGTAGCTCACTCCACCCTGCTTTCACCAGCTTAGTTTCTCCTTTCATTTCTTATTTTTCACATCAGTTCCTTTCAATCTTTAAGTGCTTTTGTCATAAAGAAGACCCGTTTCTCACATGTTTCTTTTATTGCTTCTTGGAGTTTGCTTAATCTTTAGATATTTACAGAAAGCAGACTTTGAAATGATCTCTCTGGGCAAAATCAAAGAATTGTTTTGTTTTATAGCTATCATTTTGCATTGATTGGCTTACTATCCATGTATTAATTTTAGAGATGTAATTAGAAAATAAAAGTTAAGGCAAGCTTGCAGTGCATTACTTTGGAGAATCTTCCCAAACTCTTTTAAAAAGCTCCCTCTAGCTCAGGTGATTAGGAAGGAAGAGGAAGGGGGAGCTTAGAATGGAGAAGTCAGCAACATTCTGAGCAGCTGCCCATCATTCTGTCCCATAGGACACAGCTTCATTGCAGCATCTATTGGCTGGAAATGGTAAAAAAATAAATCTCAGAAGCTTCAGCTTGCACAATGAAAAAATTAAAAGGAAATAGTTATTTTGTGTGTTCTTAGGCAACGGTTTACCAAATGAATGGGATCTCATGATATAAACATAAATAAGACAAATTGCAAAGTATCTTCCAATTAATGTAATATATTAAATAATGATTAACAGTTTCAGCCATAGAGCAAACTTCTGTTAATGAGTCAGCTGCTATGACTCAGGACTTTAACTACATAATAAATTAGGGATCGGCACACACACACACATACGCACACACACATTTATATATATGGTTGGAGCAGTGGGACAATGGCTGGGTCAGTGCCAACAAGTTGAACCTTACTCTCCCTGCCCTGCAGTTATGTGGGGCACAATATCCAAAAAGGATTAAAGTGTTTGCACACTTGAAGGGCTGTGTAATAATTAATCAAAACTGCTTCTGAACCAAGGTGAACATTTTTTAAGCTTTGACCTTAAGCTGGGGAAATGGTCCCGCAATCCTTTAGCTCCAGTGGCATTTGTAATAAATATTTCAATTGTAGGGGTTTAGAAGAAAGAAAAAAATTGGGACAAGCTAAGCATAACCACTCTTTGGATCCATTTAGGTTGAACAGGTATTCCCTATAAGTGAACAGGGTGCAGCTTTAAGATCTTTTTCCGATATCCAGTCTTTCCTGCTTTTCTTTTGGTATGATTTTTTTTCACTGAGAGAAAAAATATTAATAAAGTGCTTGAGTGGATAAGATTGAAAGGTATTTCCCTCCTTCCTGAAACTGTTATTCTTTAAGATTGATGTTTGATAGGAATTTAGCATGGCCAGGATTGAGATATGCTATTATCACGTCTGGTAACGTGGCTGGAACCAGCTTATGTCCTCATTTAGTGCTTTCTTTTTTTTTTTTTTGAAAAGATTTTTTTTATTTTTAAACAAATTCATAAAACCATCTTCAATTGCAAACAGTGTGTCAGTTGGTTACCAGTCTTTTGTGCATCATTCACCAAATTCATAGCTTACAATTTACAATTTACCTAGATTCTCATATCATCGACCTAATATATATCTTTATATTGTTATCCTCATTAATCATTTATTTGATTATGACTAGTTCTTCCCTCATTATCATTCAAAGTATTCTAAGATTTGATAATTTTTATTATAACATTCATTTCATCCTCCTGAATCTATCCAACAATAATACATCTATATGTTATATTTCACATAGTTCTTCAATTCTTGTATTGTGAAAGTCTCTACCATATTTCATTTCCATATTTTTTTATCTAACCATTGATAGAATAGGTCCCATATTTTATAGTATTGTTTATCTTCTTGTTCTCTAATTTCAAATGTCAATTTGCTCATTTCAGCACATTCCATTATTTTCTTAATGACTTCATCCTGCGTTGGTATTTTCTCATTTTTCCAATTTTTAGCAAACACAATCCTAGCCGCTGTTAATACATTCACAATCAGATATCTCAGTTCTTTATTATATATTTCAGGTATAATCCCCAATAAAAAAATCTCTGGTTTAAAATCTATGTGTTTTTTTGGTCATTTTTTCCAATTCAATGTTTTCTTTAAAGGGGAAGAATAATAGGCAGTACACCCCTTTCCTCATAAGATGATATTACGTTGCAGTTTAGATTCTTTGGGGTGAGATATACCTGGCTTTTTCTATTTAAAAATCTCATATCAAAATGATCATATTTCCAAAGTAATAGTAGGATGGAACAGATAGTTTTGTTTGGCTAATTTTATGTCATAAAAATTCTTCCTGGAAGAAATACACAGTGGAGTGGAGTCTTTGGTTCTCTTTGAGCTTGGTTGTTTTCATGAAGGTATTTCATTATCCGGCTAGGTAAAATCTTCAGATTGCACAGAGCTATACAGTTCAAGTTGTTCAGGTCTGAGCTGTATTTAGTTAAGAAACCCTAGTTAGTTGAGCTTGTGAAAAAGAAAACATTTTTTGTTTTGTTCATTGTAGGTAAATTAGGCTTCTTCCTGCTTTAAAATCCAATTTGCACATTCTGTGCAAGATTGTGAAAAAGAAAATCATCCAGGAATGTCTCTTTCTTATGTTCTGTATTTAATGAGATGTTAAGAAAGGGAGTGAGTCAGAGCACTCCAATAACCATGGCGCTGATCTGATTGGTTTATTTGTTTTTCATACTGAATGATATATTTGTTTACAAAAATCTGACTCATGTAGTAAAGGACAGATGTAATCCTGATTCCACAAAGGCCATTTTATAAACTAGCTTATTTATTTGGCCACTCTGAAATCAAGAAAATAAGTTCCGGATGTTTAAACTTGCCTGTGATTTATGCCAGTAGTTCTCAAACTTTATATTATGCAACCCTCTCAGTCATCTTTAAAAGCTTTGGAAGACCATCTTATAACCTCTAGAGGTCAGCAAGGCAATGCCTGCAGATTCCATAGCACAAATGACCCTTTTTGATAGCCCATGGAATCCTAAAATGGAATGGAATGCTTTTGAATGAGAAAGTCAAAGTCATATAAAATCTGGTAACATTACCATGTATTTGCTTGAAAGATTCCAAGATTTGAAGTTAAAGATCCAAATTTTCTCAGGTTTCCCAAGTTTTAACCATATGCATATGGGTTTGCACCAGAAACTATCAACATTATTTTGGAATGCCATTGTTCCCTAGATCAAAAGTTGGGAACTTAGTTAAGCAGCCATATTTGCTGCTATAATAGTTTTGTATATTTCCATAACATAGATGTGAACTTAATAGTGACATTTAATTTTAATTTAAAAAGGAAATTTAATGGTGACTTTTTTTCTACGTAACACTGCTTTTCAGCCTTCTGGACGAGATGCTCGTCTCCCTGAAGTTTATTGCATTGTAAGCTGTATTGGTTGCTTTGGACTATTTTCAAAGGTATGTTTTCTAAATAGTCTGTTTCCCGAAATACAAAAAACATTAAACTCTTTGTTAGGTAGCATAGGCAGAAATATATGTTCTACTGTTCCTAATCTTGCTTCATCATAAGATTAGCTTTCTATATTTTTCTTCTTCCGATCTTACACAGAAAAAAGGAAAGAAAGTCAGGTCCCTCATCCCAGATATTTGGGAATTGACTGGGACTACTCATAGAGATATTTTGTTCATTTAGAAAGGTTTTCACCATTATTAGAATGAAGAAAAATATAGCATTTTAATTTGAATACAGAAAACAGTAGCTCAGTTCAGATAATTCAGCTATTTCGAATTACTTGGTGTACAAATGAATAATACAAGAAGCTTTGAGCTAAATTTAAAATATCACTTCAGTCATAGTTTTTAAGACCAGATATAACTAAATTAATATACCTTCTCAATTAGTTTCCTCTTGTGAAAGGAGAATGAAAATGACTGGATCCATGTAAGTTCTTCAAGTTTGGCTTAACCATTATCTATCACCGTTACTATTTCTTGACCTTCGGTTCTTACACTTTGGTTCTGAGGATGAAATGCGTTTGAAGGAGACACATGATTCAGGAGGAGATGGTATCAGGACTTGTTTATCACACATCATTACTTTGTTTAAGACTCTGTTGGCTTTGAATAATTTCAGGAGGAGGAAAGGCACTATCAAGAGCCGAGTTGGGAAGCTGCAAAATGATGGGTATCTTTTTCCTTTTTATAGATTTTAGATGAAGTAGAGAAGAGGCGGCAGATCTCGGCAGCAGTCGTCTACCCCTTTATGCAGGGCCTACGTGAATCTTCCTTCCCAGCACCAGGAAGAACTGTTACCATTAAAAGCTTCATCCCTGAATCCGGGACAGAGGTGTGTGCCTACTTGAAATACCTTTGGCTGATTGTAACATGACCTGTAATTAAATGTTATAATCAAAGTCATCATGTTAAGCAAATGTATAAATCAGTACCTCCCAACAGGGTTTAAGAAAAGCAATAGAACATCCATAGAATTAATAAGATTTGCAAGGAATAATCTGTAAAAAGTCTGAGTTGAGAGGACTGACCTCTATATGAGAGAGTGTCTATCAGTAATATCATATCTTCCATATGTTTGCCCATGTCCAATCCATAATGAATTGTTTACAAATATCTAGGGCCATTTCTCTCATTATTCTTTTTGCCTGAATGTATTCCAAAAGGAGCAATTGTGCTCATTGTCACCTAAATTGCCGGTTGTTCCAAGGATTAAAATTGGTCTCCCAGGACTATTGGAATCAGGAAAAAGTGGCATTCAAGCCAGTAAGGGAGTATTAACAACATTGTCCTCAGCTCCATTTTTGGTTGTCCTGCTTCTATTTTAAGAGGCACATTAAGTATGCATCAGGGCACCTAGAAGAGTTTTTGCAAAAACTTTGTGTGGCTCAAAGTAATTTATAATGAATAATGAAACACAATCTGGGTCAATACCAGAAAGTATTTGGGTCATAGGTTTTGCTATATAGAATTTTATTATGGCTCTTGCATTCTTTTGTGCTTGTAAAACAGCATATGCATCTTTGAAGCAATTGTGGCCTGGAGCACTACCCCTGAATATTCAAAACATTTCATTCTATTTAATTCATCCCCTTGATAAGTCATTTAAATATTTTCGGTTTCCTGGCAAGAACAACCACTTGGTTTTCTGGTCATTAATTACCAGCATTACTGCTTTTACAGTAATGGGTAAAAGATCTGAATGCAGAGCTACACCATTAGCATACAGAAGAACGGAATATCCATTCCTGTAAACTTGGGAGTGGAAACCTGAATTCGACAATCTACTTGCTAAGAAGTTTAAATAGAGATTAAATAGGGTGGGGCTAAATTTTTTTATCTAATTCCCTTTCAAATAGAGATTGGATTAGTCAAAATACTTAAAGCATTTCTCCTAATTCTTTACAAAAACATGAAAAATGGCATTTTTGTAAAGTGTTTGAATTAAAAACAGGAGATGCCTATCTATGATTGTATTATTTTAACTTCTCCAAAACACTCCAAAAACCAAATATTTTTGAAGTGATTTTGAATCAAAAAGTGATTTGAAATCTATATAGGCTATATAAATTGTAGGCCTGCTCTTGCAGTTATATTTTTTCAATTAGCTGCCATAGGACCTAATATAAAACAGCTGGGGTGGAAACTGGCTTGTTCTTTGCCCAGAGTTGATTCTTTCTCTATGAGACTTGTAATTTATTATTCAGATGGAAGGCATAATGTTTACTAATCATAATAAGCAAATATATAAAGTGATAATTAGCTGGATTCCCTTGCTCCTCCCCATCCCACATTTTAAATATTTATACAGTAATGGCACTGCCTCAGTCCTGCCGAATATGACCTGTATAATTGATATAGGGGGAAAAAAGGAGTGCCAATTGGATACCTATTACCGGGGAAACCCCCACCCCACCCCAATTGTTGATTTGGTTCCATACAGTCATCTTGAGCCAGGTGTGCAAGAGATAGACTACAAAATTATGCCCACTGAGAGAGAAAAGGGACAAAGCTTATATAATGGTCTTGTTTGAAGGAAAAAAGGATGTTATGACTTCTTAGTGGCAGACTCTACCCTATCCCACATTTATTATTTTTATAAATAATCCAAGGCAACATACACTCCTTTCTCTCCTATTTTCCCCACAAGCACCCTGTGAGTTGAGTTGGGGTGATAGAGAGTGACCGGTCCAAAGTCATTCACCCGGCTTTCAATGCCTAAGACAAGACTAGAACTCATAGTCTCCTGGCTTGGTGCCTTAACTACTAGATTAATCTGGTTTGGTTTGGCCTAGTACAGTGATGGCTAACCTTTTTGCCATCATGTGCCAAAAGTGGGGGGAGTGGAGGCGGTCGCACACTCGCGTGCCCACACCCATAATTTAATGCCTCCCCGCCCCCGCGCATGCGTGTGCGACACCCCTGTGCTCCCCCCCACTTTTGGCACTCAACGACAAAAAAGTTACCAGGGCCCGGTAGGTTTTTCACCCTCCCCAGGCTCCAGAGGCTTTCTTGGAGCCTGGGAAGTTCCCTGGAGACCCTCCGGAAGCCAGAAACAGCCCATTTCCTGACTTCCGGTGGGCCCGGAAGGCCTGAAAATCAGCTAGCCGGCGCATTCAGGCATGCTGGAGTTGAGCTAGGGCAACGCTCACGTGCTCACAGATATGGCTCCACGTGCCACCTGTGGCACACGTGCCATAGGTTCGCCATCACGGGCCTAGTAGGTTATTTTAAACCTTGACTTGTTTAGTTAACAAACCTTGAGGATCAAACACAGGATCAGCAGCGCATTGACTTCCTCTTCAGTACATAGGCCTTGAATTTGCAGTTCTAACCCCTTTGTAAGTTATTTGCATTTTATATTTTCAAGCATTATCGGCAAAGCATAGCATCATCTTTAGTCATTTTATTAGGTCAAACTATTTCATTAGTTTCTCCTTCACTTGACATTTCCCTTCACCATCTCAGACAGGATGGAGTTGCCGCTAGTGGCACTGCTTAACCTCAATGAGGTTGAAAAATTAGGAAATGATCACTGATGTTTTGAAACTGGTTTCAATGAAACAGAGAGTCAAGAAACTGCTGCAGCATGAAAGATTTAGAAGTAAATATGAAAATATTTAATTAGTTGAGGATTGAGCAGATGAGAAGCTCCATTTTATGGTTTGCTTCCTGTACACCTGGAGCTCTACGTGCATTGGCTTGGAGAAGCCATGCAGTATTGTGATTACATTGCTGGACTTGAATCAGGAGATTCAGGTTCAAATCTCCACTTGATCACAGAATTCACTGGGTGGCTGTGGACTTTCCACCCTCACAAGAGCTAACAGGAAGCTCCTATGTAGGCTACCTTGCGTTCCTAAGGAAAACACAAGATATAAAAGTAATAACCTAATAAGTTGGACCACAGTGTGGTTTAGCAATGCACATTCTGGGCCAAGGGCTATCCTTGCTTTTTCAGTGGCTGTGTTCATTGGCTGTATGGAAAGCCAGAATACAAGCTAAATTTTATTTTGTTTAATTTAAATGTAAATAAAATAGCATTTGATGGAATTTAATAATTAATTAAATTAATATATTTAATTTAATTAATTAAATTTAATTAGTATTTAATAATTTTCTGTCGTATTAATTTGGTGGCTACTTTAAAACGTATTCTTTATTACACCCAACAGAATAAAACACAGCAAAAGAACAATGTGAAACTTGATATAACCTATAATCACCTCCATATTAGCAATGCATGAATGCAACCGCTAACTTAGTGACGGTCATATTGTTTTGTGTTTTTTGTTAACCAAGAGGAACTTCATGTAAAGCTCATTCAATCATCTAAGGAATGAGGGTTATTAGTAGTTAATAAGAGAACAGTAGAATAAAATGTGAGTCAGTGATTCAGTATTCCCAGACAGATAGAAGCCCTTTTCACATAAAAGTTTTTCTAGAATCCACAGCTGATGACAAAATATCAGAATGCAATAATAGGAAACCGATCTTATGTCCTGATTGTATCTGGATGGTATTTTGCCAGATTCAGTTTGCAATTGTATGTTAAGGATCTTTGTTTAAGAAATACCATGGTCTATGTTTGTCCTGATTCTCCAGATCTTTGAGCGATGCATTTGGTAATTGGTGATTGGTAACTGAGGCAAACAAATCTTTAAAAAAAATTGGAATGTGTTTTACTATCAAGTATGATTTCCAGACATAAGTGAGGTTCCTGTGTAATTAATAGTTGTTTAGGGAGAGATTCAGTTTTTGTCCTCTTTGCCACAACAGCACAAGAATCCATCACAAAACACAGACTTTCCTTACTCTGCTGCATTGTCTTCTGTGTGATTTGCTATACTGACTTCCTGTTTTGGTATTAGAGTTTTCTCTCTGTCAACTATCAGACAGTGACGTTTTGGTATTTGGTTTCCTGGCTTGCTCAGTGCTTCATGCAACTGGCGGAGTTTGATGGGGTGTGCAGAACATATTCTTCAAAAGCATCTGTATCTTTCTATTAGCCTTATATGGGCATAGAAAACGTCTTTGTACCAGCCTCATGTTGAACTGACTTTCTGGGAAAACAGATTATTTTAACCATTGTACTGCACCAATGCAATAGCAAAAGCCTGAAAATTTGGGCAAGCCTTAATGAATAGTGGAGGGGGGAGATAGCATACTCAAGAAGAAGCACAAAACTCCTGTTCCAATTTTTTTTCAAATTACACATATGCATCTCTCTATTAATATCAAAAAGTTGATAGAATGACTAATTTTGTAAATGCACGGCTATTTCGTAAGCCAAAAGAAATATAAGTCATGACTCTACACCAGTGTGATTTGTTTCAGTAGTATGAACCTAGTCACTATGTTTTTGCAAACTGTAGTCCATAATTTAGTGTTATGGATTGCTAAATCAAATCAAACATTGGGTGTGTTTAGTCTAGTGAAAAGAAGGACTGAGGTGACATGATAGTAGTGTTCCAATACTTTAGGGGCTGCCACAAAGAGGTGTGTGTGTGTGGGGTGGTGGTGGTGGTCAGCTTATTTTCCAAAGGACCAGAAGGCTAGATAAAAAACAATGGATGTAAACTAATCAAGGAGAGAAGCAATCTAGAACTAAGGAGAAATTTCCTAACTGTGAGAAAATCAACCAATGGAATGGCTTGCCTTCAGAAGTTGTGGGTGCTCCATCACCGAAGGCTTTTAAAAAGAGACTGGACAGCCAGTTGTCTAGAATAGTAATATAGTATAGAGTCTCCTGCTTGTGCACAAGGTTGGACTAGAAGATTTCCAAGGTCCCTTCCGACCCTGTTATTCTGTTATGTTGTGCTATAGGAGGGCTGTCAAACTCAAGGTCCAGGGGCAAGATCTGTCCCATGGAGTGTTGAGATCTGTCCCGTGTGGTCACCCTGGAAACAGAGAAGTACTGGATTGCGGTGCCTCTGCCAGTGAAAACGGAGCTCGCAAGGGCCACGGTTGCCCCTCCTGAGCTTTGTTTTCACTGGCAGAGGGTTGCAGGTGGCCATTGCAGGTGAAAACAGAACTTGGGAGCCTGTTTTTACTGGTAGAGTGCTTGGGCCACCACAGGTGCCCCCGACACGAGTGACGTTGAGCTGGCCACACCCTCCCTGGCCACACCCACACCGGCCACCCGAGGTCAAACACAACCCTGATGTGACCCTCAATGAAATTGAGTTTGACACCCCTGTGCTATAGTGTGTGAATATAATGATGTTTCTCCTCCATGTGTGCATCTGCACTCCCATCTTCCCTTGCATAGCTACAAGGAGGTGATCAATACTTATTTCTTAACTGATCTGGATTACAACTGAATTTGTGAGGGCCGAGGCTAGAATCATTAATTGCCAAGCTGGAAATGACCATTATATAAGTATGTAATAATTACTCAGTATTAGTACTAAGGCCTGTTCTAAATACATATTTATTCATAAAGGCAAGAAGAAGACACAAGTTTAAATCCAAAAGCAATAAAAGTCATTTATATCTTCTCACTGGCAATGGTCTCAACTCATGAGCATAGCTTCAGTACGCTTCAGTACGGCCCGTACGCTCCCATAGAGAGGGGCTCCTCCGGGTGCCGTCGGCCAAACAATGTCGGCTGGCGGCCCCCAGGGGGAGAGCCTTCTCTGTGGGGGCACCAACGATCTGGAACGAGCTCCCCCCCGGAGATACGGAGGGTCCCGGATCTTCGCACCTTCCGTCGCGCGCTTAAAACGTTTTTATTTCATCAAGCTGGGCTGGCCTAAATCATCTCCTCTTTTAAATTTAAATTTTAAACATAAATTTTTAATCTGTTTAATTATGGGGGTATTTTAAAATTCAGCCTAAATTATTTAATTTGTTTTAATTTATTTTAGATTTTGTATTTCCTGTGTTTTATCTTCTGGCTGTTCACCGCCCTGAGTCCTTCGGGAGAAGGGCGGTATAGAAATTTAATAAAATTAAATTAAAATAAAATAAATTCATTCTTACCCTCAATAAACATTCCAGTCTAGTGGAGCTGCCTTTGAATTTCTGCCACGCTTGGCTGAAGAGTTGAACTAAGTCACAAAATGTCAGGAGATCCATGATTTATTGCAGAGCATGTCAGGATAGCCTGACAGATATTGAGAAGGAGAGTTGTGTTTGTTTATGATATGGTAGTCAAAAATGAGACGGGTCTAGTTCAGAGGTCTTCAAACTTGGAAGCTTTAAGTCTTGTGGACTTCAACTCGCAGAATAGCCAGAGCTATGCTGGCTGGAGAATAGCCAGAGCTATGCTGGCTGGACAATTCTGGGAGTTGATGTCCATAAGTTTTAAAGCTGCCAAGTTTGAAGGCCTCTGTCTAGTTAGTAGTATCTTTTCCAACTCAAAATTGTGTTAAATTGCATAACGTTAGCTACAATTCTCTTCATCAACTCACTGAGGCACCTGATGAAATGAGATGTAACTCTTGATATTTTATGAAAATATACGCTTTTTAGTAAAATATTAGTCTGAAAAGGTGCTATCAGGTGCCTCCAGATTTTTGTCACAATTAGAAAAACACTAGTTAATTTAAACAGTGGCTTATTTGAGCCAAGCAGAATAGACACATTTTAATTTGATAACGGATTTAGATGAAAAAATATTTTAGACTTACCAGAGTTCCCCCATATTTATACATAATGTAGAACTCAGGCATACCACAGGCAAATATGAGAGCCTGCAGCTTGTTACAGTTACCTCATTGTGCTAAGCCATATTTTAGTATTGCCTCCTATTTTAGGTACTAAGGGTGTAATTACAGCTGTCATAACCATTTATTCAGAACTGGAAAAAAGATGAATCTTAATCCCAGTGAAAATTATTATTTTTTAGAAAACTGTATTCAACCATGATTACTATGCTAACTTTATCCTGTTGTCATGTTTTTAGCAAATTGAGCTGACCCGGCCATTGGATTCTCACCTGGAGCATGTGGAATTTCAGGCCCTTTTAAAGTGCCTCAGTCCTGAGAAGATACTTCTGATATTTGCCTCTGTAGTTCTGGAGAGACGGATAGTCTTCTTGGCTGATGAGCTTAGGTAAGCCTAAGGAAGCAATTTTGTGTTTGTCCCATTGAAATCAAGAAGTCAGTTGTGCTTCACCAGACAGTAGGACCGGAGCATAGCATTTACTCTGGATTAGATTTCCATTTTATAACATGCTATTATTTTGGTTTTTTCATTTGTGAAATGTCCATATGGCAGATGGACAAATACATACAGGTTTCCTTTTTATATGTATAACAAAAATATTTTGATATGACCTGGTGGTTGGGACATTTTAAGGTTAGAAGGTTAGGTTAGACAGAATATTCTTTATTGACATATTCTTTATTGGCCAAGTGTGATTGGGCATACAAGGAATTTGTCTCCGGTGCATAAGCTCTCAATGTACATACAAACAACAAAGTGATAAATCATAAGATACAATCATAAATCATACGATGCAAACAACAAAGTAATAAATTGTAAGATACCAATAGGAGAAGATATAGGAAAGATGAGAATGATAATAGCAATACAGTCCTATTATATGAGTAAATATCCTTAAGACAGTGCTGTGGGAATTAGGTGTTTAGCAGAGGAATGGCATGGGGAAAACCTGTCTTTGCATCTAGTTATTTTGTTATGCAATGCCCTATAGCGGTATTGTGAGGGGAGGAGTTGAAATAGTTTGTGTTCAGGATGTGAGGGCTCTGTAGATATTTTCTGAGCCCTCTTTCTGGCTCATGCAGTATACAGGTCCTCAATGGAAGGCAGGCTGGTTGCAATTGTTTTTTCTGTAGTCCTAACTACCCATTGAGATCTGTACCTGTCCTTTAAAGTTTTTAATAAAACTTTAGATTGGAAGGTTTTCTTAAAGGTTTTCACAATAACTGTGTTACATTTATAAAACCATACCTTTGCCATTTTGGGATTTCCATCAAGAGAGTTCCCGATCTATGAAACAACAGGACAGTGACAAAGAAGGGTCCCATTGATTCAGGAGCTGGCTATATCTTTGTTCTTGCTCTGTCCAAAGGGCAGCAAAAGGTCGGGAGGGAGTGGGTGAGAGACAGATGATGGAATGCATCTTATTTACAGTTCTGCAGCTATTGGAGATAGCAAGTTTCCCTGGTCCCTGCTAAGAATAATTGCAGAATGAGGCAGAAATATATTTCACTGTTAGAAGCATAATTACATTTGTATATTTTTAAAATCAGTAATACAGTATTGTAATCAATTCTTTAAGACAGTAGTGGCAATGTATTTAAACAATGAAATAATAAACATGCCAAGGGTATTTATGAACCATACAGATACACTCCTTAGCTTTAAAATATTATTTAATATTATATTGGCTTCCTTTCAGCTCCCTCTCCAAGTGCATTCACTCGGCTGCTGCTCTTCTTTACCCATTTACTTGGGCCCATACATACATCCCAGTGGTTCCAGAGAAACTTCTCAGTACAGTCTGCTGTCCTACACCATTTATGGTTGGGATCCAAAAGCGCTATCTGGAAGAAGTTCTGGATCAGCCTATGGAAGAGGTACAGTCTTGCATGCTTCCAAAGATAGTTGAATGGACCAAACATTTGCTATATCTCTGGGACAAACACCAGCACAAAGATTGGCTATGGTGATATTTCTGTATGTTCTTAATGTTCCTAATCATCCCTATCAATTACTTAGTCAACTACATTTGTTTTAGCCTTAGGCCCCATTGAAACCTGCTGTTTACCCAGGCACTGGAGTAGTGTGGTGGGAGCCTGTGGTTGGTTGTTGTTAGGGCAGCAGTCCCCAACCTTTATGGCTTGGCGGGCAGTGGGGTTGGTGAGGAGAGGGAAACTTACCCATGCAACAGGTGGGCCGGTGCATGTGTGTGCACCGGCCTTTCACTTGAGTAAGTCGCTGGCCTGCCACACAAGCAGCTTGACTCACGAGCAGCGGGCTAGTGTGAAAAGCCTGCCGCTTGTGCGAATTGAGCTGTGCATGCGTGTCCTGGCCCACCGCTTGTGTGAACTGTCCATGGCGTCCTAATGGGTCACAGCCCAGGGGCTGGGAATCCCTGTGTTAGGGCACTCTGGGAGGATGATTAACACACTGGGCTTTTAGTTTTTGTCAAATGGTTTTTGTGATTTACTGTTGTGGGCCACACAGTTTAAACATGGGTGGCCCTACAAATTGTTTAAATACATAAATCTAAGTACTGCTTCCTTTTTAGGTGTTGCTTGTAGATCTGTCCCAAGGAGATTTCTTAAAAATGGTAAGTTTCATCCAAGTCCTATATTGTAACCACTTGTGGAACTTAGATCTGCACTTCTAGGCAATGATGTAAAATCCATCCTGTTCAGTTTCTTCTCAGAATTTTAGCTCTGCTTCAATTGCTTGGTTGCCACTCACTTTACACAGCAATGGCTTGCAACATTTTTTTTCTGACAGCTTCTCTCTCTCTCTCTCTCTCTCTCTCTCTCTCTCTCTCTCTCTCTCTGTCTCAATTCAATTCAATTCAATTCAAATCTTTATTATCAGTGCACAACATATTTACAATGAGATTAGTTGAGCTCCCTCAGTGCACCCGCCCCAGCACAATGCAACTCACATTGAAGACAGAAAATCCCTAACCCAATAAATCATGTTAACAAAGCACCCAGTCCTATTGCACCATGTTTCACGTTGCGCCGGCCCCGCAAGTCCATCATACTACATAGTTATGATGTTATTTCGCATTCAAGAGTCTGACAACCCACAGATAAAAACTATTCTTCAGCCTGTTTGTGCGGTTGGCTATGCTTCTATATCTCCTTCCCGATAGTAGGAGGGTAAAGAAGTGGTGACCAGGGTGAGATCTCTCTCTCTTTCTCCCTCCCTCCCTTTCTCTCTCCCCCTCCCTCCCTCCCTACCCTTACACACACACATATACACGCCTGCCTATTTAAAATAGTCACTGAAAGCTACAAGGCAAGGTTAGCAAAAATGCAGCGATGTTACTAGAACTGATCGAGATAAAATTTTGTCCCCTTTTTAGGGGCTAGTTCGTTTAAAAATACAAAATGGGCAGATTAATTTTGGTACTACATTTGGGCACCATTATTTTGGAGCACCCTAGGGCCTATGGTAATTAAAATGAAGCCAGAAGCATATTCAATAACTTGGTTGTTTGTTGGCAGAGATTTCATTATCCAAATAGGTACTATCATCAGTGCTTGAAGATGTTAGGTAATGTATCATCTTCTAGCAGATAATCAAGCTCAGAGAGCACCAAGCCTCCACAAAATAAATGTGGTCTAGTCCTGATTTGTACCCTCTTGATATCTTTTCCTTATGACCTATTTTCTTCTTTCTTAATCCGTTTCATCTCTCCCTCTCTTCAATATTTCTTGCTTAATTCTGCTGACTTTACTTTGCTCCGGTTCTTTCCCAATTTCAGGTTATGGTTGTCTCCTATTCTTGACTTGGGTTGCCTTGAAAAATGGGCTATTAATATTTCAATTAGCTATCCTCCCTTTACTTACAGTATCATTGATCTATCACTGTTTGCTGATGTTTCGTGTGACACATCAGAAAGCTCTTCATCTTCATTATCTAAATTCCACCTTGCCTGAATTCTTCTTGATGCTGTATCAGGGTCAAGGGATAACCGTCCAGATGGCTGCCTATCTGTAACTCAGGCTAAAAGTAGCTTTAGTGCACGGGTATCAAACGCGCCACATCACATTGCCATCATGTGACATATAACAATGTTCCCTTCACAAAGCTGGGGTAGGCGTGGCTGTGTGTGTTGCATCTGGCCATGGGCCGCCAATTTGATACCCCTGCTTTAATGAGTTAACAGTAAGACCAGTTTCTTCTTGAATAGGCCTCCAAGTGTTGTGAGGAACTGTGGATCTTTCACTATACTACAAGTGCTAATTTGCAACAGTTGGCTATTGATGTAACTTCCCTCTTTAATAATTCTACAGGTTGGAGATGAGGAGGAGATTTTGCCACCCAAGTTGAGAAGTGAAATGTTGCACTCTTTGCCAACAATGAACAACAACATCCAGAGTAAGGTCATTCTCTGTAGCAGCTTTGCCTAGCCAGCTATTTTTCATCATCATTAGAACTCAGATCCCCTAATTCCCCTCTAGTATGGCTATTGGTTGGAAACTGTGGGAAGAAACACAACATATTTGAAGGCATCAGGTTGGAGGAAGATGCTTGAAGAATAGAAAACAATGAGTTAATAAATTTGTGTGTATGATAAGATTTGTACTTAGTTTGCTAACATAAAAATGCTCTTGGAATAAATAGTTCATATGGAGTGGAACATTATATGTGTAACTTGTCTTAAGTATGCTATGTTATTTCACTTTGAGGGATGTCCTGCCAAGAATAATGAAAAGTTTCTGAAGCATGGTTAGTCAGTATCTCCTTGGTATAAGAAAAAATGTTATATATTATCAGAAGTGGCTGCAGATTCCTAAATTCAGAAAAATTTTAAAAAATGTTTGGCACTGCGAAAATGAAAGTATTTAGGCTAGCGGAACAAAAGAAGTATGTAGCTTATTTGTAAATGGATACTTTCTTTATTTCTCTCAAGAAATCTTGCAGAAAATTATAAACTGAAATTACAGACTGTTATTTTTAAAAAGGATCCTAGCTTTATTTAAATCTCATTATAATCCTAACAAAAAATGATGTGCTTGAATAATTAAAATGTTGGCCTCAATCGTAGTAGATAATGAACAGATGAACTCATATATTACCTTTTTCTTCAAGAAAGAACTGAAGAAGCTTCTTGCATGAGAAGTGAAACAAAGAAAGGAAAAACAAAGAAAGTCCAGTTGCCTTTTGCAAAAGCACTTTTGGGTTTAAGGAAGCAATGACCTGTGATGTTAGAGATGTGATATTATCTTGTTCTGACATTTTTCTGGTTCCATGTGATGGTTCATGGTTTGACTATGTGAGGGAGCTTGTTTTAAGAGTGAATGCAACCAAACAGAAGACCTTTTTTCATTTTTGTGTTACCTGATTATCTGCTAGTCCATTGCTGAGAAGGAAACATGATTTTCAGTTAGGATGTAGAATTTGAATGATGGAAATTAAAACATTGTTGACTAAACGGTACCCTAAAGCACACCTTTTATTGTGCAGAGAAATTGAAAGATACAGCAGTTAGAAAAAAATAGTGTTGTGGTTAAAGTAAATAAACCTATCTGTTGGGTTAATTGTTATCGCTGAAGAAAAGTCATCACTCAGAGTTTGTTCTGAGATACCATGTTTCCCCGAAAATAAGACCCTGTCTTATATTTTTTTGAACCCTGAAATAAGCGCTTGACCTTATTGCCATGTGCTCAAAAGCCCGATTGGGCTTATTTTCAGGGGATGTCTTTATTTTGGGGGAAACATGGTACCTTATGGAAGGTATAGCAGGGTAATATTTTTTTTCAGTTCCTGCATTGTTGGAGGTTCAAAGTCAAAAGTATAGTGATTATTCTAGATTAAAAAGGATAAGGATTGGCACATTAATTTAGATTAATCATCTGCATCATGTTCATTTATACTTGAAAGGTACTTCTTGGGCTACCAGATTCAGGTAGAACTGGTCTATCCAGGCCATTTATTTCAAAGTAATGTTGACAGAGCCACCTCTTGCATGACAATAATAGTGATTAGGTGAGGAGTAGTAAAAGCACTTTTTTCTCAGTATGTGAACTGTCTATGTATTGAGGAAGACAATCAAAATAGACTTTTCTGTAGAGCATTTAAGGGGTAATGCTGTGAATTTTATTGAGGGTTTAGATATCATTAAACTATTGAGTATTAGGGAATGTTGAATTTTTTCTTTGTTTTAGGGGATGAATGTTATGCCTTCAGAAATTCTATGTGGAATCAGTTGTAGCACTGTAAGCACAATAAGTAAATAGATAACATTTCACTAAAGTAATAAGGTAAATATTTTAGTCTTTCTTTTAGTGTATCACTGAATAATGAAATGTTTGATGATATAGCTGATGCTCATTTTATGTTAGATATGATTATAGCTTTCTCCATGTGAGAAGATCATGACATATTGAAGGTAGTGATGGAAAGAACCCAATAGGAGTGTGATAAATTTAACTTAAATAATGTCCAGTCTCAGGTGAATGAGATACATGAGCATTTCATCAGAAGCAATTAAAAACTTAAGGTTGAACTAATATGTCATTAGTGGGTCGCTTAGATTTCTTGCACAAGTATATTCCCAATGAAGCAGAAATATTGAGATAACTGTTATGTAATAATACCATATGGCAATGATTTGTAGATTAAGGTGTAGGGCATTGCAAGATGTAAAAACAATATTGTATATAGAAAAGTTTTATGATCCTAGAAAATCAGTTATTCAGTCAGCCACATCTAAGAATGTTTAGACGTTTGCTTTCTTAAAAAAAAACAACACCATCATGAACTTTGACTGAAGCAGAATAAAGTATGCCTAGGTTTAAAAAAAATTGCCATTGGATCTAAGATATATCATCAATGTTCCTGATTTGTATTTTGCCAAGCCATGGCTACCTAAAATGTAGACCCTTGGGAAGGTGGTAGCTTGTTCCACGTTCAAAACAAAACATGAACTTCACTTTGTATTCAGTCTTTTGAGAAATTTATTTAGTCTTTCAGTTCTCCATCAAATGTAAGGGTAGATTAGTTGATTTCATTACCCAAATCAGTGTTTGGAATTACAGGCTTTTACTTGGGTAATACCATCAAAATGGCTTAGAGAATCTGTTTTGCAACAATTACATTGGTCTATCAAAGATTTAATTTCTGTATAAGGTTTCTAGTGATGGCTGAGAGTAAGATTATTGTCCATAGTAATATAAAAACAGAAATGCTTAGTTGCTTTCATAAATTACATCAAGAGTTGCATTATGTGTCAGTAATTGGGAAACTATGCATTTAGCAAGGATGACGCACTATGTAGAAAATGGGCTGAACAGTGCAAGCTTTGTCTAGAGCAGAGGCCAAGTAACAAACAAAAAACATTATCTCATGAAATTCTAGATGTATCATGGTGTAAAATAGTTGATGGCATTTGTTAATTTGGCAGACATAGTTGCTTTCAGTGAATTCAGAAAATAATTTGTCAGATAAGTCAGCTTTGTTGTTTATTTTAAAATTGCAGATGTATTCGCTAGTTATATCTTGTACATCATGCTGTATGTACAGATATTCCATTTTGCCAGTAGAAAAATAGCATAATTTAAAAGGTCTTGGAACAATATTAACAGAGTCCAGTTTAAGATACCCTCAGCCAAATTGAATGGGGAACTGGACAATGAACAATAAGCAATTGAACAATAAATAAATGAATATTTTATAAAACTGTAAGGAATAGGTAAGAAAGTTTGTTAAGTTTTAGTGGAAGTTTGGAATAGAATATTGATTGGCCTGGAGTGCTCCCTGGTGTAGTTTTTGATGGGCCACATATTGAGGACAACCTCTTTGTCTGTTCATATAACACTTCAACCTAAGATTCTTCAGGACCTGTTCTGGTTACAGGGAAAGCAGAGAAAATGTTAAAATCAACAAGAAAGTTACTTTAACAGACTTTAAAGCATGAGACATGCTTTAAAGCATGTCTTCATGAAAATAGCTAAAAGTTGTCACCTGTCAAAAATAATAAAACCATAACTAGAGCAACAATTGCATTATGTTGAGAATTCAAAAGGAAATAAATATTGACAGAGGACCTCTGAGAGACAACTGTAGAATCTCAAATTTAGGTCAGAGAAATCTTGAATTGGCAAATAGAATTTGAAACTTAGCTGCAGTAGACAACCCACCATATGGCTTCCAACAGCAATGGTTTCAGCAGTTGGCTCTAGTTCACAATTGCTAGAAGCTGAAAGAAGTGAAGGTTTGGACAAGTTCCAGAACATCAAACTCAGAATTGGAAGTAACAATAGTAGGCTAAACATAGGAGTGGATGCCAAATTCAATGTCCTGTTCATTGTTCAGAATTAAGATAGGATCAAAATACGCTTTAAATATTTTTAAACTATTTTAATAATATATATAAATATATAGTTAATATAGAATGTAATGTTAACCATTCCTTATAGGGAATAATGAAAGTGGAAATATGTGGTATGTTCTGATATGTTAAGGATGCCTTTCAAAATAAATAGGTTATGTTAAAAAGTAGGGTGGAATAGTATATGTGCAGCTTGCCATATGCTGTTCTATTTCATTTTTGGAGGTTGAAAAGTATTTGATGCATACTTCCTGTAGTGCGTCATGTCTACTTTGAAGAGAATTATTTGCATGTATATCACATAAAATTGTTTGCATCAAGCAAAAACAGTGGTGCAGAGAGCTGATTGACGGGTACAGCCTGAAACTGCAGTTGAGAAGAAACGCCAAATTATATGCTTATTTGATTGGAATCATGCCACTGTGGAATTTAGTTAACAAGTTTACCTGTATTCTGCCTGGTACACTAAAGCAAACTTCACATCCTGACTCACCTACACATTTCTCAGCTATCAGGGAGACAATTGTAGTATTATTCTCTTGCATGTTCATAGACGGCCAATTAGTAAAAAAAAAAATCTGGAAAAGCCTCTGCATTAACAAGCTGAAAAAAAATTGAGTTCTGATGTGAAAACAATGCCACTGTTCAGATTTCTGTCACTCTGTTCCATTCCTTTCCAATAAATTTTGTTAAAAGGAAACTCTAGGAAACTCTAGTTTTCAGTTTTAGCCAGCTGCCTGGAGGCTGACATTAAATAAGAGGGTGGTGTAAAATATAAATGTTCATGCCGTTTCCTTGTGTTTTATAGGCTGAGGAACTTTTGGGCAACACAATAAATGATGCATTCAGTGAAGAAAAATTCAAACATGAAATAGAATGTATTTGTGACATTGGTTTTTCAAATTCATTTTCTAATCACTCAGCTTTACTTCTGATAACATCTCGAGTCTAATCCATCCAGGACAAGTTTCTTGTAACATGTAGTATAGAATACAACTCTTCTGCTGCATATTTACCATTTATTTGGTGATATTACGACAAGGAGAATGATAAAGATATCACCAATTTACCATACGTAAAGAGCTTAAATCATGAGAATAGCTTTTTGTTTAATAATTATTAGCTACAATAACTACATGAGGGTGATTTGATTTGTAGCTTAAAATTAAGCCTTGGTTTCAAGAAGATTTGTTGCAATGTCTTTCTTGAAATAACATGGCAAAAAGAGTGAATTTGTAGAATTTCATGGCTAGGTTAATAAATTTGGAAGGCTTTTAATTTTTTTAAGCTGAATCATTTTTCTACATTATAAGCAAACTAGCAAAATCTTTCTTTTGCAGCCATGTGCTTATTCATATTAGTATTTTCGTAGTTTTTTAATCTGATAATGACCTGTTCCCTATCTCCTACCAGATCGCCCAATGCCCATCACCACTATAATGCCTTGGCATTATAGTGGTGCCTTTATTCCCCCAATGGCAGCCCCATTCCAAAATCCAGGCCCCTCAATCCTTATCGATTATGGAACCTTCCATTATCCTCAACAGCTATCCTGGCATTCTGAGGCACTTTAGCATAATTAGATTGTTATTAAAGAATGGGTGTAATGTGCTGATTAAAATTTTAAGACTGTATATCTGATTGAAAAGGAAAGGGCGACTAGTTTCACAATTCTGGAAGCACCTCAAATCTTCATTTGAGGCATTATACACAATTTTTTATTTGTTGGCACCTATATGAGAGCATTCTAAATCAGCTTCCATGTGATAGCTGTGTCAATATCCCAGTTAATGTGATTTGTATAATTTTCTGAAGTAGCACTTCAAGTTTTAAGATAGGGAAAATATTTCTGTTGACATGCACTCTTTCCTCTTCTTTTTCAAGCATCTGAGGAATTCAATACACATGTCTCGGACACCTTTATACAATTCTTTGTGAGGATGATTGGTCACTATCCAGCATATATCAAATGGAGCAGAAGTGGCACAGGCAGCTTCCAAGAACAATCATTTTGCAAGGCTGTCACCTCCAAGACCAACCGCAGATTTGTGAAAAAATTTGTTAAGACTCAAATGTTCTCATTATTTATTCAAGAAGCAGAAAAAAGCAAGAAATGCATAGAAGGTAAATTCTTAGGCCCTAGTGGCCATGTATTTTTTTGCCTTGACATTACATTCCAACCACAGAGATGATTCTTTAGCTAGCAGAAACTTCTCACAGAATAGACTGAGGATAGCAGTCATGCCCTAACCCAACTTCTAAAGGTAAATAGATCCTTAGAATAGCCCCCCCCCTTTTTTTTTCTGAAGATATACCATAATCTTCCACCATATGCTAGCTTGGCATCATTTGAGATGCTGCTTTGAACTCTTCAGACGTACGGGAAGATGTAGAAAATGGCAAGGGTTTGATATGTGAGCAAAATTGCTGAGCACATTGTAAGCCACCCTGAGTCTCCGGAGAAGGGTGGCATATAAATCAAATTAAAAAAAAAAAAATTAAATATGCCAAGTGTGGGATGAGGAGATCCCTTCCAACCCTTTTTCCCCCTATGTGCTATAGATTTATTCCTATCTTATTGTTCTTACTGCAGGGATTCATACGGCCAGGCAGTCTACACTAGCCATTGATTCCTAGTTCTTATAGAAGTCATTTTTTTTTTCAAATGAATCTTGACCCATGGAACATTTTCTCAAAGTCATATGTGGAGATCATTGTAAGGGATGTTTACATGTTCCAGACATAATAACTAATGCACCTTTTGTTTTAACTGCAGGGTATTTTCAGCAGAAATTAAATGAATATCAAGAAGAAAAGAAGTACAGGAGACCCTCCTGAATCTTTGCTTCATAAGAGAAGATTGGTCCCTAGAAGATAGGCAGGCCTGCAACTGATCATCTACCTGGATAAGGTCCATAGGTGAAAGATACCGTTGGTATTGTTAGCTGTCCTGATAGTACTTGTGCTTTGTATGTAAACCATGAAAAGTCATGGGGAGCCTTGGGTACTGTTTTCTACGTTTTCCTTTTTCTTGTGGCTGGCATTACCCGCTGCTCTTTACGTGCCTGAAATTTTGTAGTCCAACTGACAATCAAAGCTGCAGTTCCACAGAAAGAATGGCAGCATAAAAACTGAATTATCAAACAATCCTATTTTGATAATAGGATTCTACATTTTTTGGAAATTTTATTAGATGCAGTAAACAATGCATAAGACAGAGAATGTACTGGAAACAGTGAGACAATTACATTCATTGGAAACATTTTTATTCTCATTAAACTGGTTTCCAGGCCAAACATCTTACATTGAATGTTTGTGCTTCATGGGATTGTAAAATAGATGTTAGATTTCTACATGTGTTCTATAGTTTGCTATGTTTTAAGCAGGAATGCTTGTCCCAGTATCACATGAAATTTTTCCTACTAAACAGTTTAAAGGAGGGAAGTAGAATCATAATATTGGATTAAAGAATGACTTGAAGAGCATAGGAATAAAGAAATAGAAAAGCAAACCCACCCCTAGTGACCATGTCAACTTTGTAAAGGAAGTTGTCCACCCAATTTGACCCATTCCACCACTATAAAATATCAATGAATTGGAAGACACACATTCTTGCACTGAACATTGAGGGATCCAGGAGAAGAAGCAAACCCAAGGATGCTATCTTTGAAGGACTGTTGCTGTTCCTAGCATCATAAGTGGCATTGTAGTGTCACAGTTAGAACAAGTAACTGCCAGTGAAAAGTTAATCAGACATATTTGTTTCTATTTACAATGAAGTTCTTAGGGGCCTAAATCTTGGTGAATTTCCAGTGCTAATTTGGAAAATATTAATCAAAGCTATCATTTAGCTAGAAAAAAACCCAACAATTTCCTATATCCAGTGTTCATTTTTTGTGACTTCAACAATCTGATGGTTAGCTAGATTAGTTACAGATGATAAGAACTGAAATCTAACACAGTTGAATAGTGTTAGGTTGCCTTAGTTTACCTTAAATTCTTCTTTGTATGTTACAAATACTAATATAGACACCAAGTAGGATGGTGATATAAGAATATAAATATGATATGTAAGAGAATTATCTCAGGAGCTGTAGATTTTGCATACCTTTTCTAAAAATAGAAAGTTTGTCTTTGTTCTCCCTGAAATATTCTGTCACTATGCTGAAATAGAGAATGCAAGTAATGATTAGCTTAGAGAAGACTGGATCGACCAAATCTGCTAATTTCCAATTTCCCCAACATGCTTTGCCTCAAGAATAAATAAGTAGTACCATATCTTTACAAGAGGTGGGGGGGAAAAAGCAGTGGGAGGGGACAATAGATGTTCCTCTTGTATAAATTTAACAGTTTAGGATTTGAGAATGTGAGGCTTGGTGCTTGGTAGGCATGTTTTGCCACATGGTTTTCTGTATACCAATTATTGCTACCTTGAGTAAAACAAATGTGGCATATATAAAGTTGCATGTCATGTCAAATTTAACAAAGTGTACTTTTTAGGACATTTTTAATTAGTTAATTTAATGAGAGTATACAAGTCAAGTCCTCTGACAGGACAAGCTATCAAGCTTATATAGTTACAGGAAAATTAGCTCAATATGCTATTGCAATGTCTTTTATAAAGTGTTCAGGTTCTTCACCTAATGAATTATATTAGAGCTTCCAAGAAGTACAATGCTCTATTCATAATTATATAGGAAGCTATATTCAAATTCTTTTATAGACAGGAGAAAGGAAAAACTGTGCCATCTGCACAGAGGGGGAGGGAGGAATGTTCCCTCCACCCAAAGATTTTTTTTAAGATAAAAAAAAATACAAGCTGTGAAAAAAAACATAATTATCTAATATCTCCATTAAATTGACTGCATAGAACAGTATAATCAGTCTTTCCACTGCATTGACAGAGGATGAATTACTAAATAGGAAGGTGTATTATATTGACAGTCCCAGACTTAAATCCTGGGGTCCCACCATCTTTCCAATACAATATTGAAGAGTAACCTTTTGGCTGGCTGTCCTTCCCATGCTTATTAAATCCATAAATCCAGAGTGATAAATTCAAAGTTTTTGTATATAATTCAGAGTCACATTCACATCTTTAAACACTGTGATCTTTGTAATATTTATTAATTCACTTTAGGATATTAAACAAAAAAATAAGCAATAGTGGACATCTTATCATATAAATAAACTTTTCCTGAGGCCAAGTGTTTCAACCCCTTCTCTTTGTTGTACACTAAACGTGTAATGTTTGTTGAATTAGTCTGATCCTAAGATGAGAAATACACTTAATATTTTTTGACCCTTAGCCATTGCTTTGTTAATATGGGATACTCCAATTCTTCGTTAGAGATTCTTTTTTAAAAAAATCTGCTATCCAGCTTTATTATACAGTACTCTTAACTGTTAAAGAATATTAGTAACTTAGAATTATTTGAAACACATCCCAGTACTGACAATAACTTATGAATTTAAGTATTGCTAATGTCAAACTGTCAAAATTCCAAGAAGATTTAATTGAATACACAATAAAATCTCAATTCAAAGCACTATTTGGGAGATGAGAATGTCTATTATTCCTAAATGTTTGTTGAATCTGAATTTGTAATCTGCTTCAATTTTTGTCATTTTATTTCATTTGAATAATGACCTGATTATACCATTGGCATGATTACATCATGCCAATACATGATTTATTAATTACAAAAGATGCATCTGTAAACATGTTTATATGTTTACATATAAACATATGTAAATCATCCAGACTACTTAATCAGCTGAAGTGCAGACAATGATGATATTTTAAAAGTTTTACTGTACTGTTGTTTTTCAAATTTAGACAATTCAAATTTCTCTTGGAACAACTCAAATGTTTTCAAAACTTAATTGGGATTTTTAACTGTCCCTTGAATTTTTTTAAATATCTGGGAATAGTTATTCCAAGGGAATATTCATTTTTGAGTGCAATATATCCATTCTTTAGTTTCAATTACAAATGAAAATGAACCTAAGAATCTTATTCATATTTATATTTCCTTATTTTGTGCCTTTACATTTTGTTGACTATTTCTTACTCCTTTTCTGCATGCTACATAGTGCTCCTTATCCTAAAATGGATATAAATGTACCTATATTATTAGGATAGAATAAAAGTTTGTGTTTCATTTCTATTTCTATTCTCGATTTGTTTAATAAAATAAGCCAATGATTCAACAGCAAATTTAAAAAGGAGGTAAAGTGCATCCATGAGACATCTTGATACACTATCTTCTGAATAAAATAGATTTTCAGGAAAAAAATATTCCACTAGGTCACATGAATGGATGGAAAGAGATAAAGAGAATACATTACAGATTATTGGAGATTAAGAAATTAATGAATGAGATTATAGCTGGCTAATATAAAGGAAAAGAGGACTGTTTCAAATACAGTATGTGGTTTAGATAAAACTGCTCATATGAATAAATTGCAAAAAATAGTGTTCTAAAAATTATCATGGAATACAAAAAAGAATTAAAGTGCCACAGAAGTGTACTATTGAGGATAAAAACCACCACTAATTTAATTCATTTTTTGTGAATACATATCCAGAATGTCAGCAATATAATATCAAATGCTTAGCAATCTTTTTATTAAACTGGTGCGCCTGGTGGCGCAGCAGACTAAAGCACTGTTATTAACACCAGCTGCCTGCAATTATTGCAAGTTCAAATCTCACCAGGCTCAAGGTTGACTCAGCCTTCCATCCTTTCTAAGGTAGGTAAAATGTGGGTAGGTAAAAGTGTGAAGGCTATTGCTTAACGCATTGTAAACCGCCCTGAGTCTCCGGAGAAGGGCAGCATATAAATCAAATTAAAACAAAACAAAACTGGACTCTAGAAGTTGAAAAATCTGAGAAAGTGTCTATAATCTATATGCTAGAGTCATTGTCAATGTTTTTGCATCAATGTTTGTTGGATAATAGCTTGTCCAAGATAGCAGGTGTTTAAAGAGCCTTCAAAATCTTCTAAACCTCACTGAGTATGGCTAGAGAAATGTTATGTAAAAAGGTATCATTATAAACTTCCAGTAATATCACAGCATGAAACTTGATATTTGTCTGGTATATATTATTTCTCAGGTATAATTTTTACTAATTTCGTCCTTGGTTACATTTGACTCAATGTTACATAATAGAGAGTAAAAACAAGTTGATTTCTTGAGTCAGAAGCTTCATATACTTCATTCTAGCGTGTCTAATAAAAATATTACACTGTTGCAATTATTTCAGTAGAAAATAATATATATATATGTTTTCAAGATGCCAATGAAGAATCTCTTCCTCTTGGGATTTAGTGCTCATTTTGAATTGTTTCTCCCCACTAAGACAATTGTTCTCTTTTGAAGATAGCAGACAGCACAAGGGCAGGAAGTAACTCAAGATCAAATACTTACGAATATATAGGATAGTGTATCATCTATTACTTATGAATATATATGCCTGCATAATTGTTTCCCTTTCCTGAAATGTATATTTACCAATGCATCTCTTTTGAGTGCAGGGTGACTTTTATTTTGGTGGCGTCCCATAGTGTATGTACTATTTATGTAAGAAAAACTGCAATGAGCGTTATTTCCTTTGGGTCTAGGGTTTTGATTCCTTAATGCTAATATAGTTCAACTGCACAAATATACTTTTAACAGTTCAAATTAATATTTTGCTGATTGATCAAAACATAAGAGCACAATTATTATTATAGTTATGAGAATTTTCATTTATTAAACAGAAATATTTTTGCATAAATTTTATACAAAAAGTAACTGCAAATTTTGTATAGACTTTCCACTGAAAAAAAAATCTTGAAAATTTATTTTAAAGTGTTTATTTTAAAAAATAAATTGACAGATAACACACTATACTGCATGCTGACAATCATCCCACATTTTAGGGGACTAGGGTTAGAATTTTTTAAAGACAAAAGATGTAATTTATCAAGCACAGTGGCTGTGTACAATGTGCAATGACAAAATGATCAGCCACAGTGGATTGCTTCCAAAGATAGCATTTCAAAATGCCAGCTTCCAGAGACAATGCAAATAACATGAAGTATCTGTTTTCTTAAAAACTAACCACAGTTATCAGCAACTGGTGATGAATCTAGGCTCAAGTCCAAAGTATTCCAGCCACCAAAGGTAGTGAGATGCCAGAATTTCTCAAGGCAATTAATAATTATACTTTTGGGACAGTATTAAATGAGCACCTTAAAGGATATTAAATTAAAAGCAAACAGGCTTATAGCTTGTAAATACACTGTATTAGAAATTCCTGTTGTTGGGAATCCATTTATCTGAGAGCCTGGTTTGTGGTCAAGGTAATTACAATGACAAAGCCTTATTCTCTGCATGCTTCTCTAGGTACACACCCGTGGACCTGGTAATATAGACGTTTGGAGAATACTTGGGATTCTCCTTTTGTTGGAGGACTGTCTAACTAGGGGGTGTCATTCATAACAAAATTAGTTATACAACATTATTATAAATTAGATTTGTTCCTATCTGCTGCAGTTTCTGTAGACTCCTCAATATAACCGCATTCTCTCTTGTAGAAAACAGCTACTAGTTATTGCAACAACCTAGTGATGATTTGAATACGTACTGTAGGTCTTGATCTTAAAGACACTGATGTGAAGATGAGAAGCAATTTGATTGCAGACACTGACACAGTATCGGAGTAAATCAAAGAGAGAAAAAATCTGAAAGGATAATATAAACACGTATGAGATTTGGACATAAAAACTTTCACACAATTTATTCTTTGTGTTTTGAACCCATCATTTTAAACATGAGGATACTCTTTTCAATAAGATTTGATCTTGTCCAGACCGGAGAAATATTTTTTTCCTGCATTTTAAAGCAGAAATGGGAGCTGGGAAAGATCCAGTCTCCCAGCAGCCTAAGCTAGAGGACAGGGCAGGCATGTTCCTAAAGGATGTACTTCCATGATGTCATTTCATGCAAAAGAAAATAAAGCTTAACTTGATAGGAGTGAACCAGTTTAGTTTCCCTTTTGCAACTGGAATGCTTGTGAGATGTCTCTGTGGAATCTCTGCCTTATATTGTCCCAAAAGGAGAAAGTCCCCAACATTCTTGCTCCAATGCAACTGAAGATCTTAGGCTCTATGATTTGAAGTCCTCTATTGGAGATATGGGATTCTTTAATATTCTAGGCTAGAGGATTTCCATCATCAATACAAAAACATCAACCTTTTCTTAATCATGGGCATGGTCTATGAAATCGATATAGTTTCACAAGACAGAAGTACAAACCTTATGTTGAAATCCCTTATCATTCAAATGAATACATCTTTCATGATTTGGTTATAACAATATTGTCAGAGATGGTGTAGGGCAGTGTTGGTGAACTTTTTTGGCACCGAGTACTGAAACAGGTGGGTGCGTGCGGGGGAGTGCCAGAAACTGGAAGAGCAGTTCTGTGTGCTGCGAAGCTGAGCTTCCATTTTCCAGCATGTGCATGTGCGCCAGTCACCTGGTCTGCTTTCTGGCATGCATGCACATGCAAAGACCAGCTGGCTGGCAAGCATACGCACACCAAAAACCAGAAGCTCAGCTTCCCGGTGTGCACATGCGTACCGGGGAGCTGCTCTTCTGGTTTCTGGTGCTCCCATGCGCGCAAAGACCAGCTTACCGGTGGGCATGTGTGCACCGGAACCTGAAGAGCAACGGGCGATGGCTGGTGTGTCTGGATAGATGGCTCAGTATGCCACTTCTGGCACGCATGCCATAGGTTCGCCATCACAAGTGTAGAGTCTCCTGCTTGGGTGGGGTGTGTGTGTGTGGACTAGATAACCTACAAGGTCCCTTCCAACTCTGTAAATCTGTAAAAACTAAAACCCACAAGGAAAGAGAGCATTTTAAAAACATAATTGATAACATGGCTAAAATGAATAATATTTTCTTAAATGCCAATATTTTATTGAGGATATGAAGGGAACTGCAAAATGTTATCTTTCTTTAGAAACACTGGCTTACTTTTATAAAAGATGAACAATTTGGATTATTTTTCCAATGCACATAGCCAAAGGAATGGTCTAAGAATAAGATACTTAGCTGTGATTTCTCAGACTATAAATTCAGCAGACTTTAAATAACATGTTTCTATTGTAAAAATTCTTTCTCAAACTACAGATGGCATTACTTTATTGTGCAATATAAAACATCAAACTACTTGTCCAATAGTCAGTTTCAATTTCGGCTGCTACCTGTTCGCTCGTGGTCACGTGTGCACTTGCGTGCATGCATGACACTTCTGCGCATGCGCAGAGATGTCCAGGTAGGTGGGCGGAGCCTCCTGCCACCGTCGCTACCGGTTTGACCGATCTGGGGCAAACCGGTAGCAACCCACCACTGTACTTGTCGTTTTCTGCTGAGGGTATCTGTTTAGGCATGCTCCAGAGATGTGGAAAATTATACTGGTTTGTTTCTCAGTGCAATTCAAGGTTCTGGATACCACAGAAGCATGCTTTCTCTATAGCACTACCTGCCCTTAGGAACACGGTTGCCCTTAAGATCCAGGTGGCTCCCACTTTGCTGTTTAGAAGAATTATGAAGACCTAGTTTTTCACTTCACTTTATTGCGCTTGCCATCCCTTATCTTTATTTTTTATGTATTATTGATTTTATTATAATTTATTTTTTTTTGTTGCTGTTGTGAGCTGTCCAGAGTTGTTGAGAATGGGTGGCATGCAAATTTATAAATAATATAGTAATAATTATGAATCCAGCATTGTCAATAGAAAACCAAGGATGTATACATGTATCTTAAAAATGCACCTGCCACTTACCAAGGCAATCCAAAGTACAATGTATTCGTCAATAAAGCTATTAAAATATTGATCCAAGAACAAAAGTGCTGGACCTATGAATGCTGTGTCGTGAAGGTGCATCTCGCTTTTGGTCATATGAGCAACCTACAAAGAAAAAACAAGCATTTGTTATTTATAATCAGAATTAATGTCTATGGCGGAAGGAACTACATATAGTACATTTGATAAATGTTTCTCTTTAAGGACTGGATTACAGCCAGTCATAGGATAAACCCTGTTGAAGTGTCACCATATACACTAGTAATTCTGGACTGGGAGAAAAAAAGAATAAAGCTGTTACAGTGAAGCATTTCATAGAAAATGAGTTAAAAGCATAAGGAAATACGTACCACTAGTTTATTAGTTATCTTAGCAGAAACAAACCCAAAAGTCAGTATATAGAGGCAAGGATGTTTTTCAAAAAGTTCTACAGCAGATTTCTTGTAGATCATGGCAGCTAATGTAATGACAGTTCCAATATGAAGAAATGGTGAAAGGACACTTGTTCCCTACATAGGAAAGAGATTTAATATTAATTTACAATGCTGGGCATATAACGTAAATGCAATTGTCAGCATTCCAGAGCACACCTTGGTCAAAAATACATACATACATACATACATACATACATACATACATACATACATAACTTTTAATTATAACTCAATCTCACTGAACTTTTTCAAAGTCAATGGGGAACTAATAATAACTATATGACCTACAATATTTAGTTAAGATGCAAGGATGAATAAGCACACATTTATCTAATTTAATTCTGCAATTTAAAATTGCAGTTGTTCAGGTTCAAAAAGACTCTGAACAGAATAACACTGAAGAAAAAAAAAATTTTAAAAAAAATCAGCCCCAAAGAAATGTACTGAACAATGTGCAGCTAAGATGTCATGATGGTTGGGTAAGAAGCTACTAATCGGGCGGCCCTCCCGAGCTCCATTTTCCCTGACAGAGGGTTGCAGGAGGCTGTCGCAGCTGAAAACGGAACTCGGGAGCCAGTTTTCACTGGCAGAGCGGTTCAGGCCACCACAGGTGCCGACACAAATGATGTTAAGATGGCCATGCCCCCCCCTCCCCCGAAGATAAAACACAACCCTGATGCAGCCCTCAATGAAATTGAGTTTGACACTCCTGCCCTAAAGGAGGAAGGGTCCTGACGCGAATGCAGTTTGGGAGTTGTGAATGGAAGGTCATGTCTGAGGAGGCTGAGAAACTTAATTCCATCTATCCAGAGGCAAAATTATGAATATATTTAGAATCAGGGATGGCAAGATTTGGTAAATATGCTCCAATATGAAGTGAACTTATTCATAACCAATTTTAAGTTACTTAAGTTACTATATCACATTTTCTTCATATTCTACCTAGATACAGTATCTCGGAAATATAAATAAAAGACAAAAAAAATTAAAAACAAAAAAAGAGGCTTGTGGCAACAGGATAACAGATCCTCTGAGGACCTTCAAGAGTTAATAGCATTGACTTTAATTTTGAAGAGAAAGATAATAGGAATACAATTTTTAAATTACATTTTGGACTTTAAAGGGCTGCAAGCCAAATTGGACAATCGTGTTCAGCTTTTGTATGAGTATAGAGTGGGAGATGGAGGATTAAAGCAAAAAATGGGTGTCTTAAATTGTTCAGAAGTTTGAGGAGGAAAAAAACCCTATTCAATGAAATCGATGATTTTGTTCCCAGTTTCAACAGAATACACAACTCCTGGGTGTATACAATCAGTATACACCCAGGAGATTGCAAAGCAGATTGTGGGAGGCACTGATAAAACTCATAGCTTATCACCTTCCTATGCTTTATATGTAGAAGGGTGGGTAACCTATATGTTTCATGTAATTTCCAATATACAGTGGTGTTTAAAGTTTGTGAGGCCTTTTGCATTTTTAATGTTTTGGCATAAAAATGGCCTAAAACATGATCCATTTTCCACCCAATCCTAAAACTTAGACAAGAGTACACAAGTGAACAAATCAGCGAAAAAACTTGTTTACTTATTGATGAAAATGATTCAAACCTACATATTTGTGTATAGTAAAACTATATAAACTTTTGCTTTAAGTAACTGGTGTGCCCTCCTTAGGCAACAATAACTGCAACTAAAAGTTTCCAATAACTGATCAGTCCTGCACATCATCTTGGAAGTATTTTATCCTATACCTCCACACAGAACAGTGTCAACTCAGGCTGGTAGGCTTCCTGCCAAAACATTGACTTCCTTTTGCTTTAACCATTCTTTTATTGTACAATTTCTATGTTTTGGATTATTATTAGCGCAGTGATGCAGTACTGCAGGCTACTTCTGCTGACTGCTAGCAACCTGCAATTTGGCAGTTCGACTCTCATCAGGCTCAAGGTTGACTCACCCATTCTTCCGAGGTTGATAAAATGAGGACCCACATTGTTGGGGGAATATGCTGACTTTGTAAACCACTTAAGAGAGGGCTGTAAAGCACTGTGAAGTGGTATATAAGTCTATGTGCTATTGCTATCTTGTTTCATGAATTTAAGGATAAATACCCTTATTTTCCTGTAGAATTTGCTAGCACAATTCAGAATTCCATAAATAATGGCAGCCATCCTGGTTCAGAGGCAGCATAGCAGGGCGGAATCATGATACATGATACCATCTTTCACAGATAGGATAAGGTTTTATGCTGGAATAAAAGCTTTTCCTTTTTGTCAAACATAACACTTTTCATTCAAGCCAAAAAGTTCTATTTTGGTCTCATCTGTACACAGAACATTGTTCCAATAGCCTTCTGGCTTATCAATGTGGCCTTTCACAAATTTTAGATGGACAGCAATGTTCTTTTTAGAGACTAGTAGCTTTGTCCTTACAATCCTGCTATTTACACCATTGTTTAGTATCCTTATGTTCACCAATGCAAGGGAGGGCTTTAGTTTCTTAGATGTCACTCTGGGTTTCTTTGAGGCCTCCCAGACTATTACACACTTTGCCATTGATGTGGTCTTGGTTGTTTGTCCAGTCTTGAGAAGAGTAATGAAGTGTGAATTACTTCTACTTCTATTCAATCTACCTGACAATGGACTGCTGAGTCCAAATTCTTTGGGAATAATTTTGTTGCCTTTTTCAGCCTGGTGAGCACTAACAATTGTTTTTCAGAGATCCCCAGAAATCTCCTTTGTTTGAGCCATGACACATTTTCACAAATTGTGAAGATCAGACTTTGATACTGGTACCCAGAATTATTTTCTTTAAATAAGGCAGAAATTCTTACACTCACACCTGATTATCATCCCATTGACAGAAATGCCTGACTTTCATTTCCCCTTCAAATGAACTGATAATCCTAGAGGTTTACACATTTTGCCAACCACAAATATATAGTTTTCAATCATCTTCCTAATTAAATAAATGAACATGTGCATTTTTGACTCTTTTGTTTAATTGGGTAATCTAGTTTCAGGATTTGTGTGGAGAACAGAATTTAGGTCATACATGCAGAAATACTGAACATTTAAAAGAGTTCACAAACTTTTAAGCACCACTGTATATATTAAACACTCATCTAAATTAATGCAAAATCTGCTCCAAAGACAACTGGTCTTAGTTTATTTTTAGAAGATCATCAGTGGTGCTCTAGTAACCTAAGAGTGTGGACAAACAAAAAATGCTATTTTCTTTAATCTTGATTGGAATGTGTTTTATCTTATGAAAATGTATAAAATTAATCTATTATAAGACAGTTTGAAATTTGTAATAGAAAATGAGGCACCCCCAGAACCAGATGTAAAAAAGTATCTTTTCTTAGTCACTATATTATATTGGAATTTTTATTTAGATGCTGTATAATATATTCTTCCCTTTTACTAATAATGTAGTGGAGGATCTTATTAATTAGCCTGCAAAAAATTTAAAATAAGACTATTTTATTTTAAATCATATAGAATCAGATTGACCAAAGTAATTTTGCTTCAGATCTTGACTCTGAAAATGCCATCTGATGAGAACTTGAAACTAGGAAACTGATATTTTTTATTACAAACCCTATTCCTGACCACAGAGCTCTAGTCTACCTCTTTTGTCCTGAGTTTACCTTCTCATCTAATCCAGGAGAAGGACATGCTTTGAATGTTGGGGTGTACTGGAGAACCCAGAACTTTGAATTTTTTAAAAATCTGTTACGATGCTGTTGAGAATTTATTATTTTAATGATAATTTTTACTGAGAGGTTTTTTTATAACTCCTATGAGCCTTCGGGAAAAAAAGGAAGGGAGGAAGGGAGGAAGAGAGGGAAGGAGGGAGGATTATACAGAAGAGAAAATGGAAGAATAATGTATACTAAAAATACAAAACAAAACAGAAAAACACTTACTGCTATGGTTGATCCATTTTTGCCAACTCCACCTGTGAAGATCACACCAAAGTAGTTTGTACAAGAGAATATGGTTCCTGCTACTGTACAAATAGCTGGAAGTATTTTCATGTGAATGTTTAACACTGGAATCTTAACAAGAAAGGAAAATATTAAAACAGTTTAAATATTTCATGTTAATTTTATTTTAGATTTCAAATGAACTCAAAACATTCCACTTTTCTAAATCTGTATGCAGGAATTTTCTGGAACAGGGCTTTAAAAAAACCTTTGGAATACATTACCTTACCTTTCAGAATTTTTTTTATTTATAATGAAACGCTAGACCTATATGTGAACATTTATTTCCTAAGAAAAAGCAAATAATAACTGAATGGAAGGACTAAACATTTGACTACCTATTTTGGCATAATCAGGAACCAAGATTTAATTAAGTTATAATAGATATTGCCTTTGATGTAAGAAATGGCATAATGAAAATAATTGACTGCATGTGTTAAGGGAAGAAAGCTGGTTGAAAATCACAAAAGAATGAGGAAAGGACCTTTGGATATACTCCAAAATTCTATGTCACAAACAGACATAAAGGGGGAAAAAAGAGCTGCATGGGAAAGCAATAATGGATCATTTTGCAGTTCTCTGGACAGAACCAAGCAGATGGCAATGATATGGAGTGCTAGCACTCATGGTTCCGTGTATAGCATCCTATAGTCAGAACTATACTACTTGTAAACAATGATTAATGGATAATAATAATGACTGCTTCACCTACAATAATTTACATTATCCAATTATTGTTAATTTCACAAGAACATAGAATATTGCTCTATACCACAGTAGAGTAATATAGCAATGGCTCTGTGGAATTTTAGACCAGTCTGAAGATAACTGAACCTATGCCCTTCTGCAGGCGTTTAGACTTTATAAACTAAATGGTGACATGTGAATAAATAAAAGAGCCTTGGTAGTACAGTGGTCTAAAGCACCCTGTTATTAAGACCAGCTGCCTGCAATTACTGCAGGTTCGAATCTCGCCAGGCTCAAGGTTGACTCAGCCTTCCATCCTTTCTAAGGTAGGTAAATTGAGGACCCAGTTGTGGGGGCAATAAGCTGACTTTGTATAAATATACAAAAGGATGAAGGCTATTGCTTAGCACATTGTAAGCCGCCCTGAGTCTCCGGAGAAGGGCGGCATATAAATAAATAAATAAATATGTTTCCATTTCTCAATTATAAACATAATTTTTAAATAATCGGACTACAGGTGGATCTTCTGTACTTATTCTACATGACTTTTTTTTCTTATATTGTAATTCTAATACATGCTTACTCAAAAATAAATATCATAGTGTTCATTAAGGGTAAGTATATAAGCAAGTGTATATACGATTATGCATATACAGTAAGGCAGTGTTTACAGAATTGCAGCCTAATTAAAAAAATAGAGCAATTGTAATAACCTTGCTAAAATTAGCTGCAATTCTTTTGTGTCTCCCCCCCCCCCCCCCCCCACAAAAATAAAAACCCCGGGGTTTTAGATGCCTTTTTCAACTATAAAATATCTTGCATAAAATATCAAAGTTATGTATTTCACACAGGCTGGTTATGTTTTTTTTTAGCAAACTAAATATTAGCATGGAGATGTAAGCTGTAAATTCTCTCCTTAATTTACAGTGTGTGTGATCTAAAACCAACCTGTTTATAACTATATTGCTAGCCTATTATCCAGCTTCTTATTTATGGCATAATAAATATTTGTTCCATGTATTTAATACATTTTTCATGAAACAGATCGCTATTTTAAATCGTAGAATGGCAGCATACATCCCACATGAGCAGTTCCAGCATCCATTTCCCTTACAAAGAGTGATGCCGGTACTTCTTCCTCATCATGTTGTAAGCATTTGTGCCTTCATTCATTTGGTTTTTAGAGACTGCAAATATTTCATTATTTGTACAGAATCACACATGTGTTAAGATGAACAAAACCGAAGGGAGGCCACAACAATATATTGTAAACCTCTTTCAGAATATTCTAGGACTACACTAGCATGAAATGTAGTAAAGAAGGCTGCTATCCTCATTCACTGTCCCATTCAATTTGTTTCTCTTTAACTTTTGGACCGAATACTGCAATAATACCATTAGAACATGTTTTGTGTAACCATCATGTAAACATAAAGTGATACAGAAAGAAAAGTAGAATGTTTGAGTATATATACTGATATATACAGTATTTCTCTTTATTTGTACACCTAGCACTATGCCTTTTTTTACCCAATATAAAAAGCAACTTAAGTAGCTAAGGGTACCAAATGAAAGAAATATTGTTTGAAATGAGCATTTATGCAAGTTTTAAAATAATTTGTTAGTTTTACTTGCTTTTACTGTAATATATTTTATAAGATCCACCAATTATTCATTTTCAATATTTAGATAACTTACAAACATATGACACTAAAAATTGTTATAGATAAAACAACATGCTCAAGCATCTATGGCAGCCAAATTATCTTGTTAGTTGTTTCTTTACCATTGTTTGAACTGCATTTATATTATAAGATTTACATTAGTAGATTTATGCATGCCAATTGGAGATTCTTTGCAAGCTGTCCCTCTAAATCCATAGCTGAGGGTCGAGACAGATATGTCTCTCAAAGGCTTGACAGGGTTACTTTGTGGGTCTTTTGCCCCCAAAGCCTGGGAAAGAGCCTCACACGTTGCCTCAATATTCAGAACAACAAATTTGGAAAGGGGCTATCTAAGGATGTACATAACATTCCATGCATAAACTGAACAGAACAGTTCAGTTTCAAGTGTTCCATGCTTGAGCTAAACATATATGTTTCCAATAGTTTTTGTCTGTATATGGAATAAAATGGGCCTTTTTTGCTTTAGTTACAAATCAAAATGTGATTGGTTGGGAGTGGAGTTAAGAAAAAACCCAAGAACGTTAGCGGTGGCTGAGGAATATGAACACAGGTGGTAGAGACTGGAGGTGAAACTGAAGGCTACTGAAAAGAAAAAGAGTGAAAGGGGGCTAGCCCTTGCTATATTCACCCATCAAATACTCAGGGATCTCTCCAGATTTTGATTCACCTAATAGCTAGAACAATCAAAATATTCTAGTTTTGTTTCTGCTGAACCATGGCTGACTGAAGTGGTTCAGCAGAACTTCTAGTATGTAATGGCTTGTTTTGGGTTAGAAGAAAACATATTTTCCATTCCTGACATAATCCTAGTTCTATGCAAAGCATCCCTCCAAATGATGCATAGCTCTACCAGTCTAACAATTTTTAATTTATGCATGTGCAATCTACTTTTTTTGCTACTGAATTATCCAGTATATTAGTAACCTGTTTAGCTACCAGTCAAAATTATTTCTTATGGAAGAGATTTTGACTGAATCACAGCATTTTATTAAAATCTTTCCAACAAAAATAAGAATAATATAAATATATAAGGAAATGAATTTCTCTAGAATAGAAGATTAAAAGATATAAGATACAGAGATGGACAAAATTACCATAGTTTCCCAAAATGTAGGTCCTCCAATCGCTGCCAGTAAATGCATGATTATTATGAAGACTTGCACCTCAGTCACATCAATTCTGATTAGGTACAAAAAAAGCCAAAAAAGCAGAATTACTCAAAGCAATTTTAAATAATTTTGCAGGCACAGCAGCTCTTGTTTATCATGCACAAGGTAAGAGAGAGAGAAGAAGAATGAGTGGAACGAGGGGAAGAAATTAAAGCAAAATATTTTTAAAAATATATAACTAATGTAGCTCATTGGCTTCACAGTACAGAGCTATCATTTATTTTTATGTAGTTAATTTCCAATATGTTCTCCTGTTTTATTTAGTCAGAGTGGTCAAGACCACAACTCTAAATTGCCATTGAGTACATAGTTGATAAATAGGGAACCAGCAATGCTTTAAATTTCTACAACACTCAAGCTGGTTTTAAAATGTAAATGTGACTTTCTCATTGCATTGAATGACTGGTTACAAGAGAAACTTTCAGAATTTTCCTTCTGACCAATCCTTTGGCTGTATAGAACTGCAGCTAGGAATATTAAAAGTTTTATTTATTTCAAACAATGACAAGCACTTGGTAAGACAACTGCTAATAATGGAATGTGTAAAAGTAGTATAGAGAGTAAATTCAATTTTATTTAATGTACATTAATTAAATACAGGTAGTCCTTGACTTGCAAACATAATTGAACCCAAAATTTCAATCACAGAGCAAGGTGAAGTTAAGTGAGTTTTACCCCATTGTACAACAACAATTGTTAAGTGAATCACTGAAATTGTTAAATGAGTCATCTAGTTGTTGAGTGAACCTGGCTTCTCCCATTGACTTTGCTTATCAGAAGCCACCTGGGAACGATACGAATGGTGATTGCATGACTCCAATACAATGCAACTGTCATAAATACATGCCACTTGCCAAGTGCCCAAATTTTAATAACATGATTGTGGGGATGCTGCAATAGTTGTAAGTGAGAAAACCAGGCATAAGTTATTTTTTTCAGTGCCACCTGAACACTAAATGAATGATTGTAAGTTGAGGACTACTTGTACAGTTAACTTGAATATTATAGAGATGTATAATCTTATATTACAATTTATTAACAACTTTTGAAGAAAGCCTGGGTATATATGAAAAGTATTGGGGTTGCATACAGCCCAGGGCAATAAGTGCCCATTCATAGAAATTCAAGGCAAGGGAAACTACAACGGCATCTCTCTTCAGGCTAATTTGTGCTTTCTTATTTTTTTTTATTCCAAATATGCCATTCTTTCTGCCTACAATCCTCCTTCCAAGTTCTTCTTGATAAGGCAAAGATAAGGCTTTGATCTGCAAATGCCAAACCACATTTCTTCCTCCCAACAAAACACTCATTTCTCAGGAGAATTGGTGATGTTCAGAAAAATAAATGTAGTACGGATAAAATGCACATCTTGACATACACCAACAAAAAGACATCTTCCACTTTCTATAATGTTTCAAGCCCCCAAAGTACAATTGCATAGGAAAATATTATTGTTATTTAACATAAATGTAGACCATTTCACATGTAAAGAATGAAAGCAAATGTTTAAATGTGCAGTTGATAATTTCTGAAAAATGTATTTATATTTGACCACTAGTAGCATAATATCTAGTTTATGATATGGTGGGTAATATGGGTTATTTGGGAATTATCCACTAATATCCAATTATTGTTTCAGAAAGTTCAAATAGAAATCTAAGTCCTGGCAAGAACTCTTACATATACTTTATACCTATATTCAACCACGGAGACAGGTACACAGATCCATACATCAAAAGACATGCATATATATCAATCCATATGTGAAAACCACAGAATTAGATTAAGCAATCTTGCATAGATCACATATCAGTAAAAAAAAAAAAAAAAAAGACGTTACAGGAATGTCAGGAGGAAAAAAACCAGGTAAGACTGTAGGAATGGCAGGCATGCCAGAAGACCATAATGAAACTGCATATGAAGTCAAGTCAACATCCGAAGACCACACTTGAGCACTCACATTTATAAGTGTAGTGAAATACTATTATTACAAATGGAGCAACCTAAGCTCCATTATTATTATTCCTAATAATAACAAACATCTTCATTTTCCATCAATTTATACAACAAATATATGACTTTAGATCAGAGGTGAAATCTACTTACCTTCCCTACCAGTTCGTCATGTGCATGTTTGGAACCTCTGCTCATGCGCAAAGCCATGTGCAGAGGGTAAAAAAAAGATTACTTCCTGGTTAAAACCAGGAAGTAATGACGACTGGGTGGGTGAGCGGAGCCTTGTGCTGCCGCCGCTACCAATTTGGCTGAACCGGTCCAAACCGGTAGCATTAATCTGTCATTAAAAGGATTAACATTTCTAGATGTCAATATACCAATCATGTTACTTTGGAAATTCCTTCTGTGTGAGGTTTTCCTTTTCAAAATCAATATTAGTAGAAATTTATTTCGACCTCCAAGATGTCACTCTCTCATTGGGGCCCCAGGTCAGCTGATAGAGCCAGGTCTTCAAGCCATTTCAGAAGACCAGAAGGGAGGGTGAAGATCTCATCTTGGAGGGGGGTACAATGTTCCAGAGGGTGGGTGCCATAGCAGAAAAGGCTCTTCTCCTGAATCCTGCCAGCTGAAATTCCTTGAGTGATGGGATCTGTAGCATGCCTCTTCTGCCAGTGTGGGATAATCCCAATGGAATGAGCTATTCCTCAGATAACCTGGATCCATGCCATGAAAGTCTTTATAGATGATAACCAACACTTTGAATTGGACCCAGAAGCAAACTGACAACCAGTACTGCTCATGGAACAGCGGTGTAATATGGGCCACCCTGGGTCTTCAAAACTACAGCTGCATTCTGCACCAGCAGAAGCTTCTGGATACTCTTCAATGGTAGACCAATACAGAGCCTGTTTCAATAGTCCAAATCAGAGATCACCAGAGCTTGAGAGACTGAGTGCAGGGATTCCCAATTCAGGAAAGGGTGCAACTGGCATACATACAAGTCCCCCTGTTCCTATAGGGACTGGGTTATTCTGAACAGGGTGACACTCTGCAGATGCAATAAGAGCAAGAAATAATGGAGTTTTGCTACTCTTACTGCCATGAGGTATACCTTAATAGCAGCTCTTACTTGTGTACGGTCGGATTCATATCTTGTTTTCCTCCAGAGGTGCTCTACTAGTCATTTAGCCCTTTTCAGAACTTGCAGTTCTTCTGTGAACCATGGAGAGTGTTGGGATCAAAGGGTCAAGAGAAGCCACATAGGCACAATTCTATTCAAAATTTTGGTTGCCCTTTGGTTCCAGGATATAACCAGAGCTTTGGCAGGACCATGCAGCAAGGCCCCCTGGATATCCCCCAGTTCTCTCTGGAACTCATTTGCATCCATCAGTCAGAAATAAATAAATTCAAGGAATAAATATACTTGCTTATATAAAATTATGTTTATATCAGCATGCCCCATTAGAACTGTTAACCATTTTTGTGATGGATATCACAAAAGAAGTGAAAAATTAGCACAACTTAAAGTTCAAAGTATTTGAAAGGAGAGCTAGATGACAGAATTTAAACTTATAAGAAATTTATTTGTTATGCATTTTAGAAAGGAGATTGTAGAATCTTTCTTAAACTTGAGGTTAAGGAACTGTAAAGGATGAATGAGAATATTTGTATGAACATAAATATGCCCATTCCTCATTTAGCGATCAAGTTTTGTTTCAATAAACAGGAATAAAGGAATAAAATATCCATGTTTCAAAACAAAGTCTTTTTTAAAATAAGGGCAGAAGGGAAACTTTATAATCTGACTGAATTTGTGTCTTCTATTCAGATATTATATATCACAGTGATGGCTAACCTTTTTGCCATTGTGTGCCAAAAGCGTGGGGAACGTGTGGGTGCGTGTCAAGTGCGTGCCCACACCCATAATTCTATGCGCCCCGCCCCCATGTATGTGTGCACGACTCTCCCGCGCTTCCCCTGCTTTTGGCATGCGATGGCACAGTGGGCCCAGTAGGCCCATTCTTCGCCCTCCCCAGGCTCCAGAGCCTTTCTTGGAGCCTGGGGAGGGGAAAAACGGCCTTCCCTACCCCCTCGGAGTCCCTCCGGAGGCCGGAAACGGCCTGTTTGTTGACTTCCAGTATGCCCAGAAGCCCGAAAATCAGCTGGCCGGCGCACACATGTGCGCTGGAGCTGAGCTCGCGTGCCCACCGATATGGTTCCATGTGCCACCTGTGGCACGGGTGCCATAGGTTCGCCATCATGGATATATCATCCTATATTGAAACAAACGCCTGGAAAATATTGTTAGTAAAACAATTGCCTTTTAGTGTGCATGACAAAAAAGGGCTGCCTCCATAGAATTTATATCATTGCTTCCCAGACAAAACCAATTTTTATCATTTACCGTATAATTCCAAAATTCAGATCCAAGAATTCCTGTTAGGAAGTGAATTATTATAATACAGACTTCAGACTCAGTAACATCAAATCTAAAAATGAGGGGGGAAAACATTTCAGTTTGAAAGTCCTGTGACTGCAAATTTTTACTCATAAATGAAGAAATGGATTCAAAATCACAGGAAATCTTTAAAAAGTTACAAGGTTAAAATTACAAAGAGAAGAAAACAACAATTGTAATCCCCATTAGCTGAACTCCACTGCAAAATTCCTAAGTGCAAAATTACTGAATTGCAATCAGTAATTTAAAAGAGGGAGACTAGAAATATTTTGAAAGCAATATATAATTCCTTTAACAGTTGCTAAACAGATCTCACACAAATCCAGTTTAAAATTTTAAGGCCAACTTTATATTAGCCTCATGTAATCCTTTAGATAACCTATAGCAGTAATACCAAACTTGGCTTACAAAAACCACCAAGAGAGCAGAAATGATCCCCTCTATGAATGAATGAAAAAAATGTTTTTTAAATTTAATTTCTCTGTTATGACCATCTCTGTTACACTCACATGAAATCATATCTGAACAGAAAATAATAGGCTATAAAATACTTTGAAATTAAATATATATTTTAATGGCAACATTTCAGTGTTATTATTTATTATTTTAAAAATAGTACATTTTACACTTAGGTAGCCCAATTGTATGTCTAAAACAAAAGCATATAAAGTTTTAGTCACATCAGATTCTTTAAATATTTGTCTTAGACTTGGTTAAGGCACCAGGCTAGAAACCAGAAACTGTGAGTTCTAGTCCCACCTTAGACATGAAAAACCAGCTGGGTGACTTTGGGCCAGTCACTCTCTTTCAGCCCAACTTATATCACAGGGTTGTTGATGTAGAGAAAATAGGAGGAGGGAAGTATGTTTGCAGCCGTGAGTTATTTATTTTAAAAAATGTGGCATATAAATAAATAAAATAAATAAATTAAATATAGTTCAATAAATCACAATAAAAATCTATGAATATTTCCTTTAATTTATATTTATTAGTACACACTTAAATGATAAAATTTGCATGAAATCTGCATGATCTTGATATTTCTTAATTCAGTGAAGGAGCATTTTATATCTTAGGTTACATTCCAGGACCTATGTTTAATATCTAGCTCTAATATTTAACGTTTATTGGAAAACAATTTTCAAACTGTGAAAATCTGTTGGTCACAGTGAATAGGTAAGATTTAGTTTTCCTCAGAACTCAAACCTCACATGAAATCAATTGAAGTTTACTGCTTCAGAAAGTGAAAAGGATCATACAAAGGCCATGTACTTGAATATAGCCTTATTTTACCTTATTACTTAAAATGCTCTAAACTGAATTTAAAAAGTCTTGTATTTTAGGAATTTGTTAGCCATGATCTTAATGCTGGTTCACACACTGCCACTGCTTAATAAATTGTGGGTTGTTAACAAGTGGATTGCTTTATCTAATATATTAAAATATAAAACTATCCTTTATAAAAACAACAGTGGCTGGATTCCTACAGACTAAATTGAAACGAAACAAATTACCATATACTATGGTTTTGCATCATTTGTGTACCCAATGCTTTTTAGCCTTGCAACCAAGAGATGAGAGACAAAGTGTATGAACACTATTTCTAAATTAGTAGTCCTACCTTTGGGATAAAAAAGTTATACAATTAGCAGCATGAACCAATGCAGTCAAGCAGTGATTTTGTAGCTTTTGAAAAAAGAAATCCAGATCTAACTTTCACACATCTATCATGCTATTATGCTATCATGATCTAATTAATTATTCATCATACAGACAGACACTGTTAATTCCATAGTAAGTGATACACAAACCAGACCTTATCATTCAAGGAAAGAAAGATGTTTTTTAAAAATGATTTTTTAAAAATATGCAGAATAAGTTGTTGTGCATCTAGTTGGCACTGAATTCAAACAACAGACTTAAACAATTAAAATTGTTTATATCAGGTGTCATTTTACAACTGTAAAAAGATAGGTAAGATAGCAAAATATTTCTCTCAGCTACATTACTTACATTCCAAAGCGCATTGTTCCAGAGACATATGTCTGCCAGTGTGCACAGTAAAACATGAATGTCCCAGCAAAACAGCAGAAAAACATCCAGTCAGGATTTGTCCCCAGTCGCACAGCGATACACGTTCCCAAAACCACGAAGACTGAAGATAAAATAAATTAAAACTAAGGGGTAGAAATTGCACATATTTGCTAATGGATCATTATGGCTGTTTAATAACTTCTAATATGTAAATTGTCCTCTCACTCACTTATATTTCTGATGGATTCTGGAAAGTATAAGATTCACAACAAACATTTACTTCAAAAGGCATACAGAATTGCCTCCAACTTTTGTAAGTGTTATCAATTACATTTTACACTTGTGCAAGATTAAAAATAAGATTTCCACAAATGGTTAATATTTTGTGGTAGCATAATGACACTATGAATAAACACAAACAATATACATGGCAACGAATTTCAGAACTCTTAATTAACTACATTGGAAATGATACTAGATGCTCAGTCACATGTGAATTCACTCCGTTTGAAAATAAATTAAGTACATTTTGGGGAACAGTTTGATATAGTGGTTAAGATGCTGGCCTAGAAACCAGAGTCTGTAATTTCTAGGCCTCACTTAAGCATGTAAACCAGTTGGGTGATTTGGAACCAGTTATTCTCTCTCAGCTTAATCCATCTCACAGGGTTGCTGTTGTGGGAAAAATAAGAAGTAAGAGCATTAGATATGTTTGCCGCCTTGAGGCTTATATACCTGTATGAATGTGTGTGTATTTACATAAATGTAAATATAAATAAATAACAGGGGGTTAAAATCTAATAATATTCAATTTAATGAGTTTTCTTTCCAGACATGCATACAAATTATACCATTAGCAATATTTGACTATTTACAGGAAATCTAATTTCAACCTCTTGCCTTTGTTATCCTAGAGCCAGCATCTAAAACTTTGAAGTATTCAGTTTGAATAATAATCAAGTTTCTAAAGCAGTTTAAACTGCTTAGGAGATTTAAAGATGTTATGGATTTACCATGCTTTCTGTTTATAGAAGTACTGTGCAGCTTTCCTTCCATATGATCAAAGCTTTGGGAGAAAGAATGGAGACTGATTGGGCCTTCTGATTGTAAGGTGACTAGCTAACTAATAAGCCAGGCCAATTCCAGAATCCCATTTCACACGCTGAAATGTGGTCAAAGAGTCTAGAACTGTTTGTTCTTTAGTAGTAAGAATTTATTTTTTAATTAGCATTTGAAAGCTTTTAAAAAACAGTCTGTATTAATTCATTATATTTTCTCTATAGATTTGTTGTTAGACAACTCTCAGCTCATTAGAGGCATAGGGCAATATAGCAAAAATTTATTGTAGCGAAATCCTTGAAACTATCTGCCAGGAGTTAATATTTCTAAATGGTCTCCCATCACTATTATTTTATTCCACTCAGTCATAAAAACAAGCTAGCTGCAAGAGTTTAGAACTTTCCCAAAACAGTGCATGATTCTTTTTAAAATCAGTTTGGTTCAAATCAAACCTAGTTTCAAATTTGAATTGAATTTTATTTCCCTTGAATCTCAATATTGAATGAGAACTTTCTTGATCTGCATTCCCCACTTGATAATTCTATAACCATAGTGGAGAATATGGAAAGTCTGACTATGATAAAAGAAAAAAGTGTCTTTATTTGGTTCATTTTCATAATTCAGCAAGATGATTCCAAATAGAAAAGAAAACAAGAATTAGATCACACAATTGTTGTACTATTCTTTGAAACAGTCATACACTGTTTTCTATAATAAGCAACAGAGAAAAATTTTTACCCTTATTTTTCTATTATTATAGAAAATATTGCAGAATTTTGAACATATTATGTGAAATCTAATTAGGAAAGGTACAGCCTAGCCATTGAAGCGAGCATTCTAAAATCTGGTGATGTGTAGTTGTTTTCAAGTATCATGCATCCCCCTTGGAGTACTTCATAAATAAATATTCACAATAATTGTGACCTTGCAGCAATTTTGTTGGTTGTGTTATTAACAGTTAATATCTACTAAAAGCACAACCCAAAAACAAGTACCAATCCAAGTTGATCATAGAAAGGCAGGAGAAATTAGTAAATGTACAGTACCACAAAAAATATCAACTGTGTAATTTGTTATCATTTATTCATAGACAAATAACAGTTTATGCTGCAATAGCTACAACAGCATTCATACTAAGATATACATATAAAGGCCTCTGCTTATTTCTTTGTTTCATAGTATAGTACAGCAAAGCATACAATTAAGATGAACCATTAAAATTCCAATATAAAATTCCAACAGGATGATTTTAGAATACTCTATTTTTTGTAAATGTATTACCAAAGTTTTGACCTGTGGCATGAAGTTTTGGTGGAAGCAGTTTTTGTAATAATTTTACTTGTTTTGGTTTTGCACGTGTGTGAGATTTTGAGTCAATCTTGACAATTGTGATTGCCAGTACAAATCCACACAGTTTTCTTGGCAACATTTTCAGAAATCATTTGCCTTTGCTTTGATACTAGGGCTGAGAGTGAATACTTGTCCCAAAATCCCAGTTTGTGGGGGCAATAAGCTGACTTTGTATAAATATACAAAAGTATGAAGGCTATTGCTTAACGCATTGTAAGCCGCCCTGAGTCTCCGGAGAAGAAGGAATCAAATTAAAACAAAAAAAAAATCACCCAGCTGGCTTTGCGCCTACAGGAGGACTAGAACTCACAGTATCATGCCTTTAATCACTGTACCAAATTGGCTTGCATGACTTTATTTAGTAGAGATAACTTGATAGTAGCTTAATACAGTGGTGAGAAAAGGTAAATAATCTTTAGCAAGAATTTAATTCCTGGATTATCAACAGTGCATCATGTTTCAATTTTCATGTCAGTCTGAATGTCTAACAACAATGACAAAATGGTCCAAACAGAAAAGAAAAATTGTATTTGAGCCACTTCTTCATGGTCTAGCACATGAATCACAATACAGGTACACTATGAAGATTGCCTTGGGTGAAATGCGATGAACAGTTCTATTCCTGAGTGACAGGGCACAATTTGGAGGTGCATCTGAGCTCTGAGAGCAAACAAATGAACTGATAAAAAGTAGACATAAATAAAACAAAGGTGAGTCTGTCACAACGTCTGCATCGACACATATCCAGATGTTTGTGCAGGCGCACCTGAACACACCCACCTACACATAAACAAATTCAGTAACAAGCTCCCCTCCTTCAAAATCCATGTGACTACTTTAACTTTAGTCTTTGTTCACCAGAAAACTTCTTGGGTTATGCCATAAGGCTCCAGGGCTGCAATTTAGGGGGACATCAGAATGCGTTTTATATGTGTCCATGTTTTACACAGAACACTGATAAAAGAGCAAGAGAGCCATTGAAAGCACACTGTCTGCAAATATTTTAATTTTGGTTCAGCTGTTCTTTCTCTTTATGGAATTTTGGAAATGGTTTAAAGTTTTAAGGAAATTTAAATATTCAAACAAGTATTTCAAGCATTTCAGTCTTAAACTAAGACTTAAACTGCTTAGTATGAAATAAAAAAGGGATTCCCTTGCATTGAGTTTGACAGGATAACTTTGTGATTCTCCAGCCTAACCTGGAGCTCTAGCATTCCATGGAGTTCTCTATGGAAGTACCAACCAGGCCAAACTGTGCTTAGCTTCCCAAACAAAGGCAACCAGAGGCTACAACCTGCTAATATCAAACTAATCAAATGTAGAACCTTTGTAAAATATATTACCAAAGTTCTGACCTGTGGCATGAGAATTATACAACCAAGGCAAATTATTCTCATCTTATTAGAGCACCAAACGATTTTAGAAAGTTTCGTCCTCATAAATTACTTAATAGACCATTATCTAGTGTAGTACCTGTGGACAATGAATCACAGCCATGGTCAAATAGTTCTCCCAGAGGACTACTACTATTGGTTCTTCTTGCCTGTTTGCCATCTATTGCATCCAAAGACTGATAGATGAAAAGGCCACAAGCACATGCAATATATGCCCAAGGAGGTGCCTAAAAGAGAATGTATGCAAAAAAGCAGCAACATGTAAATAAATGTGTAGGTCTTAAATCAGGCATGAATCTCATATAGTGACAATCTATTCTATTGCATGATTAGTTATAAAAAAATGCAAGTAATATTCCTTCTTTTATTCATATCCAGTTCCGAAGTTTCTTGCATACAAAAAGAACATTACAGCAAAGCATATTAAGATTAAACCTAAACCATCTGCAAGTTTTGTAATTTAAAGGATTATTGGTGAACATGCCCAATATTAATTTGTTTTGTTTCAGCAGGCTTATTTAATCTGCATGGCTACCATTTTAACAAGTAACTCTAGCGAATGAATAAATTAAAAACAAATTCCATCATAATAGAGAAAGTAAAAAAACAGCTAAAGAGAATGTTACAATCCAGGTTGGTTAACACAATCAGGAGACAGGACCCTTCAATATTTGGGACCATGCACCCGAGCACATATCAAGGTCTTTAAGGCCTTATGAAAGGTCAGCATAACCTGGGCTGATCTCCAGAGGAAGGATTTTCCATATAGTGGGCATTATGACACAAAAAGCATACCTCCTACAGCCCACCAACTAGCCTTCCCTGGCTTATAGGACCTGATCCAGTCTGCTGGATCAGACCGGATGGTAGAAAGAACTTGGGGGGGAAATGATCCCTGAGGTAAACTGGTTCCAAGCCATGGAGGTCTTTAAAGGTGGCAACCAGCACTATGAATTGCACCTGAAAGACACCAGCAACCAATGCAGCTCAGGGAGTACTGGTGTTACATATACTAAGTAACTGATACTATTTACTGTCACCATTTACAATGAAATCAGCCACTGTAATTTGTAAACTAGCCAACAGCATAGCATTATATCAATCAATCAATCAATCAATCAATCAAGCAGAATGGAATTGGAAGGGGCCTTGGAGGTCTTTTAGTCCACTCCCCTACTCAAGCAGCAGACCTTATACCAGTGATGGCTAATCTTTTTGCCGTGTGCCAAAAGCGGGGAGAGCGCTGGGAGGGGTGTCGCATACACGCGTGCCCACACCCATAATTCAGTGCATCACTACCCCTGCGCATGCGTGCACGACCCCCCCCGTGCTCCTCCCACTTTTAGCACACGATGGCACGGTGGGCCTGTTTTTCGCTCTCCTCAGGGTCCAGAGGGAAAATGGCCTTCCCCACCCCTCCAGTGGCCCTCCGGAAGCTGGAAACGGCCCGTTTCCCATCTTCCGGTGGGCTAGTGCAACACTCATGTGCCCACAGATATGACTCCGCGTGCCACCTGTGGCAAGCGTGCCATAGGTTCACCATCATGGCCTTATACCATTCCAGACAAGTGGCTATGCGGTTTTTTTAAAAAAACCTCCAGTGACGAAGCACACAGAACTTCTGACAACAAGCTGTTCCACTGGTTAATTGTCCTCTCAGATGGGAAGCTTCTCCTTAATTCCAGGTTAGTTTCCATTCATTGTTTCTTCGTCTTGCCTTCTGGTGGTTTAGAAAATAAGTTGACCCCCTCTTCTTTGTAGCAGCACCTCAAATACGGGAATACTGCTTTCATGTCACCAAATGAATCCAGCCATGATGGTTTGTTCACAAGTTAAAGCTCAGTGCTTACATGACCCAGATGTTGTTTAAGAATACTCAGCAATGACAGCCAATACATTTATTTCTATTTCTGAATAATAAATATAATGCATCCAGGGGAATCAGAAACAGCGTTCACAATTGGAAGGTAGCCTTGATTCTTTTTCCTGATTTCCATCTCATTCTCTAATCTGGATGATAAAAGGTCACTTCTTGATAGCATAGGATCCCTTTAACTTTTAATATGGTGAGATGGTATTCTTATTTTAAATATAAATTATGTTAGCCAAACTATTTGTTAGGGCAGGAACTACTGTCCCCAAAGTGCTTTTTCAAGAGGAAACTGGACTTTGTTTTTCTTTGAAGACATTTTGCTTTGGAAAAGCAAAAAACCAAACAAACAACAAAACAACAATAACACCCACCCACCCCGCCACGAAAGTCCAGTTGCTGCTTGAAAAAGCACCTTTGGGACAACCATGACCTGGATGACTGAGAATCTCCATAGGCAGGAACTATCGTACATATAGGTAGTCCTTGACTTACGACCACAATTGAACCCAAAATTTCTGTTATTAAGTGAGACATTTGTTAAGTGAGTGTTGCCCATTTTACGACTTTTCTTTATGACAGTTGTTAAGTGAATCACTGCAGTTGGTAAGTTAGTAACCTGGTTGTTAAGTGAATCTGAATTCCCCATTGACTTTGCTTATCAGAAGGTCCCAAAATGGGATCATGTGACCCTGAGACACAGCAAAGGTTATAAATATGAACCAGTTGCAAGCATCTGAATTTTGATCACATGATCATGGAGATGCTGCAAAGGTTGTGACTATGAAAACCGGTCATAAGTCACATTTTTTAATGCTGCTATAACTTTGAATGGTCACTAAACAAACTGTTGTAAGTCGAGGACTACCGCATAGGCTATAGTTCTAACACTCAGAATAACCTCACTTTCAGTGCAATATATTTTTGTGCAAGCATGCATATATTTGCATTATAATTGCCCTAGTCTTAGATTTCACAATAAAAGATTTAAAGACCACATCTTTCAAGCTTTTAAACTGTTCAGGATTAGACTGTTTTCCAATTAGTTGACTACATAAAGGATTATTATTATTATATACTGTATTTATTCATAAAATGATTTATCTGTATTTGTTTCATTTGTTCTCCTATCTGATAGCTTTTCTGATGCTATATCGTTACCAAAAACAAATAACCAAACTAGAAATGGGGGTAAGGGGGGTAGGAATTCCTCTCTGTTGTATTTCACTTATGTCAGATGTAGAATACTAAACGTGCCAAGCATATAAATTGTGCATCTGTGCCCAAATTAAAGAATCAATAATAAAAATCTGGGGATTTTCAGAGTTGAATTTGATCAAATCTGCATCTAAATACATTTTTCGTAGTACTTCCAAGATAAAACCAAATTTCAAAGGCTCTGTGGTTAAACATAATTAGTCTCAATGCTGAACTACTCCATGATTAAGCTTTTCCTTTTTTAAAAAAAAGAATGTCTTGTTGCTTTTTCTGCCTTTTAAACAAGTTTTATAATCACAAAGATAAATATGTTTATGAGATATATCTATGCATATTCATATAACCAAGTTCTTGTTTCATAAAAGTTTCCAGAATCTGCCAATGTGAATTTAACTGCCACTGGCAAAAATCTTTTGGACCTGAGATTTTACTGCTAATGGTGGAGGAACGAACAAGAGTCAAAAAGAACATCATAGTTCTTAGTTTAAAGGAAAGGATAAAATATATTTTATAGCCCCTTAGAAAGACAAAATTCATTCAATTTTGTATAACAGTGAAACTTCACTTTAAAGTATCATTTCGAATTATAGTCTACCACCTTTACTTTTTTCTCCCATTTCATTTAAACTTTATTAAAAATACACATAAATCTTTTTCCCCGCTTATATATTTATAGACAGTTATGTGTGGGCATTCAGGTACACTAACTAAAGAGTATATGCTGTGGGTATGTGTGTGTGTGCGTGTGTGTGCATGCGTGCGTGCACACGGTAAAAAGTAAAGGTGATTTTAATCAACAAAGCTCTTCTAAACCAGTTTTAAAGTTAAAACAATATTCAAAAATCAGTAAAACAACAAATATAAGAACTATGGATAAAAAAAGGAGTTGCTTTTTTTCTAATCTGAGAAAGTGTATCTTTACTGTATTAAATCAGAGAACATCTACATTTTTAAAACTTATCTTAATAGAAAGCAGACTAAGATTGTGGTACAAATCCACATGGGCAATCATAATCCATAAACAGTTTCTAAATTAAATTAAATTCTGTATTGGCCTTGTTTCTGACATTGATGCATGCTTGTACAAGTTGATTTTCCCTTCATCTAAAGAAGGAATTATGATGCATAAGATATGCAGGCACCTGTTATCATAATCAAAGCTCCCTCTCTACTTTTGATGTACAGTTTCATGTTTGGCAGAAAAACAGGAAAGAAAATTAACCTTTAAGATCTGTTTCATTCTATAACAAATCATCATCCAGGATTAACAGCATTCCAACAGTGCACCAAGTGTGAAAAAATGATCCACCTTGATTATTGCATTTCCAGCAGTTTTTGAAATTGGACTGAATAATATACCAAAGATAAAACATCTTACACTAGTTTTCTCCGAATGTAATATTTGGAGTCATCATTATCACGTCCTGAGCTAAGCCCATTGGGCTACAAATGTATTTCACAGTTCACTATATTTGTGGTATATTTAATATTTGTCTTCCATTGATATTCCCATTGTTGCACATCAATTGTTCTGTTGAAATGCTGCAAGCATTTGAATGTAAAATATTTACATATATTTGGTTTCTGAATCACATTTCAGTGACAATTTGTAAATAAGCCCCAAAAGGTGGGGCTTATATTTTTTTCCACATATGTGCAGTTCTCTGAACATTCCACCTTGATTTTAAAACTCCTTTTGAACTCTGCTGCTTATTTGAAGATAACAGGTAGATCTTGCTTAGCTACTGCCTCAGACAGCAACTGTTCAGTTACAACAGTGACAAAAAAGGTAACTTTATGACCAATGCCCAACGTTTATGACTTTTTCAGTTAATATACCTTATCCTGTACCTGACCCATTTTTCCCTACACCTGCCCATCCTCACAGAGAAATTGCCTAAATAAGGAATCTGTTCCTCAGCTGCTTTTTCCATAATACAGCACTTCCCCAAAATACCAAGTATTCTTTTTAATAGAAGGTGGTAAGTTGCTGAACATAGTTTGTGTATCAATAGAACCTAGTAAATGGTTCTACCATCAAGAATATATAATGTACTTTTCTTGTTTAATATACTTACATCTATAGATAAATGCATAAATGTTTGTGATAGTGATAATAGAGGTATTTTGGTTGGAGAAATGTATCTATATATGTTTTTGTATGCAGGTAATGATACCATATATTTGGTAAAAACTCAAATGATTTGCAGCATTTGTCAGATGGACTGCATGATGCAACAATGAATATGGATTGGAATATTAATGTCTCAAATATCAAGATAGTTGTGTTCAACAGGAAAAATGGAATGGACAATTGAAAGTTACACGAGTGGCAAAAATCTAAACTAAACAGTAAGCATTCTATCAAGGAAAAATACATATAAGTATGAAAAAATTGAGAAATTTCAGGATGTGCAAATGATGATACAAAGATAATGGCTAATTTCTGATGGGAGGAATGAAAGTTTGTTGAAGTAAAGCAAAAAGAAATAATATACTTATTTTAGAGATGGCCATCAAATACTATAACAATTTTAGGTAGCATATAGTAAAAACAATACAATTGAAACAAAATGCAAATGCCACAAATGTGAGAAGAAGAGCAATTATTAAAGGCAATCAAACATGTCACCAGTTTAACTCAAGGCCTTTAAACAAGGCCCAGTTGGCGCCAGATGCAGTTTTTGGGGGGAAGTGCGATATTCCAGGAAAAAAAAAATCTTCATTAAGAATATTCATTTTGTTATATGGAAGTTGGAGCTTGGTATGTAAAGAGGAAAATAAGTTTGAATTCCAAAGTCCTTTGTTGATTTTGGGTACCTAACAGAGCTGCGGTGGCGCAGTGGTTAAAATGCAGTACTGCTGCCTACCGGCTACCTGCAATTTGGCAGATTGAATCTCACCAGGCTCAAGGTTGACTCAGCCTTCTATTCTTCAGAGATGGTAAAATGAGGACCCAGATTGTTTGGGACAATATGCTGACTCTGTAAACTGCTTAGAGAGGGCTGTAAAAGCACCGTGAAGCAGTATATAAGTTTAAGTGCTATTGCTATTGCTAACAGTGGAAAAACGGTCATATGGTTGTTTTAAAATTCGTTTTGCATTTCTTTTCTTTTAAATGCAACTGTTGCTATTCTCTTAGTCCCTCCTCAGTCGGTAAGGAGATGAATGGTTATAAAAATTGTAAAAAAAAACAATTAAAAAGATTCAACAATTTTTTTTACTGAAACATCCTCATCAATATTCATTATGTATTAAATACGTAGCCTCCAATTATAGTATCATAAATAGTAAAATGTCAGCTCTGTACATAGAGGGTAAAAATTTTGAAAAATCCATTGTAGAGCTATAAAAATGATCTAATCTCTTGAAAAGATAAAATAGGAAAATATAACCTTTTTAAAAAAGTAACTTTGGAGAAAAAGCAACCAAAGGAGTTAGCCACCTGTAGCTAATGATGAAAGATATTGGTATATTAATTTTTTAAAACAGGTTCCTATCAGTGCAAAATGCTGTGAGATGCTAACAAAAAATTATTCTGCACAAGCATCAGCCAGGGAAATGTTTAAAGTGCACACTATCTTTTCTCAGGTTAGGATAAGTGAATTTGATAACAACTAGCAATCCTTTGAACTTTCACTAGTTTAATCAAATAGCAATTTAAAATAAGATATTTACAACCGAGTAGCTATTCATCTTTCACATGAAAGGTTTAATTAGGAATCCTATTTAGTAACTGTTAAATAGTTCATGAATAAAAACAGTAGAACAACTATCTCAGCATAAACTGGCTAAATGCTGATTCATAATATACAATATATTAAGGAATTTTGATTGGAAGGCAAAAAGTTATTGATAGCAAGCAGGGATAAATGTTATCAAGTGTCTGGAACTTTTTAAAATTATTGAATCTAATCCTGAGATTGGATGGCAACTACCCAGTACCAACCTCTACACAGCTGCCTTAAGAAGCTGCAAACAGGTATATCCTCACACACTCCAAACAATTGTTTTATGAAACTGAAGATGTCAGCCCTTTGAGATAAATCAGACTTGAATGCTGAAGTCATGAATACCAAAACTACTTTTATTATAGGGTTACAGCAACAGAATTTTGCAACTCCAAATGTGTCTAACTCATTTCTCCTTGCCTTTATTCTAAAGAGAATAGGAAGAGTCAAGTCAGAGATGCTTTCTCAAATCCCAATCTGTTCTGTGCTGAGATTTCTTTCATCTGATCATTGCCTTAACTGTGGTTCTTCCTCCTTTTCTTCAAGATTATCTCAGCCCATTACAGAAGCTCTGCATGGCTTAAATGTATATATCTCATAATTTACAAAGACACTGAATTAAAGGAGAGCATTTTGTAATACATTTTAATTGTACCTTCTCTACATTGATGTTTTTCACATATGTTGGGCTACAATTCCCATAATATCAAGCTAGCAAGATCTTGCACACAAAGTGGTTCACCTTTTTTTCCCTCACAAATCTTTAAATTTCACAGAATATTAACAAAACAAATAAAATTAACAGTGATCACAAAAAAGAATTAGAGATCTTAACTTACCTGCTCAGTAGCTGTTGGACAGTAAAATACTAATATTATGGTTGTGCAGATGTTTATTATCAGTCCAACAATTGTAATCAGATTAGGGGCAATCCAGGCTGGTACTCTTCGCACTAACCACTCCCAGTAACCTTGCATAAGTGGCTCAAGTAGGGACCGTCCAGCACTTTGATATTTGTGTTCTTCTAATCGTTTTAACTGATGCTTTGATAAAGGCGGTGTTGGCAACTGAAACAATTTGCTCAATGTACATCCTGTAGAAGGAACGTGACCATAGCGTGCAGGGGATTCCAGATGCAATTCCCCACATCGTTTCTTCAGTGATCGATTCCCACTCATGGATTTATTCACTTTAAAGTCTGTATCTGACAAAGTTTAATTGTTGTAAAGAAACATAAGATCCTGGAACAGAAAGTATTTAGATTAATATAGCAGGAAAAATATTGTAAAATTTTGAAGTGTTTAATGGTGAGAAGTACAAGTTCCCTATGACTATCATTAAGTGTTGTACCTCATGATTCTTGATGAATGTATCTTTTCTTTTATGTACACTGAGAGCGTATGCACCAAGACAAATTCCTTGTGTGTCCAATCACACTTGGCCAATAAAGTATTCAATTCAATTCAATTCAATTCTAATTCTATTCCTATTCCTATTCTACAATAGCTGAAAGTCCAGTATATTTGTAGATACATTAAACCAAGCTATAGTTGCACCAACTTTAATGTTCCTTTTTAAAAAAAATAAATGCAACACTCTAGTGCAGTGGTTCTCAACCTGTGGGTTGCGACCCCTTTGGGGGTCGAATGACCCTTTCACAGGGGTCGCCTAAGACCATCGGAAAACACATATTTTCAATGGTTTTAGGAATAATTTTATGGTTGGGGGTCACCACAACATGAGGAACCGTATTAAAGGGTCGCGGCATTAGGAAGGTTGAGAACCACTGCTCTAGTGAATACTCTACAGTTTGGGACTTGTTACTGAGGAGACTGAAGAATGGTCATAATGAATCAAAATGTAACTATGAAACACTTATTTTCTTTCAGCCCAACCAATCTTACAGATTTCTTGTGAGAGTAAAATGAAAGGACATCCACAACTAAGCTGTTGTGAGATCCTGGAGAAAAGTTATGATATAAATCTAAGTAAGAATAATAGGTGCCTTGGGTGCAATTGAACCCCTCAACATTGACAAAATCACCATCAGTGTATTGCAAAAAGCAGATTAACTTGGAACAGTTTACATCCTATGATAATATCTTTAATATTATTCAACAATATCTCTCTATCCAAGGTATTTAGGAAGTACTAAATAGGTAAAGAAAAATGCTAAATCCAGTCTAAACATCTGGTTGACTGTGCAACCAACAATAATAAAGAATAAAAATGAAAAATAATTACATTATGAAAAGTCATCTCAAAAAAGTACTTACTGATTATTACTAGTTAAGGTAATTCTTAATACTGATTAGTTTAGAAATGAAAACACATTCAAATACATGCTTCCTATGTGTAAAATGTCTATCTCCTGATCGGAGTCATCAAATTTTTAAAATAATTTTCACAAAGCCCTTCTGTTCATTAAATTCTTAATCCTATTTGCTTTGCTTTGTTTTAATCTTAACCCTCCACTTAAATAAAGTGTGCTGCTCACATCCAATAACTTCTTGCTATTCCCTGGAAAGTAATATTTATGGATTATGTAAGGAATTACATTGAAGATGCACTTCCGTCATGACAGATGCATTCCAAAAGAGGGAGGAGACCGAAGGGCCGATGACAGGAGTATTATGGGCTGCAATCAGGAACATATCTATATTGTAATGATAAGACTATTTCTATATTGTAATGGTAAGACTATCAGCAGATGGAGAGTTCTAGATTTCCTCTATTTAATACAGGAAAATGTGCATTATGGTCCAGTTTGTACTTTCTTTTGTTTATAGATAAAGGAAGATTTGAGCAAGTGTTGGGATTAATTTGAGCATGATTTAGCCTGAATAATTTTATTTCAATAATTTTTTTTCTTTAAGAAGTTCCTGTTCAGAGATATGTATAATAAACTAAATTCAAAACAATGGAATAAGTTTGTAACCTACTGCATGTTCCAAATTGTTTGAAGTTATCAGCGTCTCCATTTAACAATTAAGAGTATTTAAAACTTTACTAATATAGATTTTACTGCTTTCTATATAATCGCAAAGTACATAATTGATGTATCTTTTGCAGCAAATTAGTTAACTGATTCACTTAAGTCAGTAAATCTAAGGTACTCAGTAAATACAATAACTAAAAGAAAATGTAATCAATGAAAAGAAGTTTTTGCAATTTTATATGTAACTCTCTTAAGGGAGCTGCATATAAAAACACTTCAGAAGAACACTACTGAGGAAATCGTGTTACTCTTAATGTAATTTAAGTGACAAAAAGACTGAGAAGAAAGAGTCCTGTGATTTTACAAATAAGGCGGGTTTATACAATGTACAAGATTCCAATTTTAAGGTTTTCCTTAAAGGAAAGTGGATACGGCAATTAGCACTTTGCCCGAAACGCTGATGCATCTCCACCAATACACCAGCAGTCGAAAATCTGAACACAACTCAAACCAGGTATTTCAATCCTGAAAATCCATATAATGCTGAGGCACACTTTATTTTATGCATGCCACCCGTGTATTTGACACAAGCACTCTGCTTATATCTACGTGGGGGAGAGGGTTGTTTTGACTTGTCCCCGGCATTTGAAGAACGCCCGCTCCGATTACATCGCTCCCTCCGCGAATTGACTGACTGACTGATTGCCAGCCTGTCCGGGCATAAACGGCAGCAGCCCTTTCCGAGTGGAAAAACAAGGCAGCGCAAGCGACACCCTCCCTGTCTGTCTCTTGCGCAGGAGCCTACCAGGCTCAGCAAGAGAGAAAAGAAGGACGACCATTGCCCACCCACTTCGCGGCAGGTGAGGCAGAGAGACCCCAACCTGAGTCAACCTTCTTTGGCTGAACTCGAAGGACACCCGACGTCGGCCAGAGACCAAGCTTCTACCGCCCAACAGAGCCAATCCCGAAGCGCACCAAAAACACCCGGCATTTACCTTAACCAGCCTCTTCGCCCAGGAGGCGCGTTTACGTCCTTTTTTTACGCCTGCCGTAAATAAGGCCGGCTGTGTGGTTGCTTAGGAAGGGCTCGCGACTGGAACAGGCAACTAACGGAGCAGGGGGCGTGCGTGGGACACCCGGAGATCGGTGCTTTGATGCGCATGGGCAAAGAGGCGGCAACCACACGCGGGGTTGAGAAGGAGGGAGGGAGGGAGGGAGGGCGCGAGCTCTGATTGCTTCCGTCGTTTCCCATCCATTTCGTATAGGCCCGCCCTCGAAGGCGCCTGTGGGCGGGACGATGAGGCGGTTGCAAGAGAGCGTGAGGTAGTAAATAGCTGGAGTAACCTCGTTTGGGATTGTCGAATGTCAGAGCGCGCTTCGCCAGCACAAACGACGAAAGGGTTATATCCAGTCAGGCGCCACCCTGCGAGGGAGAGCGCGGCTTTCTCTGCCACTCGGGCCGGAGGAGGAGGAGGCTGCTGACGGGCTGCTGGTGGCGGAGGTTAAGTTTATATCGTGTTAGGCAGATTTTTAAAGTCTAGGATCTCTAGGATATGTCCGGGGTGAGGGCGAAGTCATAAAATGAAAGCTCAAGAAAAGTAATTGTTGCAGCTTTTGCTTATTTTTTTTTTAAATTTGATTTATATGCCGCCCTTCTCCGGAGACTCAGGGCGGTTTACAGTAATGCGTTAAGCAATAGCCTTCATACTTTTGTATATTTATACAAAGTCAGTTTATTGCCCCCATAATCTGGGTCCTCAGAAAAATTTTGTATTTTTCAAACCACCAGGAGAAGAGAGAATATATAGTGTTCGTTACGGTGATGCCCGAGAGAAGAGAGGACAAGACAGCTTTCCTTAGGAAAATAGCTTTCTCCTCCAGCCTGTTCCCAATCTGGCTGGACCACTTGGCTGAAGCAGAGACCCTCCGATTCAGGTGTTCACGGCCGACAGTTGCTAGTGATAATAATACATCGGCTTTGTCAGCTATTTTGTCCCTCTTTCCTATTTTCTCTGGTTAAAAAGAAAAAACAAAATATGGGCAGGTCCTAAATGTGAAACTGAAATGGCTACTTCTCCATACTATAGTATGGGCAACGAACAGTTTAAAACTTTTTTTTTCTTAATAAAGAGTATTATTGATAGTGTAGTTTAAAGATGCAAGTTGTTTGCTGTGCTCAGTTCTCTAGTCCAATTGATCCTCTATATAATTATAGAGGTTTTGAATTTTGAATTGCATTACAGGGAGACAGAGATTGATCGATAAAAAGATTGATCGATAACTGGCTGAGATTTGTCTCGGGACAGAGTAAATGTTTCATTGAAAAGGACCAATTGAGTTTCAAAATGGGCTGCAGAAAATAATGATTGCATGAGGTTTACTTTGACTAGTTATAGAATTTCATTGGCATCCATCACCCCAGTTCCATAGAAGTCACAATGGATCAGACTCTAGCCATTTATCAAGGCACAATATGTAATAAAGATGAATTAGAAGTCAAGATGGACTTTTATTCTCCTCTACAACTCATAATATTTCTAAATAATTGCAGAAGCAAAATCAGCCAGACCTTTTCACTGGTTAAGGCAGCCCTTGTTTGTAGATGCTTTTTAAAATTTTTAAAAGTTTCTTCTCATTCTACCCATTCTCTTTTAAGAACCTTTCAGATCTTCAACAATTCAGTTTTCTTTCTTCTACTAATCTGTTTAAATATTATCTCATCTCAGTGGGCAATTAATGTCTCTATATTACCAATGTTAAAATGCAGTAGTTGATTATGTAAGGCTATTCTCTTTTGTTAGTTGCAATTTCAGTGGCACGTTGTACAACAAAATAAAATACTTGCAGAATGAGGCTTTGCTCCAGAATTAGCTTGTGTGGGTGTGTACCTTATATCATAATTATTACAGACACTTTTATACTTTATCTGTTGTTGAATCAATGTGGCTTATAAAGTAAAGATTATATTAAAATATAACAATAGAAACACGCATATTATAATATTATAACAGTCCGTAATAGGCAATGTCCTTCATTTTCTATTGCTTGTCCTACCCTTTGGAATCTCTCTCTCTCTCCTTCCCTCCCTCCCCCCCCTTCTCTCACTCACACACATACCCCGGAGATCAGATTAGTCCTGAACTTTTCATAAGGCCTTAAGGACTTGGTTTTGCCATTGGATGCGGGGATCTCAATGTATGACAGAACCTGTGCCATGATTATGTTAATTATTGTTGATAATTAATGGATTTTGGAATAACATGACTATGAATTGTGTTCTGTTTTTAAATATTATTCTATATTTTGTTATAGCCTGTTTTCCCCAAAATAAAACATCCCCTGATAATAAGCCCAATCGGGCTTTTGAGCACATGGTAATAAGGCCAAGCACTTATTTCAGGGTTCAAAAATACGTAAGACAGGGTCTTATTTTTGGGGAAACACGGTATTAATTTCTATATTGCATTAATTTTATTTTGTTTTTAATTGCTGTAGCTATCTAGAGTCATATATTTGGAATGGACAGCTATATAAATTGAAATAATAAATCCTGTGTACATCCTTTACTCATTCCACAGCTTCCAAATATTCCTTGAAAAAGGTGAAATTTAACTAGCCTTTCAATTAACAAAAATGAGGATGCGTATTTTATTTCAGAGATAAATTATTCTTCAAGAAGGCAACCTCCACATTGAGAGATTGTTTCTGAGCTCTCATGGAAGATGAAACTATGAGCATATACTCCCTGCCAGTATCTTTTGGGGAGAATCTATTTGAAGTAAACAATCTCACAGATAATCAGGTCCTCAGCAATGTAGACTTTATAGCCTATTGATTGTAGTTGTAGGCATCATGCTAAAAACTGGGAGACTGAGTTCTAGTCCCACCATAGGCATGAAGCCATCTGGGTTCCCTCATGCCAGTTTCTAGACAAAAATGCCAAATCCAGTCTAAATAGCAGGCTGACATAATAGGCTCCTGGATGCAGTCCCAAAACAATTGGAACACCACTTGAACACCACTGGCATTGACAACATCAACATCAGTCAATTGCAAAAGGCATCTTTATTTGGAATAGCTTACATCCTGTGACAGTACCTTTAACACTATCAAACAATATCTGCCTATCCCAGGTCCTTGGGAAAGACTTGATGGACAAAAATGTAAAATCCAGTCTCATCAGCATCTCATTCAGCTCCTGCAGTGCTGGTGTTATGTGACATATCAGATTATTTCCTATTATTATTATTATTATTATTATTATTATTATTATTATTATTTATTGAATTTCTATACCGCCTTTCTCCCGAAGGACTCAGGGCGGTGAACAGAATAAGATTTCATATACATATTTTTTTTTTTTTATAAACAGTAAATAAAAAATTGAGTCAACTTAGTGTATCTGCTAAGACCTTGGCATAGAATTTAGATGTTTATGCTAGCCCTGCTTGTTGAAACAGAAAGGTCTTCAGGGCACGTCGGAAAGTGCGAAGATCTGGGATTATTCGTATTCCAGAGGGTATTTTGTTCCAAAGAGGGTACCCCCACAGAGAAGGCTCTCGCCCTTGGAACTACTAGACGACATTGTTTTATTGATGGTACAATGAGTAGGCCTACTCTGTGAGAGCGTATTGGTTGGTGGGAGTTTATCGGTTGCGGCAGGTGGTCTCGTAAGTACTCAGGTCCTAAACCATGGAGCACTTTAAAGGTAAGAACCAACACCTTGAAGCGCACTTGGAAGGTCACCGGAAGCCAGTGCAGCTCGCGTAGAAGAGGTGTTACATGTGAGCGCCATGTTGCTCCCATAATTACTTGCGTGGCCGCATTCTGAACCAGTTGGAGCTTCCGGGTGCACTTCAAGGGGAGCTCCATGTAGAGAGCATTGCAGTAGTCAAGTCGGGAAATGACAAGGGCTTGAGTGACTGTGCGTAATGTGTCCCAGTCTAGAAAGGGACGCAATTGGCGAATCAGGCGAACCTGATAGAAAGCTCCTCTGGCCACAGCTGTTATATGATCTAAAGACAGTCGTGCATCCAGGAGGATGCCTAAATTGCGAGCTTTCTCTGCGGGGGTCAATGACTCATCCCCAATAGTTAGTGATGGGACTAACTGGCTGTACCGGGATGCCGGCAGCCACAGCCACTCAGTCTTGGAAGGGTTGAGTCGAAGCCTGTTTCTCCCCATCCAGACCCGTACGGCCTCAAGGCACCGGGACATCACTTCAAGGGCATCATTGGGGTGGTTTGTGGTGGAGATGTACAGCTGAGTGTCATCAGCGTACAGATGACATCACACCCCAAAACCACGGAGAGGACCGACCCCTGTGGCACCCCGCAAGTAAGGGGCCTCGAGGTCGATCTCTGTCCATCTGTCAACACTGACTGCGACTTGTCAGAGAGGTAGGACGAGAACCACCGTAATACGGTGCCTCCCACTCCCAGCCCCTCCAACCGGTGCAGCATGATACCATGATCAATGGTATCAAAAGCCACTGAGAGATCTAATAGGACCAGGATAGAGGAACATCCCTTATCCCGAGCCCTCCAGAGATCATCAACCAACGCGACCAATGCTGTTTCTGTGCTGTATCCAGGCCTGAAGCTGGACTGGAACGAGTCTAGATAGACAGCTTCATCCAGGTACTGTGGGAGCTGTTATGCCACCACATTTTCGACAACCTTCACTAAAAAGCGAAGGTTGGAGACTGGACTGTAGTTTGCTAAAACAGCCGGATCCAGAGAGGGCTTCTTAAGGAGGGGTCTCACCACCGCCTCTTTCAAGGCGGGAGGTAAGAATCCCTTGCTCAAAGAAGCATTAATAATTCTCTGGAGCCGGCTATGTGTAACCTCCCGGGTAGCCAGCACTAGCCAGGAAGGGCACGGGTCCAATAAACATGTGGTCGCATTCAGCTTCCCCAGTAACCTGTCCACGTCCTCAGGAGTCACGGTATCAACCTCATCCCAGATAATGTCCTCAAATCATTTCATCCGAATTAACCCAGTTAGAGTCCAAGCCTTCCCGAATCTGAGCGATTTTATCGTGCAGATATTGTGCAAAATCCTCAGCTCGTCCTTGCAGAGGGTCTTCCCGGGCTCTCAGCTGGAGTAGAGAGCCGGTAACCCTAAACAAGGCGGCTGGGCGATTATCTGCCGATGCAATAAAAGCGGAAAAATAGTTACATTTTGCCACTTTTATCGCCACTAAGTAGGTAATATAAGATCTCACTAGTGTTCGGTCGGATTCAGAACGGCTAGTCCTCCAACTGCTCTCTAGGCGTCTTTTCCGATGTTTCATCCCCCTCAGCTCATCAGAGAACCAAGGAGCTGGGTAGGTTCGACGCCGGGTCAGAGTCTGCAAACGCACGACCCGGTCTAAAGCACCAGTGGCCATCCTATCCCAGGACGCCACTAGGTCTTCAGCCGAGTCATGAGCCAGGGTCTCAGGAAATGGCCCAAGCTCCATCCGGAACCTATCAGGATCCATCAGGCGCCTAGGACGGAACTATTTAATTGATTCCGCCTCCCTGCGGTGGGTTGTAGTGGTCAGAAGGTCAAGCTTAAGGAGAGAATGGTCTGACCATGACAAGGGTTCGATGACTATATCCCCTATATCTAGACCATTCAGCCAATGGTCAGAGATAAAGATCAAATCCAGAGTGTGTCCCCCCATGTGAGTAGGGCCATGAACTAATTGGGTCAGGTCCATGGCCGTCATAGAAGCCATAAACTCCTGAGCCCCTTCAGACGTTTTACCAATGGATGGCAGGTTGAAATCTCCCATAACCAGTAGCTTAGGAGTCTCAACTGCCACCTCGGCTATTACGTTGAGGAGCTCAGGCAGGGTTGCTGATACGTGGCAGGGAGCCAGGTATGCAATCAACAGGCCCATCTGTTCCATAACCCCACTTCACGAGGAGGGACTCACATGCGGTTGTGGAACAGTGACTTCCCTAGGGTCAAGACCTTCCTTTATAATGACCGCCACACCTCCACCCCTATCCCGAGTCCTTGGCTGATGGAATGTGTGGAAACCTGGTGGGCACATTTCTACGAGGGGGACCCCCCCTTCATTGCCCAACCAGGTCTCTGTAATACCTGCCAGGTCCGCTTTCCCCTCCTGAATTAGGTCACAGTTGAGGGGGGCTTTGTTAGCCGCGGACCTGGCGTTGCATAACATCAGCCTAAGACTCGGGCTCTGAGACCCTGAGCAACCCAAGGAACGAGAAGAACTTTGGAGGTCGGAGCACGCCACCGCTTGAAGATAGTGGGTGTGTACCCCTCTGACATGATGTGGCCTCCTGCTCCCACCATATCTGCCCCTCCCAACCATAACCTTGATGGAACAGCCCATTTCCATGCCAGTATTAAGTCTGCCTATTCCCAGTTCCGAGTTTCCTATGATGTAATTTTGTGTTGACTTTGGCTTCACTTTTGGAAAATTATTTGCTAATCCCTCCCTCTGTGGATTGCCCCCCCAAATCCACATGATCCACCCTGTTTATACCCACCCCCCTTTCAGAAGCCATTAAAATTTTGTTTAGAAAATTAGATAAGAAAGCCCTTAATCCTCTCTTAGCACTGTGCCACCTTTAGATGTGTTTTGCATTACCTCCAGTTTCTACATGGTCTTTAAAGGCAGTCCTGTGGAGTTGGAATGGAAGATGAGGGAGGCATGAATGTGGTGGTTTGTACTTTCTATTACAAAATATATAATTGTATATATTAAAGGCTAAATTGTACGGCATTGGGTTCTACCTTTTTTTAGACTAGAAGATAAAGGTTATCAACATTTTGATTTGATCTTTTATTTCCCCATCCTATTCTTAAAAACATGCTCCAAATAGTTTGTTCACTTTATCATGGTTTGAGCTAGAGTTAGAATGTAACTCAAATAGGGAAGCTGAAAATACTGTTTCAAATGATGTCCTGATTTGATAATTCAATGAAAAGAGGAAATATTTTGAAATACATAGCAGAAGGATAGTATATTAATGAATTGGAAGAAATGGGATGATGTAGAAATGTTATTATAAATACATACAATTTATTTGCTTTCAAGGCAAGAACAAAGAAAAAGTTATTTATTTATTTGTTTGTTTATTTATTTCAGTATTTGACTCTGTGGATCATTTTGAAATGTGGTGGTTTCAGCAAGGACTGAGTTTCTTGCCTTCTTCCCTGGTTATTTGCTCATCTGCTGCTTTTGTGTTTCCATATGTTGTTGGAGTATTCTTACACCATATTGACACTTTGGTACCCTATATCAGGTCAGTATACTTTATATTTTTGCACTGCAATTTATGTTCTAATGTTACATCTATGAAACTTTTCTTACTCCTGTTTTTTGCTCTAAAAGTTTTTAAAACTGGAGTTAGGTTAAAAGCCACAGCATTTAATAATTTGAGTTTGTTATAAAATGAAATGACAAACTTAAAATACATTAACATTCTTTGTGAATTTGAAAGACTAACAGTAGTAGTGGATTTTTTTCTCTTTATTGTCATTTTTCTTTTAACAAACATTGTTAGGTTTACCTCTCCATATCAAAATGGATGAAGTTTATTTCATAATATATTAATAAGATAGATAGACATGCACAATATAACAATAGAAATAGCACTTAGAGCTTAGACTTACACTGCTTCATAGCAGCCCCTCTGCACACATACACACACTACATATACACACGTACTGAAGTGATTCTTCCCTCTTTCCCTTGCTCTTTTAATTAGATTTGCAAAAGGTTCTTAAGGTGGCAGGATATCGAATGTATTTACATATTTATTTGCTTACTTTAAATATATTTTTCATTCATATGTTTTCCAAAATGGTTTGTCTGTTAAATACTGGTATCAGACCAAATATATAATGTAAGAAACAAGGATGAGTGTGCTTAGAAATCTCTTCAAAGCTCCTTGTGTAATTTTTTTTTATTTTTTCAACATAAACATAATTTTTTCCCCCCCTCAAGAACGAAGTCTTGGTCCGCTCACAAATGGGTATACTAGTTTAACAAATGAGAACAAATAATTTTAACATAAATTCCAACATCTTAATTTAAATCTTTCTATTATCTGATCATACATTTTAATCTCCTACTATACTACATTTTTATATTCAATTATAAATTCAATTATAAATCAAAATTCAATACCGCTCTATCTAAATTTTCCAATGTTCCTTTTAACATCAACATTGAACACAAAATCAATCTAATCTATTAATCTATATATTTATCTTACAATTTTATCACCACGAATCTTAATTTCCAAATGTATACAACTCAATTTTTATTTCAATTTATTAATCAAAATTTCTTTCTATTTTTCACGTTTTCGAGACCCAATTCATCCTATCTTGATCTTAAACTTTTACACAGACATCTCAAAATTTTCCATTTCATTTTAATTATCGCCCAACATTTTCTTTTTCACACCTTATTAATAATTATTCTTTAATGTATTCTCCTCATTTTCCTCCATCACTCCACCTGTTGTTTGGCTGATTTCCAGCATAACATATTTTGGCTGAGTTTTCAGCATATTCCCTCATTCGTGATTTGATTGAGGAGGAAAACACAGACCTGGCTTGCATTACGGAAACCTGGTTGGGCTTGGTGGGGGGGTGCCCCTCTGACTGAACTTTGCCCACCAGGCTTCCGGGTGCTGCATCAGCCAAGGGCCCAGGGTGGGTGGGGGTGGCGGTTGTTATTAGGGAGACCCTTAGTCCGCGGAAGGTCACTGCTTCTAAAATAGATGGGTGTGAGGCTCTCCTCATGAAGTGGGGCCCATGTGGGCAGTTGGGCTTGTTGATTGTGTACCTGTCTCCCAGCTGCATATCAACAGCCCTGCCTGGGCTACTCGACGCCCTATCAGGGCTGGTGGTGGAGTTTTCCAGACTCATTGTTCTAGGGGACTTCAGTCTGCCGTCCCTGGGTGGGGCGTCGGTGGTGGCTCGGGAGTTCATGGCTTCCATGGCAGCTGTGGACCTGACTCAGATTATTCAGGGCCCGACACATGAGGGGGGCCACATGCCCGATCTTGTTTTTGTCTCGGAGCAGTGGCGAGTGGGGCTCGGTGGGGGATTGTCTTCCATTTATCCCCTGTCATGGACTGACCACTATCTCCTTCAGCTGAGTTTCCAGTACGCCGCCCCTCCTCGCTGGGAGGCAGAGCCGACCATCTGGTTCCGCTCCAGGTGCCTGATGGACCCGGAGAGGTTCCAGACGGAGCTTGGGATGATACCTCTCTCTCTCTCTCCCACGCCCCGGCCACGACCCTGGTGGATGCCTGAGATGAGGCTGCTGCCGGGGCTCTTGACCGGGTCGTCCCTTTGTGGCCTCTGACAAGTCGCAGATCCCGGCTGGCGCCTTGAGCTCCGGAGGATGAAGCGACATAGGCGAGGCCTAGAGAGCCGTTGGAGAGCCAGTCGTTCCGAATCTGACCGGTCCCAGTTAAGGTTGGCCACACGGGCCTACTTGGTGGAGTTGGCGACGGCAAAGCGTTGCTACTTCGCCGATGTCATCACGTCCGCAGCGAATCACCCAGGTACCCTGTTAAGGATGTCCCGCTCCCTCCTGACTCAGAGGGTGAGGGAAGACCCTTTGCGGGGGTGAGCCAAGGAATTTAGCCAGCACCTGTTGGACAAGGTCGCTCAGATTTGGGACGGCTTGGACTCTGACTGGACAGAGTTAGACGGTGAGGAGGCAGCGGGTCCTGTGCTTTGGGAAGAGTTTGATTCTGTTACCCCAGAGGAAGTGGACAGGATCATGGGGAAGCTGAGTGCGGCCACTTGTGTGCTGGATCCGTGCCCTTCCTGGCTGGTTTATTCAGCTTGGGAGGGGACACGCGGCTGGATCCAGGCGGTGATAACGGCTTCCTTGAGGGAGGGAAGTTTCTGACCTCCTTGAAGGAGGTGGTGGTGAGGCCCCTCCTCAAGAAACTGACCTTGGATCCAGCTGTTTTGAGTCATTTTCGTCCGGTCTCCAACCTCCACTTTCTAGCGAAGGTTGTTGAGAGTGTAGTGGCACGTCAGCTCCCACTGGCCCTGGATGAAGCGAATTACCTTGACCCATACCAATCAGGTTTCAGGCCCGGGTACAGCACAGAGACGGCATTGGTTGCGCTGGTGGATGATCTCTGGAAGGCTCGGGACAGAGGTTATTCCTCTGTTCTGGTCCTATTAGATCTTTTGGTGGCTTTTGATACTGTTGACCACGGTATCTTGCTGCGTCGCCTCGAGGGGTTGGGAGTGGGAGGCACTGTTTTACGGTGGTTCTCCTCCTACCTCTTGGGTCGAACGCAAGCAGTGTTGGTAGGGGGGCAGAGATCAACCTTGAGGCCCCTCACTTGTGAAGTGCCCCAGGGGTCGGTTCTCTTGCCCCTCCTGTTCAACGTCTATATGAAACTGCTGGGAGAGATCATCCGTGGTTTCGGGGTGAGGTACCACCAATATGCTGATGATACTCAGCTCTTTATATCCACCCCGAACCAACCCAGTGATGCCCTCGACGTGATGGCCCGGTGCCTGGAAGCGGTACGGGTCTGGATGGGAAGGAACAGACTTCGACTCAACCCTGCCAAGATCGAGTGGCTATGGGTACCAGCATCTCGGTCCATAGGAGAGATTCCATCGCTGGCTATAGGGGGTGAAGCTTTACCTCCTGTAGACATGGCACACAACTTGGGTGTCCTCCTGGACTCACGGTTGAGTTTAGAAGACCATATAACGACCATGACCAGGGGGGCATAAGCCCAGATTCGTCTGGTGCGCCCGTTGCGCCCCTACTTTTGGACTGAGATGCCCTACGCACAGTTACTCATGTGCTAGTCACCTCCCGTATTGACTACTGTAACACTTTCTACATGGGGCTGCCCTTGAGGACCACTCGGAGGCTTCAGCTGGTGCAAAATGCAGCCGCGCGGGTTGTGATGGGAGAATCCCGATACTCCCATGTAACACCCCTCCTGCGCGACCTGAATTGGTTGCCGGTTGCCCTCCGGGTGAGATTCAAGGTGCTGGTGATGACCTATAAAGCCCTACATGGCTTAGGCCCAGGATATTTGGCGGACCACCTGCAGCCAGCAACAACATCCCATCACCCAGTTCGCGCCCATAGGGAGGGCCTGTTTAGGGTACCGTCGGCGAGACAATGTCAGCTGGCGGCCCCCAGGGGTAGAGCCTTCTCTATGGGCTCTGGAATCAACTCCCCATGGGGCTTCGGCTGGCCCCTGACCTTTGCACCTTTCGCCGCGAATTAAAAACTTGGTTATTCGAGTCCCCCGGCCTGGACTGATGCGGTTTTTATGGATTTTTAATTGTATCTGATCTAATTAGGCATTTTAACTTTGTATAATGGATTATTATCGTTTTTATTGTTGTGAGCCGCCCTGAGTCCGTTGGAGATAGGGCGGCATATAAGCCTAATAAAATAAATAAATAAATAAATAAAATATTCTCCTCTATAACTCCAACTATTATTTGGCTGATTACCAGAATTTTCCATTGTTTTGGCTGATTTCCAGCATGCTTTATTTTGGCTGATTAACAGCATTCTCCTCCATAACTCCACCTATTATTTGGCTGATTTCCAGCATTACATTATTTTGGCTGAGTTCTCAGCATATTCTCCTCCAAAACTCCAACTACTATTCTGCTAACTTATTTTAAAAATTTCTTTTTCAATATATTGCCTATTAATCCACTGTTTCCAACTATAGTCTTCCAGGGTGTGTCCCCATCTATTTCTTAATATTAATCATTTCCAACATGTGTTAAATTCAATCACAATTATGACTTCTATCTGTGTACCTTAGTATATCATCTATAATCATTAACAAGTGATCATAATTATCATCCACCACTTTGTTATCAAATTAAAACTAAAACATGTTACATCAAATTATGCTTTTATGAAAATATCAATTTAGTCACCTTAACTTCCCACTTCTATTTTAATTATCTTTCTATCTTTATTTTACCATAATCACTTCTTGTTTTTATGTAAAGCTCACTTAAACTTTGAACCATTTAAACAATTAAGCATTCAAACATTGCTATCTAATTTATCTATTTTGCTTCTTCATTTCCTTATCTGTCCATAAGCATTTTAATTCAAGGTCAATACTTCCACGCTTAAAACTCTACATATCCTTTTTAATTCTATTGTAAAGTCTGTTTCCAGTAAAATCCATCAGCTTCTCCACTTCCGTTCCTGCGCCAAACCTTTTGTTGCTGTGCCAGTTAGTTAAAAGTTTATTAGTCATTGTGTTTCTTCTTTCTTTGTAAAGCCATTAAAAGACATTGTGGATTACTTTGAAAAGAACTGTTTTTTGAACTTTGGAGATTCCTTTCAAAGCTCCTTGAACTGAATTGGAATGAAGAAAGTACAGGAACACATTGGTGGTTTTGTATGTTTCCATTCATTGTGGAACTTCACAATTCAAGTAATTCTGAACTTAACGATCAGAGTTGAAGTTACAATGGACCCCACCAAAGGTACTTATGAGTCACCTCCCTCACAGTCTCATGACAGCATTTCAGGCACTTGGTCCACATTTATGGCCATTTGCAGCATCCCATGGTCATGTGACCATGATTTACAACATTTTATTGAAAATTGGCATTTACTTCCAATTTTGTCAAAAACATTTGGTAGCAAACAATGGGTTCATTTAATGATTGTGGTGTTTGCTTAATGACTGTGGATTTGTTTAATGACTTCTGTAAAAAAAAAAGCTTGACCCGTTTTATGACTATCACAAACTACAGCTGGAATGGGCGGTCTGCATTATGGTCATAAATCAAGAACTATCTCTAAAGATGCTCATTGGATTATTCCCAAGGTGTTCATAGGTCCAATGAATTTAATTTCAAATAATGTCAAATTTTATCATCTTAGTTCCTTTGGTGTATATTACAATTCTATGATGGATGTATATCTGAACTTTCATTTACTTCTGGAAATACTGTATAAAAACTTGTTCTTTTCCTTCTCTCTCCACCACATCCAATTTTGCTGTAAATTTAAATTCTTATATTTAAATCTTTTATATTTTCCATATTCTTAAAGCCTCTAGCTCATGAGTGTCCAACCTTTTGGCTTGCCTAAACCACATATAAAATATATATATAAATATATGTAAATAACAAACTTACTTTATTTTTAAAAATATTTTCGTTATATCTTGTGGGTCATGTTACTAAATGTTCAGGGCCGCATGTGACCTATGACAGTAGGTCACATGGACATGCCTGCTCTAGCTAATTAGTAGTACTTCAGACAGCTCATTCCCAATGTGGCAACTATGAAGATAATTTTTACTATTTTGAGATGTGAAGGACAGACATTTGGTGTAGATTTTGACTGCAGAACTAAGTATTCTCTTTTGCTGGTCCCTTATAATATAGGCGTAGTTGCTTTGAGTCATGGAGGCCAAGATGTAATCTGAAACTCTTTACATCTTTAGTAGACCAATTTTTAGTTCTAAAGCAAGTCAGCTGAAGTTCATTGTACTTTATTATTAGAGAATAAAGAGATTTGAGGATTTGCACATACAATTGTACAATGTTAAACAAGGTACAGTATTTTCTTTCTCTTCCTCCTAGTTCAAGCTGCTGCTTCTGTTTTAAAGCAAGCCTTGGTTCTAAATCAATTTGATATATTGCTCTTCAAAAATTGGTATTTGCTTATGAATTGCAAGACTACAGTATCTATTAAGATATTTGACCTCTTATATATTAATAGGAAGCAATAGCCTAGGCCTGGGTTATAGATGATATTTTGTAAGTATTGTATAATTGAAGCTGGAAATAGTATATCTCTGCAATTCTTTTATCTTCAAAATAGCAGTGACTGCAGTTCCTTGAGCTGTTATTTGATTTATTAAAGTATAAATTCATTATTATTGATACTATCAATGTTTGACATCAATTACTACTTAGGGGCTTCAATGGCATCCTTGGCTTCTGATCTTAAATGAAACTGAGAAGAAATATTAAGACTCAGATTTGTCTTAACAGTCTTAAGTCACCCTGAACTGACTTATGTAAAACACGCGTAACTACTTATGCTATGTAAATATTAGCCATTATTTACAAATACGTATTTCCTGTTTTTAAATGTATATGCTTTGGTAAGTATAATTATGCTCGGTTTACTGTATGATAAACTATTTCAATACAGTTTGACTACATCTATTTTACTGCCTGGCAAGTTAGGGAAGTTCTTTTCTGAGTTTCTTTCTCTGCTCATTATGCACCTGTGTGCTACACCTGTTCTTATCTGATAATTTCTTGGGAAGCACCCCCAGTCTTCTAAGGTCAGTCCCACATATCATTACACATATTTTTTGAAAGGACAGAAAAATAATTTGATACATTGCTGACCTTAGCTGATTCTAAAATATTTAGCAGGCTCAGATGTAGGAATAGTTGAATGAAAAATCTCCAGGAAGTCCCAGGTCTGTAAGCTTCATATGGGATTTAAAAATACATCATGGAGATAGGTATTGGCAAACCACTATCTATGTTACTATGCAGTTATATGTATAATATAACTATGTATAATAACAATATAGTTATTAAAGAAATCTTTATCTTTACTCATGCTACATCACTTATCATTAGTGTCAACATTAATAATGGGTGTTAATTGTGTATTTCATAGATTTTGTCATTCCAATTGCATTGCAGGATGCTTAGTATCATAAGTTGCTTATCTTTCAGTGACTTAGGAACAACACCTCCAGAAAGATGCTTGTTTGGAATAATGTTATGCTTTGTTTCCTTCTTGGGTAAGTACAGTAAAAATAATACTGAGCTTCTGAGATTGCTTAGATGTGGGCTTTAATGAGACTACAGAGTAAGATAAATCTTAACTACAGATAAATCTTAACTAAAGGAAAAGAACATTCACTGAAAGATGTTTGGGGCAATGCAGTTGGCATGTGCAATTGAGACAAAAACACTACAGACATTTTACAGACATTAAAGATTGAAACAGTTATACAGAGTTGCATCTACTCTAATGAAATAGTCTGAAAATCTATTCCAACAACACCTGGGCAGAGTAGGGGAGCACAGCTACTGCAGGAATAGCTAAATAACATATCACTCTCCACTTTACAATCAGAGAATGTAAACTATAGTTACTTAACTGGAGTTATTGGATAGCTGGATTAAAAATCATGGTTGGCAGGTTTCTCCAAACCCCTTATACCTAGCATGAAAGGAGTCCTCAGACAGTTAATTTACTTCTACAATTCTTTTGTTATGTCTTGCATAAAAGACCACAATTTTCATGTGGCTATAATTGTTACTTAGTCTTCATTGCATTTGATATCATGCTTCTCTAGTCTTACTCTACTTCAATTGTTCATTCACAGGTATCGCTACCATATATGTTCGGTACAAACAAGTCAGTGCTTTGAACCCTGAAGAACCCAAGATGCTCAGACTCAATAAGGCTGGCTTAGTGATCGGAATGGTTAGCTGTTTTGGGATTTGCATCATTGCAAACTTCCAGGTTTGTGTTTTGTCTGTGATGATTGAATTACAAAAGTACATATCTTCATCATAAGACTGTAATAGCCTATTCTAAGGATATGCCTAAATGAAACTTGATAAGAAAGGTATGTGTTATACTATTGACATTGGGAACATCATTTTTTCCCACCAATTCTTCCATGCTTCCAAAAGAGACGGCACAAGAATAAGAATAAGAATAATTTTATTTCTATACCGCCCTTCTCCCGAAGGACTCAGGGCGGTATACAGCCTATTAAAAACACAAGACAACATCAGTTAAAATAGTTTAAAATTAAGATGCACAATATATTTTGAATAGTATATGTCTACTTGGAAGCACCTTTAATTGGTATTGATTGGCTTTTACAATGTAGTTGGATACTGAGGATATTTCTATAGCTATTTCTTAATTTTATTTACCATAAGCAACAAGATATAAATCAAATAAATGTAAGTTACTTTTAAGTTTCCAGGACAAACTGCTATTTGGAATGGTTTTATTTTATTTAGGCCAGATAATATTTTTAAAATGAATATATTTGCAAGCAAAATACTACATTATTAATAGAATTAAGTTAAATAAAAAGGATCTATTTCAGTACAAATAAATCTCAGAAATAAATCTCAGAATAAATCAGTCCTGACAACTAGCAAGCTATACTTTGAGAAAATGTAACAAATACAATATAGTATTTGGCATTGCTGGAATAAACATCCACATTTTTTTTTAACATTTCTCTTAAAACAGTGTGGTCAGGAGCATTTGCTGGTAATGTTCTTTATTGCTTATTTAGTCTATATAATTTTTCCAAGCAAATATAGTTTAAATAGATCAAATATAGTTTGTGTCATGAACGCTAGATGTCACTGTAGAATGAAAATAATGAGAAGAATAAAAAAAAAATCTCAGTGATTAAGAAGAGTGTAGATAAATTACTGCAAATTTAAAACCTTTTCCCATTGAATAAATACTATGACTGTAACTAAATGTAACTAGATTGTAAGTTGTTAAAAGCTGTCAAGATACTTATTTTATGGAAAATAATTGATTTTGTTTTCAAGACATTAATTATGTTTCTTATCAAAATTATCTAAAGTATTTTTTCTTGTCGAGGAGGTGCCCTTCTTTCCATAAAGTAAACAGATTGTTGATGCTAAATATCAAAGTTAATTCCAAATCTCTTATTCCTCATACATTAATTAGGTTTGAAACACAAAAAGTATTTTTAAAAATACTTTGTAAGTATATTTATTACATTTGTACTCCTTTCCTTTAAGCGTTATTCTATAGAGTCCAATGGAATACGTTAAACAGAGAAATAGCAACAGGCCAAGGTAATTTATTAGGTTTTGTGGCCAAATATGAATTTAAATCTCAGCCTCTTTATTCTCAATGTTCTATTCTTAATTCCTTCATCACAATACTTCATGAAGAACAAATGAATTATTAATGCTATTTATTCACTGAGCAGTGGCTCAGTGGGTAAAAAGCTGAGATTGTTGATCAAAAGGTCAGCGGTTCGAATCCCTAGTGCCGTGTAATGGAGTGAGCTCCTGTTACTTGTCCCAGCTTCTGCCAACCTAGCAGTTTGAAAGCATGTAAAAAATGCAAGTAGAAAAATATGGACCACTTTTGGTGGGAAGGTAACAGCGTTCCGTGCGGCTTTGGCATTTAGTCGTGATGGCCACATGACCACAAAGAAGTCTTTGGACAGTGCTGGCTCTTCAGTTTTGAAACGGAGATGAGCACCACCCCCTAGAGTTGGAAACGGCTAGCACATATGTGCGAGGGGAACCTTTACCTTTACTTTATTCAGAAGTAGGTGCAGTTTTGAATGTGATGTTAGAATCTGGCATTTCTTATTGTGATAGCAGTAATACTTGCTGTCGAGATCTCACATTTTGGCCTTAAAATGAAAAATACTTGCTGCAAAGTATTCCTTTCAAGCCAAAGTCAGTTGACAATTATAATGTTGAGTTTGGAGAAAGAAGAGTTCATATCGTTGAAGCTTCATCTTTGGTTAGTCACAATATATCTCTTAGGATTAGTCATTGTGAGACATGTCTGTAAACACATAATGTAGAAAGCTGTTAGAAGTTAAGTGTTCTTGCTTGATGAACTACTTGGAAATGGCACATAATCATCCTGATCTCACTAAAGGAAAACAGAATATAAACAACACCTTTTATTTCTTTATTTGTAAAATTTATTGGCCATCAATCTTACACCAAGGTCACTCTGGGGGATTGCAATCATAAATCTTTTGGTTATAGAATAGAGTCAGCGTTTTCAGTTACTATTATAATAAACTAAAATGCAAAGGAAGGGTTAGATTTAGAGAGTTTCAAATAAATACATACCATCAGCAGAGGAAAATACTTTTTGTACCTATAATTCTGTGAAAAATATTGGTCCCTTTGATTTTTCTTCTGAATTTTTGCTTATAATTTGCCACTGAATATTAGTCCGTACTGATATTTAAAGTCTAAGTGAGCAGATAAGCACAACATTTAGTGTCTGTTTATTTCATATTTCATATTTTATTTGTGAAAAAGCAATTGCCTCCGTCAAGTCAGTACTGTAATTGGTTTCATCCACTCTGGAATCTATTATAACAATATATCATAACCATTATTATGAGTCTTTTATATTTCTGCCCAGGCAACTTTTTCCATTCCTCCATGATAATTTAAACCCAGTCATATTTCAGGTTCTCCAGTAAAACTGCTTTCTTTTAAGCCCTGGTGAATTTCTATGGAGTTTTAGACCCTCATTGAACCATTCAGAAATATTTTGACTCATTTTATTCTGTTCCATTCATTCTGTTGTAGACTTAATTGTAAGTTTGGGATCATTGCTTTGATTTATGCCCCATTTGCATTTCAGCTTATGGGCTGATTATGTATAAAATGATGTATGAACAAAATTCATTCTGTCTTCAGTGATGGCTATAGTCCTGCAGTAATAAAGATATCCTCAACTGTGATATTGCCATCTTCATGCTTGACAGCTGGTTCTTATTATCAAATTCACTGTATGGTTGCCTCCAGATAGCTATTAGATGACCTATAAAGCTTCTATTGATTTATGTATCCTCCTGAAATCTAGTTGGTTATTTAGTTGTTGGGGTTTGTTTGTTTTTTGGCAAACTTCAGAAAAGTGAGCAAAGAACCTTTCTTCTACACGAATCCCATTTTACCCAGTGATTTTATCTTGGAATCATAAACACTTAGCACACACAAAAGAAGCCTGCAAAGCCTGCAAATGTTGTTCTTTCTTTTGGTCTATGATTTAAAAAGCCAATTATTTTTTTCACCAAATTGTAACCTGGCAAAAGAAAAAGGGGAAAATATTTTCTTAAATTAATCGTTTAGTTGGGTGAGTATTGTAGTTTGGCGAAAAGACTCATTAAATAAAATTGCCTTCTTTGAGCAAAATCGCTGTCTTTAGAATATATACCATTACAATTTTGCTCTTAATTAGAAATAATGAACTTCCAATAATGCTAGATCTCTAGGTTTTTATAGTGGTTTGCAGATAGCGATATTTGTTATTCAGCCAAAGTTGAGAGAGTCTGTTCAAAGATTCAGTTTTGTTATATTTTTTGAACCTTTCAACTATTACTCCAATGTTCTCTAAAAACCATTGAATTATGTTATTTTCCTGTAGAAAACTACTGTATTTTTCATACATACATTTGGAGCTTTCCTCACATTTGGAATTGGAGTCATATATATTCTGGTTCAGACAATTATTTCCTATAAGATGCAACCACAGATTCATGGGAAGGATATATTTTGGATCAGATTTACAATCCTGCTATGGTGCGCAGTAAGCATAATGAGTAGTATCCTTTGCGGTAAAACAGTACAAGTGATGAATGAGTATTTCTTAAAAGTCTATTTTAAATGAAACACACTTTATCTTCAGGTGGCTAACATGACTGCTTGTTATAACAGTGCTGGAAAAGATTATAAAATATATAAACTTTAGAAGCTTTATTTTTTGTTTCCCAGAGAGGTAGCTAGACAATGCAACAAAAACAATAAATATATTTTATATATCTATATATCTATATCTGTATACCATTACAATTTTGCTCTTAATTAGAAATAATGAACTTCCAATAATGCTAGATCTCTAGGTTTTTATAGTGGTTTACAGATAGCGATATTTGAGACTTCATCGAAACGTCGCCAAGACACTTCCAATTTTATGCGGGAGAAAACCCGAATAACCAAAGACCTACATCTATATCTATATCTATCTATCCATCCATCCATCCATCCATCCATCCATCCATCCATCCATACACACACACATACACAAAGGCAGATATCAGAGATGGGTTCTACTTACCTTTTCTCCCGGTTTGCAAGGGATGCCTGCATTCCACCCCCCCCACACCCTTTTTTTTCCCCCATTGCATGGGCAGCATCTTGGCCTTGCAGCCGCCACGGTCTGCCCCGCGCAAGCCGTGGGCATTGCATTGGGGTGCTGGAGGAGACCGGAGCTTTTAGAATCCCTGATTTCTGTTGATTCTCTTCTCAATTGTATCCTCTTAATCTCATGGGTTTATGAGAATCCCCTGATCCTTAACAATTTTCTGGATGATGCCATGATTGTATTTGGTACTGACTGACCATAAGATGGGACATTTGCTGCATTATTGGCACATTTCAAAAGGATGGGGCAAACTAGACATAACTCTAAAGATTACACCATCCCTTCTCAAAACACCTAGGGTGTACAGCCTTTAAATAAAAAAAACAAGTGGGATTAAACAAGAATGGATGGAGAGTAAGGTTATTTCCTCTGTATTTCAAAGATATTCCTTAATGATTAAAGTGGCTATTTCTTCATTCATTTTACTCAGCTTAAGTGGAATAGATTCCCTACAGAGGCAGCATTGGAATCCCCAGGAGAAAGTAAGTTTTATTTTTCTTAAAAAGAAAACCACTAAGAAACATTGGTTAAAAAGAGGATATATTCAAATATTGTATGTTATGTGTTTGTCATATTGTGTTATAATAAAATATTAAAAAAAAAAAAACAGAAGACACAAATGAAATGTGTCAAGTGCATTGCAGAAGACATTCCAAGATATTCTTAGTGCATTGTAGTGTTTATATATTGTTTCCCCAAAATACCATACTTAGTTCTGCTAATACACACAAACATAAGAAGTCTACAGTTGGCTTCATTACTGCAATTTAAAAAGAGATCCAGAGTAGCTGGTCTAGCCTCTTTCATATTTAATAAAGCTAGTTTAATAAAGTTAGGTTTTCTGCTGAATCAGGCCAAAATTTTATTCCTAGATGTTACTGAGACATCTAGGGACATGAACAAAAGGTCTTTTATTATACTAATGCCTGTAAACATGGAGAAAATGTGTGTTTGTGTATTTGTGTGTATGTGTAGACACACAAGCCATGTTTAATAGCCATTAATAACTTCCATTGAGAATTATTATTTGTCTTATTCTCTCTCTCTTTTTTTGGTTATATTTTGGTATTATTAAAGCCTTTCCAAATTTCAGCTCTCATAATCTCTAGAGCCATGATGGCAAACCTATGGCACGCGTGCTGGAAATGGCATGCAGAGCCATCTCTCTGGGCACACAGAGCCATTGCCCGTTGCTTTTCTGGGTTCCGGCGTGCCAGCCAGTTGGTCTTCATGCACGCAGGAGCGCCAGAAACCGAAAGAGCAGTCACGCAGTGAGCATGCGCGTGCCAGGAAGATGGTTTCCGACGTGTGCATGCGTGCTGGCCACCTAGTCTTCTGGTGCGCATCCACACGCGAAGAACAGCTGTGCCCAAAGATGCTGAGACAGGATCCCGGCGGTTGGTTACTAGAGAGAGCCAGGATGGACGGGCCAGGGCTTCCCTCCGTCCCCACCCGAGTGGGCTTCTTGTGCGGCCCCAGCCCTCCAGCCCACGATGACACGCATCTGCGGTCCAGAGCGCCTGGCCAGCTTGAGTGCCCCAGAACAGCAGCAGCAGCACTCCTTGTTCTCGATAGCTGGTGAGGGGGGAGCGGTTCTCCTCCAGAATCCTGGCTGCAAGTGGCAGGATGAGAATCACTCCGCAGCCCCAGGAAAGTAGCAGGGGCAGCGCTGCCTGTTCTCGATGGCGGGCGAGTTGGGGGCGGCAGTTCTCCAGAATCCTGGCCACAAGCGGCAGGTTATGCGCAGCCGCAGGAAACTAATACATTTTTTAAAAATATCTTCTACAGGGATATACCTTTCATATCATTACCACAGTCTCTGAATGGTCTTTGGCTTTCACTTTTGTCAGTTTTTTCCTGACTTTCATCCGTGACTTCCAGGTAAGTTTCTCTACTGCAAGGGTGAACAAACCTTTGGTAGACAGGAAGTGTTCTTAATCTGGAGACAGTGGCTACAGATGGCTTTGGATTTAGCAATCAGAGAAAGTAGTTGGAACCAAATTATATCTGAGGGATTTGCCATTTTGGAGTGAACATTGTATGAGAAACACAAATAGGAGTTGGGTCATAGAGACAGATGTTTTGTTTCTGTTTTATTAAATATCTTAGATTTGGAAAGTTTGAAGTTAAATCTATCTGAAATTGAGTTGGAATAGAAACCATCAAGCTTCTACCGCAGTGGCTCAGTGGCTAAGACGCTGAGCTTGTCGATTGAAAGGGTGGCAGTTCAGCGGTTCGAATCCCTAGTGCCGCGTAATGGGGTGAGCTCCTGTTACTTGTCACAGCTTCTGCCAATCTAGCAGTTCAAAAGCATGTAAAAAATGCAAGTAGAAAAATAGGGACTACCTTTGGTAGAAAGGTAACAGCTTTCCATGCGCCTTTGGTGTTTAGTCATGCCGGCCCCATGACCACGGAGACATCTTTGGACAGCACTGCTCTTCGGCTTTGAAACGGAGATGAGCACCACCCTCAAGAGTTGGGAACAACTAGCACATATGTGTGAGGGGAACCTTTACCATTACCTTTTAGAAAGCATCAAGACAATTTTCCATACTTACAGGACATAAAGAAAATACTTTATTAAAATTTATTATGAATTCTGGAACAGAAATTAGCCTTTGATATTATAAGTAAAATAGGTGATTATTCAAAATATTTCCTGTTTTATTTCTTGATTTTCTGAGCTTAAAGCTAAATAGAGATATATGAATATTTTATTTTCAGAAACTGATCCTGAAGTATATTTTTCAGAATAGTTGCATCTATAAAAGATAGAGCAAATTGCTCAGTTGTTAGCAATGCATTTTCTTATTTTTGAATTAGAATTGAAGAGTAATATATTAGCTTGCTCATAGTAAATGTCTCCTAACCCATGATTTAATTGTAGAGAGGACAAACCTGGCATGTTACTGAGAATTGGGTGAAGGGAGAGACTTTCAGAAGTGTGACTCTCACATTTCTGATTTGAATTTTGGTTTTTGCATCAGCTGAAAGCCCAGGGCAGGGGAGGGAAAGGGGCTGCTGTGTTGCAGAAAGCCATGCAGGTAACCAGAGATATTATTCCTCTGATTACTGTGTATGAGATCTTGTTTCTGATGGACTCAAGGGTCAAACTTTGATTATAGGTACCTATTAAATGCACTCTTAATAAGATCAGGGAGGGAGGGTTCCCTTTGGGTCTCTATTCAGAGCATTACTATCAGAGGTCTTAAATGGATCTTTCTTGGTTGCCACTTCCTCCAATAAACCAGCATTTCACCTGTGAATAGATGGTTCAGGCCTTTTGGAATTTGTATTGTTTTAATCATGAGAGATAAAGCATACATTGCTTAAAATTGGGTACAGTTGAAGCAGCCTATAAGCCTAAGAAATACAAACATATGTAGTTTAGCTCAGTAACAAGGAAAAAAATTAAAGGTAGTGTGCTGCAAAATATTTCTCCCCTTCTCTCTCCATTACTCATTTTTGGGCTAATATTTATGTAGTGCTGTACATGTTCAAGTCTGTGGTGGATTTGAACATATCTGTTTAGAATTGGAATCTTGAAACTCATTTTTACCTGAGGTCCTTCCAAGGCCAGTGACATCAATGGTTGGACCTAGAAACATTCTGATTCTCTGAAGCCCAACTCACTGGCATCATACAGCTTTCAAAAGAAAGGGCTCCAAGAACACAGTGAGCATCTGAGAGCAACATCTCACAGGGAGCCAGGAAGACCTTCTACCTGTTGGGAAAGGAAGGAGTCCAGGCAAAACTCTGGAAACAGTCCCATTCAGCATTTAGAAGTAGTGACTTTCAGGGACTCTCTTTAAGGGGTAGACAAGGAAGAGAACAAAGTCTCAGAGATGGAATGATTTGAGATGACTGTGCAATTTTTGAATGTTGATAAAATTATTAAGACAGTAATGTTATACATGAGATTCCTTAATTATTTTTTATAAAGTAGAATCAAGTTGTTGTTTTATCATAACAGAACCAAATTTACTAATAAATTTCATTCATTTCCACCATTTATTGTAGAAAATCTCATTGCATATGGAAACAAGACTATTTGGCCCTAATCTTTATCACACTCAAGAGCAGCTTCTACAAGATGAGCAAGGAATACCAATCACAGGAAGCATATGAGAAGAAAACGGAGAAAATGACATAAATTAGAACTTATCTTGGAAAAAAGGCTTTGGTTCACATATAGCGCTCCCATTTTTTTAATATGCAAAAATCATGATGTCTTATTAGTTCCACTGGCATCAGCTCATATACATGGATATAAGTACAGTCCTGTGCGAAGGTTTTAGGCAGTTGTGCAAAAATGCGGTACATTTAAGAATGCTTTTAGAAATATAAGTGTTAATAGTTTATTTTTTATCAATTAAGAAAATGGAAAGTAAATTGACAAAAGAGAAATCCAAATCAAATCAATATTTAGGGTGACCACCTTTTGCCTTCAAAACAGCATCAATTCTTACACTTGCACAAGTCAGGGATTTTGTAGGATTAGAGTCAGGTATGTGATTAACCAATTTATACCAACCAGGGGCTAATGAACATCAGTGTCATATGTAGGTTGAAACACAGTTACTAATTGAAACAGAAACGGCTTAAAAGCTTAAAACTGGGTGAGATACAGCCAAACTCTGCTACTAAGGTGAGGTTGTGGAAGACAGTTTCATGTCACAGGTCATACACTATGGCAAAACCGAGAACAGGAACAAGACAAAAGCTAAATTATACTGCATCAGCAAGGTCTTTCCCAGGCAAAGATTGCAAAGCAGTCTGGAGTTTCAAGATGTGCTGTTCAGGCTCTTCTGAAGAAGCACAAAGAATTGGGCAAAACTGAAGATGCAGTGGTTGGCCAAGGAAACTTAATTAAGCAAATGACAGACACATCATGCTCACTTCCCTTTGAAATTGGAAGATGTCTAGCAGTGTCATCAGCTCAGAACTGGCAGAAATCAGTGGGGCCCAGGTACATCGATCTATTGTCTGGAGAAGTCTGGGCAGAAGTGCTTTTTGTGCCCAAAAAACAATACTTTGATATGGAAACAAGGCCAAGTGACTCAACTATGCACAAAAATATTGTAACGGGGGTATAGAAAAATGGCAGCAGGTGCTCTGGAGTGATGAATCAAAATATGACATTTGGCTGTAACAGGAGATAGTTTATTCACCAAAGGGCTGGAGAGCATACCATAATGCGTCTGCAGGCAACAGTGAAGCATGGTGGAGATTCCTTACACGTTTGGGCTGCATTTCTTCAAATGGAATTCAAGATTTGGTCAGGATCAATGGTGTCCTCAATGTTGAGAAATACAGGCTGATACTTACCTATCATACCATGCTATCAGGGAGGTTTGTGATTAGCCACAAATTCTTTAGCAGGACAATGACCCTAAACATACAGCCAATGTCATTAAGAATTATCATCAGTATAAACAAGAAGTCCTGGAAGTGATAGTTTGGCCCTCATTGAGCCCTGATCTCAACATCAAGTCTGTTTGGGATTATGTGAAGGGACAAAAGGATTTGAGGCAACCTATATCCACAGAAGTTCTGTGGTTCTCCAACATGTTTGGAACAACTTGAAGGAACCTTGCCAAATTCCTTCAGAAACTGTATGTACCAAGAAGAATTGATGCTGTTTTGAAGGCAAAGGGTGATCACCCCAATGATTTAGAATCCTCTTCTATTCATTTACTTTCCATTTTGTTAATTGATAAAAATAAACTATTAATTTATTTCTGAAAGCTATTCTTAATTTACAGCATTTTTGCACAACTGCCAAAAACTTTTGCACAGAACTGTACATATGCTTATATAACATTCAATGCAATATATAAGAATGTCATTTTATATGAAAATACTACTATTAATGATTTTTACTGACTTTTGCCAATTGTTTATAGAAAAAGTTTTTAAGAACCTCACAAAATATTGTACTATGTAATATAAAAAATGATAATTTATAAAATAAATTTTTTGCAGATTAAAGTTTGCTGACAAAAGTTTATAGAAAAGTTTTCTCCGTTTTTTGCAAAAACAGGGCACGCAGAGGCTTTGGGAGGTCTGCAGAGTGCTCCTGTGGGCTGGGGAGGGCAAAAATGCTGTTTTTGCGAAAATGGGTGAAAAATGGGCCCGTTTTTGGCCTCCCAACCCCCCCATGTGTCATGTTTTTGCCCTCCCCAGCCCCCAGCACTACTATGCAGGCTTCCCAAACCCTCTGCATGCCCCATTTTTGCGAAAAATGGGACGCGCAGAGCATTTGGGAGGCCTACAGAGTGCTTCTGGGGGCTGGGGAGGGCAAAAAGTTTTTTTCTTGCTTATCTCTTGGTGCATCTTATACTCTGGTGTGTCTTATAGTCCAAAAAATACGATATATGAAATATAATTGGATACCATCAGCATATCATGGTGACAGATGATCTCACCTGATGGCTTTACGTTCCAATATAATAGGCCCTATCTTCCTGCAGTGATTAATTACACCAGAAAATCCCATGGCTATCAGGCATGACCTGACCATGACAAGGGGGACAGTGAAAGCTCCCCCAATTCCAGATCAAATTGCCACTGTAGGTGTCCAACCACCGTGGGCCCTGGAATTACAGAAAGCATCTTGGCCAGGAAGCAGCAAAATATGTACAATATCTGCAGCAGTTCCCACTACCAGTCAATAGGGCCAGTCAGCACCTTAGATACCAAAAGCCCCAGCATTATAAATGTGAAACTGGATCTACTGTCATTGCCACACAAGATGCCCTATCTCCTGCCTTTGCCAGTTAGTGAAACACTATCTTGACTTTTGCCAAGGTCCTCCACAATCCCCAGCAGTGCTTAATTTCTAGAGCTATGGTGTCTCCACCTGATGAATCTCCTCCTGGCAAAATCCCCTATTAAAAGCTATGGTGAACAGGAGGGGCAAAGAAAATGCAAGACCATTTTCACAGAACCAGAAGCTCAAGGCTCCATTACACACAGTCTAGTTGGTCAAGTTAGGATCTAACACAACTGAAGATAGGACAACCCTATCCCTTAGCACTGTATCTCAAAAAGGTCCAGGTAGGTACCAACTACACACAGCTCCATTAACATACAGAAACCAACAAAAAAACTTGAGTTAGGGTTAGTAAATCAGCATGGCTTACATTCCAATCAAATGAGTAATACCGTTAAAGAATAAGCCAGTGAGATTTCCCTGTTCATGTATTATAGAAAAGGAGAAACACTGATTTTCTGAAAAGAATTCATGAATTATATTCACAGAAAAGCGCTTGGGGGTCTTATTATTTTGGAGCGCGTCGAGCATGATGGGGCTCCTCTTGCCATCTTACCTGATTTCCAGCTCTGCCTTTAAATATTTTCGGGGAGGGCTTATTTTCGGGGGAAGACTTATTTTAGCGCATGCACTCAAAAGCCCGATTGGGCTTATTATCAGGGGATGTCTTATTTTCGGGGAAACGGTATTATTTTAATAGCAAATTCATTCTACCAAATCCATTTTATGAAGCTAAAACAAATCCCAAACAAGCTGATTATTTCTGAGCTTCTCTGGGGCCACAATACTGACGACATAATTATTTAAGAGATGGAAGGGTCACTAAAGATCAACAGCAATAGCACTTACATTTACATACCGCTTCACAGTCCTCTCTAAGCTGTTTAGAGAATCACCATAGCATCAAAAATAAGTATCGTAGGAAAGCAGACAGTGGCTGGAATATCTTGGAAAAGCGTATAAGTAGCACACTGCAAATTACTGTACTTTGCAGTACAGTTCATTGTTCTAATTCTTTTCAATATATTATTTGTTTAAGTCTGGATCTAAATTTAATCTCTTGAGAAACTAAATGAGCTATGGGTCTATGCTTCCATTTTTACCATCAAGTCAGAGCTGAAGAAGCTTCTTGGAGAAGCGAAACATCTTCGAAGAAGAAAAAAACCCAGAAAGTTCAGTTGCTTCTTGAAAAAAGCACCTTTGGGATAAATGAACTGTAGCGCAGTGGTTAGAACTTAGAATGCAGTACTGCAGGCTACTTCTGTTGACTGCTGGCTGACTGCAATTTGGCAATTCAAATCTGACCAGGGTCAAGATTGATTCAGCCTTCCATCTTTCCAAAGTCAGTAAAATGAGGACCCAGATTGTTGAGGCCAATATGCTGGCTCTATAAACTGCTTAGAGAGGACTGTGAAGCAGTATATAAATGTAAGTGCTACTGCTGTTATTGTTAGTGACTCAAAAATGTTATTTTGAGTTTTGGAACAAATTTACTCACTTAAATAACAATATTCAATATTAGTCACTGAATGTTCTAAATAAAATCTAAGCTAATACATTTCTGTCAGTATTAAGCTAGTTATATGCTTTAGAGACATTTGCAACTGAAGAATTCTATCTACATTTCATTTGTGAAACCACTGTCTGGAGACTGATCATGATCAGCATGAATATAAATTGTATTTACTGTAAAAAATATAATGAATTAAATAAATTTCTGAGCAAGTTATATTCTTGTCAATAAGATTCTAGATTTGCATACTTCTTGTCTTGGAACTGGAGTCCATTCATTCATACTTGTACCTATTAATGCCATGTAAACATTAGGAAAATTAGATTTATTATATGTTAAATGAACAGCAACAGGTAACATTTTAGCAATTTGCAAACTAGCTTTTTTAACATTGATGCATTTTTTTTCGAAGTGCTTCTAAGGCTGCTTCTCGTTCCCTCAGCAATAGTTTAAGCCTTGTTATTTTCTCATCTTTTATTGTTTCTTCCAAGTCTGGGGGGCTGAAAGGAAAAATATCCTTTTTGAAAGAACTTTCACCGAGAGCAGTTTCATTTTCATGGCAATTCGAAGTAGACTTCAAAACTCTGTCCACTTCAGAGTTGTTACAAACCCAAGGATCTGAGACGTTATGAGGACACTGAAGAAAACTAGAATGTTCTTGTTCCGATAAGTTCTGTGTGCAAGAATTATTCAAGTTTTCCATTACTGAATAAGAGCTGTTACACTCAAAGTCAGAGTTCTGCATTGTTGTAACATCATTTTTTCTCTTCTTTGGATTTTCTAAAACTGATATTGCTTTTATCTTCCTCTTTATATTCAACTTCCCTCCTTCTTCCCCAATTATCTATAAATAAAGAATAAAAAGAGTAGTATACTATTGTGACAATATAAATTAAGCAACCCACTCTACAGCTATTCTGAATACAACTCAATGTCTTGCGGACAATGTCCCAAGGATATCTCCCTTTTTCTTCCTATGGTTGAAAACCCAATTTTTCTTCTACTGTGAATGTGTTCTAATGTTAGAAAGTCCAATTTTAGAAGGGGTCAAAAGGAAATGTATTACAGACAGGGCTAGAAAACATACCAAGAAAAGCTTTGGTTCTATTGAATTCAAAGCCTTCTGAAACACCCTTTCTAAACCAACACGCAATTTCAACAAGTCCACTAGTTTAGATTTACTGCCACTACGGCTTGTGCTGGGAGGAAGTCCTTGAAAGGAACCCATTAGGGATGGAAGGGATAAGCACATGACCCCCTAAAATTGTTCTTCTTTTAAGGCATCACCATATTGGTCTATAAAACTGAAAACTTCCTGTTTAACAGTTTCACAGTACATTTAATATATCACTTTTCATAAAGGAAAAACAAGTAGTGGGACATTATTTCACGTTCAAAAGTTAAAGTACTCAAATTGCTTCACTTATTACTATATCTCTTCCTTTGTGAATGTTACAAAACACTAAAAATAGCATGTCAAAAGCTATAAAAATAATACAGCATATACTTTGATGTTACTTTAATACTTCCATACTTTTCTTGAAAACCACATATTTTGTAATAAAATGAACCTATAAACATTTAATGATATCACAATAATCCAGCCAATCATTGTGACTGGCTTTATTATTCATAATAGTTATTATTAGGGATAAGTATCAAAGAATATTAATCATAAATGTAATATTCTACATACCGTTTCTTCTTTTTCAGATTCACTTTTTATAGGTGTAGACATCAGATTATCAATGTCATTCATTTGTACACTGTTGGAAAATACAGATGCTTCTGAATTTTTAGATGGAACTGATGAAACTCTCCTAAGATAAACTCTCTCTTCTTTAAAGAGACCAAATTTTTTTCTCAACTGAAGATACTGTTTTTTCTGTTGTTCTTGGATATGCTTCATCCAAATTGGCATTCCTGAAGATATTTTAACCTAAAATAGTAAACATTACTCATTTCAATCATTTTATTCCTTAAAAGTACTTTACGAGACAATAAATGTGTAAATACTGAATATAAAAAGATATAAAATACAAGCATCTATTTATCAAGCATCTATTTATCACCTGATGATCTAAAATTGTGAGGTCTATAAAAAAATGGAAGAAACCCATGCCAACGTCCTTCAGCAAGTTATTCCTCAAGGAAGAGGTTGCTACAGAAAAAATATTTCATTTCCATTTCCACTCATCATATTGGCAGATATGAGCACGATCCCAATGATATATTCAATATAAATAGTTTGATATGAAGAATTACCTGTTCTTCTTCTTCTTTGATTGCATGATGTACCTCAGATGGTGATGTAGGATCAGTAGCTGCTTTAGAAGAAAGATCTTTATGTGTACTATCATATGTGTTTTCTTTTGTGACATATTTCTGAGCAACATTTATCCCAATGGAAGCACTCCTCCCTGAGGACACTGCTTCATGTTGGCTGATACTGCTTATTTGAAGATTGTTATGTGGTGAAGCAGAAGGTGTTGATTCTGTTTTAAAATTCTTATTTACTTCAGATTCTAGATACGGTGTTGTATTATCACTGAATTTAGATTCTTTCACATTAGATGCAATCCTTTTATTTTTTGATAAAACAAGATTGATAACCTGATTAGTTATGGCATTATCTATAACTGAACTAATTAATTCTGATGTTTGTTTTCTGACAATTGTGCTTTCTTGCTTGCTAAGCTTGAATGTTGATAAAATATTACCCTCCTTCTTAGCCAGTAAATACAACTTTGCAACACCGTTGCACATTGTTAGAGTATCATCTTTTATAGAAGGCATTTTTGCATGACTTTCATGGAGGCTGATAGAACAAACAGGCAAAATACTGGTAGAATTGTTTTTGGTATTTTTCATATCAGTTTTTAAGAGCTCAGATGCCACCTTGTTAGATGATTTTACAGGGACAAGGTAAGATGTTGATGACTGTGGATTTTCATGAACAACCCATTTGATAGGACCCATCTTATTTTCCATACTACCAGAGGTTGATACTTCTATAGCAGAGCTATTGACAAACTCCTGTGGTGTTGCCAGTATTAAAGAACTGGATACTTCTCCCACTGATTTTGTTTCCAAGGATTCAGAAGCAGGCATTTTCACTGTATTTACTGGTGATACAAAAATTGGTGCATTGTTATTTTCATCTGTCCCTGAAGTATTTGAGGCTGCAACTGTAGCCAGGATTTTGTCCTGAATTACTGGTGGCAAAACAGAAACTGGAAGAGTTTTAACTTTAGTATGAGCGGGTATTTGAAGGTGGTGGTCAGAAGGTAACATTGGCGGTTTTATGGAAAGTGGAGTATTTTCTATTTTCACAACTGTTGTGCTTGTGTCCAAATAAATTGGAGCAAAAGATTTCTGCAAGGATGATCTATCAGCTGAATAACTACTCTGAATGCCAGAAACTGTTAATGTAATTGGATTTTGTTTTACAACAAGTGTTACATTAACTTGTTCTAGTTGATTTAAAGGCTTCGGTAAAATTAAACGCCTGGCTGCAATGGTCTTTAATTTAGAGATTTTAGCAGCAGCAGATGTAATAGTACTTGCAAATGAAGTCTTCGCATAATCATGAACAGATAGTGAAACATTTCCTTTAACAGCATGAGACACGACTGGAGACTGAACCAGAGGCTTCAAGTTATTTAAAGGTTTAGAAGCTGGAAGCAATTTCAAAACTTTTTTTCCATCCAGCCCAGTCATTACAACTAGTCGATATACACAATCTGTAATACTTAAAGAGAAAAATATATATCCATTACTCTTATAACAAGCTATTAAGTTTCAAATAAATATTTTGATTTTGTGAGTTTAATCAACATTATTCTACTTTAAGTGGTATTTCTTCTAAATTCCAAAATACCATCAACTGCCTTTTAATAACTACTTACAGAAAAAAAATCATTCCATCTACTGTGTTAGTTTTATAAAAATGTAACTTAATGCAACTTAAGCATTAAAATGTAATTTAAATACTGAAGAAAAAACGAAGGCACACTCCCACTGGTGATTATATCACTTCTCCATTCCTCCAGCCAATAAATAGCTCTTCTGTTAAATTGTTACCCTTTTTTGCTTTTTAAATAGGTCCTAAGATCTTATTATATTCTTTGAACAAATGAACTAAAATATTTTTTAGCTAGAAGGCAGAAGAGAAACACAACCTATCTGTTCTAGATAGAATAATAAAGGTGGGATAATTTGAATGCAGTGGAATCAATTGATCGATCGATCAATCAATCAATCAGGCCGATAGAAAGTCTAGAGCTATTTGCCTCCAACGAAATTGAAATGCTTTCAAATTTTAGAGTATTATTTTCACTGTCTTCCTTCATTCTTTGAGATCCACAAACTGGGATTAGGCACAAATTGTAAGCATATAATGAAACCAATTTTGGACCTGAACATTTTACTTCAGATCAGAAGTTCAGCCTTTTTCTGCAAGTACCAGCTCCAAATTTCCCCAAGCTTTCTTCTTTTCAACAATTCATTTATAGTTTATATATATTTCCCTAATGGCTGTTGTAAAAACATTTGACATTCCAAACTCTGCATATCTACTTAAGTAGGATCCTATCAGTACGCTCAGATCTGCTTGAAACCACATTGCTTTGGCCACACTTTGCCCACTGAAGGATTGAGGAAGATAAAAATGGCAGCCTTTCCCCAACCACTTCACCGTTCAATGACTATCTAAGGGGACACCTTCCACAGGAAAAAGAAGAGACAGGGATGGCTTTCGCCATGTTTCTCAAGAATCAGCGAGGAGCCCCTACAATACAGGGCCTGCGAGGGAGCAGCGGGTACACCTGTAACAACTACGGGGCGCCCTGTGAGCGCGGGAAAGTGGAGCTGCATTTAGAGAGGCGGAGCCCTCCGTCTTCGCAACCAACCGGGATAGTTGGTGTGGTCTGGTACTACGTCGCCCCCCGCCCCTTTTCCTGCGCAAGCAGAGAGCTGGGGAGGAAAATGTCCCTCAGTGGTCACTACGACGGGGTGTCAACTGCAGGGTCCCCCTCCCCCTTCCCCTTCGTAGCTACTACCCCCAGCGCCATCTCGGACATCGCAACTGGGGAACTCCAGGATTACATCCGGGAAGAGTTACCCCGATCCGAGACGACAATCTCTCCTTTGCCAAGGGATAACTCTTAAATCCACTGGACGTGGGGAAAGCCTCATAAACCTACTCTCTTGTCCTCGCTGTACAGCCATAAACAGCCACTTCCTGTACACTTCCGTCCATCGCGTCCTACTTTCGTTTCTTAATAAAGGAGCGCCATTTTTTTTTACCTTTATAGCCATTTGGAAGGAAGGTGGTTTTTAGCTTCCGGGAGTTAGCAAGAAGGATATCCGGGTTGATATGAGTACTTCCTGTTTGAGAAAAAAAAGGGGAAATTAGAACTCTTGCCTGGTTTTGATCATGATGCTACTTTTTCAGTTTGGCAGATTAATTTATTGTACCCTTAAAAAAGAATATTTATGTATACATTTCTATTAATAGTTTTTAATTCAACTGAAAGAATAAATCCTTAACTTTTGGACAAATTACATATTATGTCACAGTAGGAATTAAATATACATTCTAAAACTAAATACATCAATTTTAGCTTTAGCAGGCCAAGTGTCATCAGAATTTACATCTACACACACACCCCTTAGGTTTAAAATCCAGCTGGGTGACTGAGCCAGTCATTCTCTCTTAGCCCAACCCACCTCACAGGGTTGTTGTGGGAAAAATAGATGTTGAGAGACTGGAAAGAGTGCAGAGAAAAGCAACAAAAATGATTAGGGGTCTGGAAGCTAAAATGTATGAAGAATGGTTACGTGAAGTGGGTAGAGGTCAAGGTCAAGGACCCCCTTGCACATATGTGCTAGTCGTTCCCAACTCTAGGGGGTGGTGCTCATCTCTGTTTCAAAGCTGAAGAGCCAGTGCTGTCCAAAGACGTCTCCATGGTCATGTGGCCAGCATGATTAAATGCTAAAGGCATACAGAACGCTGTTACCTTCCCTCCATGGTCCCTATTTTTCTACTTGCATTTTTACGTGCTTTCAAACTGCTAGGTTGGCAGAAGCTGGGACAAGTAACAGGAGCTCACCCCATTACACGGCACTAGGGATTCGAACCATTGAACTGCCAACCTTTTGATTGACAAGCTCAGCATTTTAGCCACTGAGCCACCATGTGACTATGTCTACTGGGTATGTCTAGTCTAATGATAAATACTGGGGTGAGGGGGTTTCCATGATAGCACTGTTCCAATATTTGAGGGGATCCTACAAAGATGGGTGTGTGTGTCAAACTATTTTCCAAAGCACCAAAAGCCAAGACAAGAAACAATGTTTGGAAACTAACCAAGGAGAGAAGTAATCTAGAACTAAGGAGAAACTTCTTAACAGTGAGAGCAATTAACCAATGAAATAGCTTGCCTTCAGAAGTTGTGGGTGCTCCATCACTGAAGGCTTTCAAAGAGACTGGATAATCATTTGTCTGAAATGATATAGGGTTTCCTGCCAAGCAAGGGGTTGGACTAGAAGACCTCCGAGGTCCCTTTCAACTTTATTATTTGATGTTCTGGGTTGATTGGTTGGCCTACCGATTAGAAAAACAAACCACAAATATGGAGGATACATTAGCTATGGAGTTCTGGTCTTCTTTTCAACCAAAACAGCACTGCAGTAGAGATGTTCAACCCAGTAACTGAAGGTGGCAGTCAGACAATAATTTTGTCATACCAACTGAAACCAAGCAGACTGCTAATCTCAACTACATCTCAAATCACCTCCTCCATCAACTTTATCTTGTCCTTATAGAACATTTCTCACCACTTTCACATTGAATTATCTAATATTTTGGACTACTTTAGCAGCAGACTGATGAAACAAAGGCAATGTCATGAGAACTTGTCCTTAGCCAATAGTGAAGCAGGGACTTCTCATGCAAGAATAAGGAAATATTTGGATGGGCTCTTACTAATTTAGGGCCACCCAAGGTTGTTGTCAGAATAAGAGGAAAGATATTAACATACAGGTAGGTTTCATTTAGTGCTGATAATGAATCTCATGAAATAGTCACATTATTCAAAGTCACACTATTTGAAGTGATATTTCTGTGAAAAATAAGGCAATTGGCTGCAGCTTGATGGAAACAGACAAAAAATTAAACATAATAATGAATGTTTATTAATGAAATGTAATAGTATAAGATTAAAAGAAATACAACTTCAATGTATTTTAATAAAGTCACTGAGTAGTTATAGAAAACAAAACATTACAAACATAATTACTAAAGATAAGCTTACCCTGACAAAAACATTATTGCATTTCAAAATATTTTATAAATCAATACATATTTGATTTATATAAATGAAGTTAGACAAAGTATTTCTTTAATCAAAACAATCAATTTCACCATCTTTGCTAGCTCTGCTTAGCTTCATCATCTATTCTTGCATTGTAGAAATCTGTCAATCTTTTCATTTCTGCACATAAAGAAGTCTCGCTACTGTTATCATATATAAAAACAGAGTTCCATGCTTTTTTGCATCTGTTTATCCATCAAATCTAAAAGAACATCTGGTTTCAATTGTACATTTAGTTGGAAAATACTCTTATCTGATCCCAATATTTCTTAGCTATCCATCAAATATGATAAAAAGTACCTTCAAATTTATTGTATTTCCAGCCTATATTTTGCACATTCTTATACATATTTGACAATTTATCAGGTGTTAAATACTAATGATACATTGTCTTATAAAAATTCAAGTTATAATTCAGTGTAAATTTCAATCCTTTACTCCACATATACTCCAATTGACAAAGTATTACATTATAGTTAATTCTTTTTGCCCACTTAATTATGCATTCTTTGACATATCCATCTTTCACTTTTATTTTCAATAATAGTTTATATATTTTACCAATATATACCAATAGCATGGTCATTGTTAGTACATTAATCCATTTCAAAGTCAGATTTCTCATTTGTAACAGCAAAATTCTTATTCAGTTTAAAACCAATAACTGAGCATAAGCAAACCTTTGACAAATATAACCCTTCTAAAATTGTTCTCAGGTTTTTAATGTAGGGTCTCCTTCAGAAAAATGTCAGTAAGTCAATATATGTTAATCAAGTTTGTGTAGCTATCATTTCTCTCCTAAAAAGGCTTAATAGGGTGAAAGCCAAAGCGAAATTTTAGGAGTCAATTTTAATATCCTTGATAAAACGTCCATCCTAATCACTAAAATTCTGCCCAATAGTGCTAATTAAATTACAAAATGAAATCTTTTTGAGCTTTCTTTGAACAGAATCTTCCTTTTCTCCAATTTGCACACACAGATGGCATTTAAAACCCCAATGGCAACTGCACATGCACTAGGCTCAACTGCACTAGTGTCACATTAACTGAATTTTGACTCGCATTAAACACCATCTAGTACAATTTATAATTCACACTAAACAGAATAATATACAATTCAGGTAGGTTGTAATGAATTCCTGTATAAGAAAAGACAGATAAAAATCTAATCAACTAAATCCTATTTACTTATGCAGTCTCTCATTGCAAAAATAGAATTTTAGTAATAGGTGTGGGTGTGCATAGAATATCTGGCAGTGCTTTCACAAGGTCCAAAAGTCTAGTTTGGAGAATAGATCTTATTTGGTTGGGCTCATGATCCCTACTGAATGAATTGAACTAGTACTATTAAGATAAATTCTTGAATTAAAAGTTGCCAGTACCTGCTGCTCCACCTTTATGATGTTAACCACAAACATAAGCCCACAAAACCATTTTTTTCTTCCTAGCGATTTACAGTAGAGCGCCGATTGTCATTTAACCATCGTTGTGCTAATATAATAGCAATTAAGACAGGCATTTAAATTCGCAGTGTTATGGTTGTGTGAGGATAGCTGTAACTGTAAAGCATTAGGCAAAGATATGTGAATTTATTCGTTATGCCCTCCCTACAGACCCGACCAGGAAGCCTTATAACCAAGCGATAAGATCCTCTTAGAGATCCTCCTAGAGCTGGTCCGCTAATTTAAATTCCTGAGGCGGGAACCATTTTTTGTAATAGCCAATCGGCATAGAGTCCGATCTTGAAGGGCATTTTTTTCACCCGGTCACATTGCAGGCCGTTAGACATCTTGGCTCTTGCTGGTTGAGAATTTGTGGCGCGCTTTTCCGAAGTTTCCCCTCAGTTTGGCTTCCGAGCTCAGTGGGGCTGCTAGAGGGAAAGGCGTTCAGACTCCTGTCTTCGGTTCTCGGACTCCTGCCGTCTTCCAGAGGCGAAAAACGAGCGAGGCCGTCTCCTTCCCTTCGTAGGAGGCAGCTTTGCTCTCCAGGATCGTAGTCCCGGTGCTCCGAGCAAAGGCTTGAGTACGCGGGTCCTGAGAGGGTTCCTGGCGGAGGGAGGTGGGAAGGAGGACGACCATAGTTTAAGGTGTGTATCTTAAAACCTTCACGTCATTATTAAATTGCTGCTCCCCCTTCGCTTGACAGAATGCCTTCGTGAGCCCTTTGTGTGTGTAATATAATATGATCATATTATATCATAAATATAATAATATATGTGAGTATATACATAATTTGGAATTTATTTTGTACTGTTTATGTAGTGTATATTGGAGGTGGTGCCCTTTTGACAGCTGTATGCAACAAAATTTCATTTTAATGTTTTTCTTTATTATTTTATTTTTATTAGTCATATTTCTATGCCGCCCACCCTCCGAGGATTCTGGGCGGCTTACACCGAAGACAGTATACTAAATAGCATATTGCCCCCTAACAATCTAGGTCCTCATTTTACCCACCTCGGAAGGATGGAAGGCCGAGTCAACCTTGAGCCTTTGAGATTTGATCCGTTGATCTAACAATCAGCTGAAGTAGCTGCAGTACTGCACCCTAACCACTGCGCCACCTTGGCTAACTAGTGTACAATTAAAGTGACAATAAAGTTATTCTAAGTCTAAGTGTGTGGGAGGAGGATGGTAATCTCACTCATTAAACCGGGGTTACTCCTTGGGGCAACTGTTAAACTCTCCTGGTCCCTCATTTCCTTGGGCAGACACACTGGGGAAATAGGAAAAGGGAGGGCATCAGCCCCAACCTTGAATATTTGATCAATGAAAGGACTTCTCTAATATGATGCTGTTGATAAGCATAGGATTACAGGCTCCATCATTTCCAAACTTCAAAGCCACAGAGTAGGCCTCTTCTGGTTGCTTCATTTACATTTTTTTTTTGCTTTACCGATTTTAATAATTCGCCTAACAGAAGAGACTCTGGGCAGGAGGAAAGATGCCACAGTTTCACATCTGAAACATCCACTTTTCTGTGTCCTATCCAAGGCCAGTTAAGAGGGTTAACTTAGTATGGTTGCTGCTAATCAGTAGAAATTATTTTGATAATTTATCCATGAATATAGTTATTATTATAACTATAATTATGATTCTAATCCTTGGGTTTTTATTATTTATTATTTTAATCTGGTGTTAGTAAGTTTTTATTATTGTATGTTTTTAATCTATGTTCGCCGCCCTGAGCCCTTCAGGAGAAGGACTCCTTCGGGAGAAGGGTGGCATATAAATTCTGTAAAAAATAAATAAATAAAATTATATATAATTATATATATATATATATATATATATATATATATGTGTGTATATATGTATGTATGTATGTATGTATGTATGTATGTATGTATGTATATAATGAAGTCTGGATTAGTATTTTCAGATAAAGATATTTAATTGTTCTGTACATCCTGTGTCTTTAAATAATCTACTTATATTATGATATCATTATTAAGGATTATTGCAAGATTTGTGAAATTGTAATTGGCGGTTAGGTTAGTCAATAGTAACTAAAAATCAGAAAGATCCTGATAGTACTTTTCAAGACTAATGCATTTTTTGGTAAGGTGTTTAAGCGTTTGTGAGATGCAACTACTGAATAAGTGAACTGCCGCTCATGAAAGTTTATTCCTTATACTAAAATTTATGATTTGAGGAAGATTTATGGGAACTGAAAAGAAAGGAACTAAATGAGGTAGAGTTTTTGTTTATGTCATTGCAGTGCAATGCAAAGGGCTTCACGGCTGAAGAGAGAGCTGCAGTTATTGGCCACAGAGCCACCTCCAGGAATTACCTGCTGGCAGAATGAAAATCACATAAATGATCTTCGAGCCCGTATGTATATACTGCAAATGCAAATATATATACACAAAATATTAGATTCTATTTATTTTTAGATTGCAGTTGCAATTATCTTTTTAATGTATGTTGCTTACAAATCTTATTTTTTACAGTTCCAGCTTACTGTGTGAATATACATTTCCTTTCAGGCATTTTAGACTCATACAGCATAGAATGCAAGAATTGAAAGGGATCTTGGAGATAATCTGGTCAAACACCGTGTCCAGTGCAGAATCTATTACACTGGGCATCCCCAATGGATGGATGACCATCTAATCTTCAGCAAGAGAGTCCATCACTTTTTATAGTAGCCTGTTCCATTGTTAAATAGCTTTTACCATTAGGACTTTTTTAATGCTCAAATGAAGCCTGTGTAATTTAAACTTACTGTTTCAGGTCATGTCTTTTGCAACAACTCTGGATAATTCTGTCCTACCTTCCAAATGACAGCCCTTCAGACATTTGAAAACAGCTGTTACGTTTCTTCATAATCTTCTCCAGGCCAAAGATACCTAAAACTTGCCAATTTTCCCAATAAGTGTTTTCTTCCTAAATTCTTATCATCTTGGTGACTGTCCTCTGTCCTCTGACTCAATGTACTTTGTCAGTGATCTGCCTAATATCCAGTGCCATAATTGGATGCAATATTGTAGATGTGGAACCATAACTTCTCTTGATCTTATGTTTATGTTGCTGTGGTCTATGAATGCTTTCGCTTTTTTGCAGTGCATCACATTGTTCACTGAGATTCAATTTGTGATGCACAAAGACTGTGAGGGCAAACCTATGGCATGCGTGCCGGAAGTGGCATGCAAAGCCATCTCTCCGGGCACGCCAGCTGTCGCCTGTTGCTCCTTCTGTGCTCTGGCACGCTGGCCAGCTAGTCTTCGTGCACGTGGGAGTGCCGGAAACCATAAGAGCAGGTACCTGGCGCGCCAGGAAGCTGAGATTCCGGTTTCCGCCACACGCATGTATACCGGCCAGTTGGTCTTTGCGCGCACACATGCGCCAGAAACCAGAAGACCAGGTTTCCGGTGCGTGCCCTTCTGGGGACCTACTTTTCCGGTTTCTGGCGCTCCCCTGTACGCACACACGCGCTCGCGTTTCGGCACTCAGTGCTGAAAAGGTTCGCCAACACTGCACTAAGACATTCAAATTCTTTTTTTCATATAATGCTGCTCAGTATAACCTATGCCTTCGATTTTTTTAATCTAAATGTAGAAGTTTGCATTATCCCTACTGAAATTCATCTTAATAGTTTCTGTTTCAGCTGTCAAAATCCTTTTGAACTGCAATCCTGTCCTATAAGATGTGTGCTATCCCTCTAATCTTTTGGTCATCTGTGAAATTGAAAAGCATATTTTACAACCCCTTATCCTGGTCGCTTGTATAAGCTTGTTTCCCCTTTGGTACCACCTGAGTTAACTGAACTTCTCAGTGTGTATCCCTCAAACAAATGTACAAATTATTATAGCAAATTACTTTGCAAGAAAATTTGAGGTTACATTACAATTGTTAAGACATACCATCTCTATATTTTGTGTTATTAAATTAAAATTTGAAATCAATTCTCCATATATGCAAGTCTTATTTATTTCAAATTAAATCTAAATTTCTTTGAGAATATTCCATTGAACGTCAGAATATTCCATATTTCAACGTCATAGGATGGAAATATCTAGCGATTGCAGGACCAAATGGGAATAATTATTGGGCAAAATAATTTTTTGCTTGAAATGAAAGAATTTGTACTTTGTAAAATAATGCATATCTGTAATTTGAAAGTGAGCACATCATAAAGTTCTAATAGATGAGGGTAAAAAAGCTGTCATTCTGTGTTCTGATGATTGAGTTTGTTTTGAATGATGATGATTATCAATTGACATTGACTATTGCTTGGTATCAGTCATTTAGAGCAGTGGTCCCCAACCCCCGGTCCGCGGACCGGTGCCGGGCCGTGGAGTACCTGGCACCGGGCCGCGCAGCAGCCGGGGGACATGAACGCTGCAGCGCAAAGGCTCCTGGGCCGTGCGCAATGGGCCGTGCGCAAAAGCTCCTGGGCCGTGCCCCCACCCCTGCGCGTGCTCAGCGGGCTGCGGCGATAAAAAGGTTGGGGACCACTGATTTAGAGGATTTATAAATGTGACTAATGAATTTAACAAATTAATTGTATGATCTTGAATTATGCAGTTAATTATATTTTTATATATTTGCTTATTTGGCATAATTTATTCTTCTCTTCCCTTGAATAACTTTCAGGGCCTGCTTTGCTGGAAAGCTTGTTAGGTCTTTGGCTTTGACTCCAAAAGGGTACTATAAAACATGGCACAAATACAGAGCCTGATTGTTTTGTAAAGCCATTGCATCTGTTGTGTGTGCCGCTATGTACTATGAAGAATCTTTTTGCAACTGAATCTAAGGCACAATCTTAAAGCTTATACTTACATATCTTTAAACTTTATATTATCAGATTTCCCTATTTAGCAATATCTAATAATATACTATAACAATAGTATATTTACAGAGTGTATAGACAACTTAAAACATATTTAAGAATTAACTCAATAATCTTTAAAACTGAAAAAGCAAGCAACTGTCATAATTTATTTATAATTTCAGAAAGTACTTAAACAGTAATAATTAAAAGAGTCAAACATGTCTCTTTTCTGAGATTTCATTTTCCATAGGTTTCAATCCTTTTTAGATAAAAATATTCTTATGAATCTGTTTATCTTGGATCTATTGATATTGATAATTTGAGCTCATATGATTTTTTCCTATTCTGGCTCTCCCTTCCCCCACCCCCTGCCCACACATTTATCTTCAGAATAAAGAAACCTACTTTGCTAATGTAGAAGAAAGATATGTGTCTGTGTATTTCTGTATGTATATGCAAAAAATAGAAAATAATTGATCATTTTATAATAGAAAATAGAAAAGTTGTTCCCTTTTCAAGTAATTGTTGTAGTTCCTATTGTTTTTTTTTCTCTTAGCCAGAAACCTTGAACTTGAAATTGTGGAAATCCACTGTTGAATGTATCCTAATTACTTTCCAACTTTGAATAATCAGTAATTATCAGACTCTTTCATGCTCTTCTTTGTTCCTAGTCAGCTGAATTTCTTGAACAGAACAGATGTTAAAGAGATTATTATACTATTGTGACTTCTTAGATTTAACTCCTTTTTTACAGTAAGCACAACAGTTACTTGAAGAGGTCAGTGTTGACACAATTTATATCTTTCTTTTAGAAATACTAGGATGTACAAATACCCCATATGAAAAAGGAGTTTTTGCCTTGGAAGTAATTGTTCCTGAAAGGTAAATGTTGATTCTGAGTTTTTGAAATTTAAAACAAATGGCCATGAAGAGCTGCGGTGACGCAGTGGTTAGAGTGCATTACTGCAGGCTACTTCTACTGATCACCGGCTGCCAGCAGATTGAATCTCACCAGGCTCAAGGTTGACTCAACCTTCCATCCTTCCTAGGTGGGTAAAATGAGGACACAGGTTGTTGGGAGCAATATGCTGACTCTGTAAATTGCTTAGAGCAGGCTGTAAAGCACTGTGAAGCAGTATATAAGTCTAAGTACTAGTGCTTGTGCCATATAAAATGGGCATATTATCTATGAATCTTCAAAAGATTGGAATAGGAACCAGAAAGTTGTCAATGAACTTCTCTGTAGTAAATTCAGTAACAAGTAATTGGGATTTATAAATTGAAAAATGACTTGGGAATAAAGAACAGATTGTAACCCGTTAAAAAGTCTTCCTTTTCTAATAATGAGAACTATTTCTGAAATAGGTATCCATTTGAACCTCCAAAAATGCGCTTTCTTACTCCCATTTACCATCCCAACATTGATTCAGCTGGAAGAATTTGCCTGGATGTTCTTAGATTACCACCCAAGGTAATGCACTGCATTGCTTCTATTATAAATTGCAGTTCTATTATCCTTAAGAGAATGGCCCAGAAACATTAGTTTAAAAATCTCATTCTCCAAGGATGGTTATACTGGGATGAAATTTATAACACTCTGGAATAATGAATAGTAGGGATTGCACTCTTCTAAAGTCATGTGACAACAGGATTTTAATTTTATCTGTAGCTCCATTTTCTGAAATAGGCAGAAGAAATAACTTTGAAGAAAGGAAATCACATCCAAACTTTTGAGATTCTGCTACTATAACCTAATAAAACTAGCATTAGCTCCTCTGGGTTCCAAGCCTACTCTTATCTGGGAGGGCTGATGCTGTATCATTTTAGATAAAATTACACTAACATGGAGATCTATGACAGCTGCTATAGTTACTGATATAAATGGCTTTATCTGTGCAGGATGCAGTCCCTGGCATGCATATTGCTACAAAGAGATCACTTGCTGGGTTTGTCCTGTTGAAGTAATTTTGTTGCAAATCATAGGAGCCTTATGTGTGAAGTGATATTATGTTTATTTCACCGTACACATGAATTACTATTCATGGATATAGCATCCATAAAGCTATGAACTACAGCTGGAACTATAAACCTAAAAACTAGAAAGTTACCAATGTTATGTTTTTTTTAAAATGTACATTAAAGTGTACAGAACTTGCTTACTTCCATCCACTTATTAAGCTCAATCTATATTAAGCATATTACATGAATTATAGGAGCCATTGAATATTGGAAAAGAAAACTAGTGTGTTCATAAACTTAACTGAGTAACTTAGGGCTGCCTTGGAAGAAGTATATGCCTAACTGGTTAGAAGGTAAAGAAGTGCATGTTCATTAAGAGGTGAGATTACTCTGCAGCCGTTTTACTGTGAACTACACTTCTATAACTTGAGAGGCAATTAAAACACTCAGTCTGCAATAATATTTGAAAAATCTTAGAGGGTAACTTATTTTCTTCAATAAATTTTTTCTTCTATTCTTGCATGTAAGGGTGCTTGGAGGCCATCCCTGAACATTGCTACTTTGCTAACTTCCATCCAGATTCTCATGAATGAACCTAATCCTGATGACCCTCTCATGGCTGATATAGTAGGTTTCATTCTTTTATTTAATTGAAATATACTGTACTTTAGAAATTTAAATTGTCTGGTTTACAAGGAGATACTTTGTGATTTTTTTCATATTTATTTGCACAATATTCTTCAGATAGAAAGTCAGTGAATATAATTTATGACGTAGTAAAACATGCTAATAGAATTTTTCAATGTTTATGCTACAAAATTCACACAGGTTACATGCAATATATAAACCATTAAGGCCTCTTTCAAAGTTTAGCCTTTATGTATATATCTATAAGGTGAAGTCTTCCATGTTGTCAGATGAATCTGCCATTAAATATAACTATATGTCATACGCCATAATTATCCTTTTCTCGCCCTTTTTTATTATGTCTAGTCTTCAGAGTATAAATACAACAAGCAAGCATTTCTCAAAAATGCCAGACAATGGACAGAAAAATATGCAAACCAGACAACAATGGTAAGAAATACATTACTTCTGTTACAAAGGAATGGGGTGTTGGTTAATTTTCACATGTGCAGTCTTGCTTTGAGTGAAATCTCAATTGCATAATTGCCTATCTTCCTGTAAATGAGTTTGTGTAGTTGTAGTGTCCTGAATGTGCCATGGTGTACATATCCTGGATTTTATCTTTGCCAGGAAAACAAAGTATTTCCTGGGATAGTAGTATAAGAGGAGTTTGGGTTCCTGGCCAGGTTAGCATAACTCAAAATGTCAAGGAAAAATCCAGAGTTTTTTCAACTGACAGCTTATTGTATTAGTGCCTGATCTTGTAAAACATGCCTTGGGTAAAAAGAATTTGCAATTTATTCTATTACAACCATATTTTATTTGGAATTCTATTAGGTATGTGACTCAGTAACATACATGCTTAATATATGAGGAAAATATAGGTAGTTCTTTCCTTATGACCATTGGTTCAGCAACTGTTAGGAATTACTGTTTATAAATGTAACTTTAAACTTTGCTTCTTATCTCTTAATAGTTTTCTGAAATTATTTATGGAGTATATTTATCCAAGAACAGTTCGATTCAGTTGGACCTGAGGAAGTGGACGGAGTCCTTGGGACTATTAGGGCAGTTAGTTATTTATTAGATACTTGCCTTTCCTGGTAGTAAACACCACCAGGAGGATGACTTGTAGGTGGATCTGAGCAGGAATTAATACACTCCTGGCCTTCTAGAAGACCCTAAAACCTGCTGTGCTGCTTGGCCTATGGCCCCGACAGAAGCTTGCTACATTGGGGGTGACTGACAGGAAGATTCTCATCCTGAAGCTGCCATCATTTTGGTTTTAACTTTTAATACTTTAATTTTAATTTTAATTGGATCGATGGATCGATGAATTCTGCTTCCTGATATAGGTGTCTGCTTTTTGCACTAAATGATTGTCATGTCTTGGCATAAAATCCTGATATTCTTCATTCATCTTTCCCAGTACATTTCCTCACTTGAGGCAATATAGTAGGATTTGGATAACAGGCAACTTTTGAATGATACTTTAGAGAAGACTGGAGCTGAATTACTATTGTTATTAAAACTTTTACCTGTATAGTACATATAATGAACAAAAACTGTGAACATCTGTAGCAAAAATATTTTCTCTGTTCCAATAAACAAGGGTATGCAGCCCCTCAGCTACATGTTGGTTCTGCATGATCCAGGTCAGTGGGCAAAAGGGACCAGTTTTAGTAGTTTCACCTTTCTTCCAAGGAAGTAACAGCAACATGCTGTATATAGACTTCTTTTACTTTTCCCAACGAAGGAAGGATTCAGGAGTGAGAGTTGGAGAGTTGATAGACTAGGCTTCCTACTATTCTTCCAGCAGTCATAATGGGAGAAACATTGAAAGTGTGTATCTGTGTTTGTTTGAGAAAAATGTGAATTAGAGTACATGGACCTGAGAGTAAGGCAACAGTGTGGAAATAATACACTGGTACACATGTATATGTGTTTGAATATCTAAATATGTATATTCATATTTGGATATGATAGCCAGTGTGGCCTTTAATTTAAGAGAATGCCTGTTTTGCAAAGAGTATAAAGTAGCTTTTAGTAAATAACAATAATATGTTGTATTTGTATACAAACTTACACAATATTACTAGGGAGAAAAAAGTATTTTAGTTACACAGTTGAAACACCAGGAGGCACCTGGTCCTTAAAAAATATAATACTGCAGTAGCTGTGCTTTTTTCTTGTAAGTAAAGAAAACTCAGAAATTAAAATTTTATTTTTTGTATTTCAAACTGACATAGATAAAATATGTTTGTAATTTGTAGAAAGAACTTTCTGTTTGTATTTCTTTTATAGTGATATTTCTTTCCAGAATTTCTCCCTGACTGGCCTTTGAAAATTTCAGTCATTGTAATAAAGATGTATAGAAAGTATATAAAAACTTTTATGACTTGCAAAACATTATGGATTACATACTGCAGGAGTGTCAGAAAATAATTTATTAATTCAGGACAGAAATATAGTTCTGTGATAGGAAACAATGAAGAAAAACGTTTTTTCCCATCTCATTGTTTTTCTTTGATGCTCTTTCAGCCTTTAGAAATCACCAATGAAGAGAATCACAAAAGCCAGGCTGGGTTCCCAAAAGATTCCAGTATTTCCCAGAAGAGGAAAGGAAGCAATATCAGTGGATTGTCCAAAAAATGTCGCTTAGGAACATAATGATTTCCTGCTATAGTATTTCAGTGGCTGTCACTGTTCATTCTTAGTCTGATTTTCCATCTTTTAAATAGGCTTAATGCGATTGATGTACTGTTTACTCATTATATAATGGTAGTCTTACTGTATCAGTGACATGATGTTCAGTGTGGCATATGTCTGCTTTTTTAAAAAAATTAAATCTTACATTATTTCTGTAACATACTTTAAATCTTTCTATAAAGAGTATGTTCCACTGCACTTTACGTACATTTAGAATGAAAGCAAGAATACATTATTACTTGAATTTGTTATGACTGATGTTATGAATGGATTGTAAACAGTTTCTTTTGATAGTTAAAAGGCTGTGTGGTTTTATCTTCACTTGCTACAGTATGAATAAATGTAAAAATGTATATATTTTGCTGTTCTTCAGTTGTTTTGTACGTCATACTTTATTTTTGGCAAGCTGTATATTAAACTGAACATTTCAAACTTTCAAGGTGAATCCATACATACACATACAGTATTTAATCTATAAGCATATTTTCATTAGTAGGAAAAATTGTTGTAGAATAGTTGATTAGATGGAGAGAGGAACTGTCAGAACCATATGAATGCTTGACATTTACCTCATTTGGACTTGGGGATTTTTCCCACCTGACTTAGTTTTCTTTCTAGCAGATCTACAGTATATTTTTATGTGATATGAAATTACACTGCAGAAAAGCTTCTGTTATAAGACTACATTAGAGAAATTCCTATCATTTCTCATTTTATATAGTTTGGGAATCTAAATGTTTAATTTCAGCTATATACCTCTTTTAGAATCTTCAGATGTGTAGATATAGATAAGGCACTAGAAGAATTTTATCTTAAGTATCTTTGCAGCTACTTAATCTTAAGGGGTGTTTCTTATTATATGCTTCCTTTAAAAAAATCACTGTAGGTAAGTGAATCTGGCTTTCCCCCATTGACTTTGCTTGTCGGGAGCCAGTAGGAAGGTTATAATTGGTGCTTACATGACCCTGGGACAGGATACATGCCATTTGCCAAGCACCCAAATTTTGATCATATGACCATGGATATGCTGCAATGGTTGTCAGTGTCACAACTAGTCATAAGTCACTTTTTCAGTGCCATTGTAACTTTGGTAACCAAATGAATGGTTGTAAGTTTAAGACTACCTGTATTTGTGTATTGTTTTTTTGTGTTTTAATTGTTTAAGATGCCCAGAGTCATATGTGAGTTGGGCAGCTATGTAAATTGAATGAATGAATAGCTTTACAGCTCTGAGAATTTTTCTCCCTTTTCCCTATGATTTTGTTTGGGGGGGAAAAAAATCCCAGTGTCTGCTAAAGTCCCAGTGGTGTGCCATGTGTCTGTATCATTTCCCTTGCAGAGAACAAAGACTTTTTTTTAGCAAACATTAAACTTTGTCTTTCCCCAATTTCTTAAGTCTGCTTATTAATCCACTTTTTGGCTTGTGCAGTCAGCCCTGTGAGCTAGTCCAAACAAGAACCCAACCACGAGTATTAACACTACATTTATTGTAAGAGTACAGTAATAAAATCCTGCAAATCTGAAAGCACATTCTCTCCCCTCCCCTTTGCCTTTACCGTCCAGGGAACTAGGAAGGGTCCCTTCTGAGGTGCTTTCCATACCACCATTTCTTCAGTGGACTGATATGTGTCTTACCTGACTTGCTTTGGCTGGGCTCTTCCTCCTCCTGTCTCAAAAGTATTCCCACAGACCATTATACATGTCTTCAGTTTCTTACTCTGATTTTTAGATGTTTCCTTGACAAAGCCCATGTAATCTGTGGATTTATTATTCCCTACCATATTCTAAATATTTTTATGCTTCCAATTGTAGATTTGTAATTTTATTATTTCCCACCATGTTCTAAGTACTTGCTTTGATATTTCCAATTATTTTATGTACATTTGTAGTTTTCAGTATTTCATGTTCTTGATTGCAGTATTATTTAAATATTTTAAAAAGAGAAGTGTTGAAAAAAAAAAAAAGATGAGCTTAACATTCCAGTTCCTTATAGATTTAATTATATTGATTAAAAGCAACACTCTTTGATCTACATGTCTATTTTTTCAGTTATCTGAAATCACAGACTATTAATACTGGACTTAAGCCCTCTTTAAACCCAACTGACATTAAAGGAAGAGTGCTCATTTATTGATCTTCATTGAACTATATACATGAATGGTAAGAGCTGAGATAATTTTTTGGGAGGAGAGGGGAGAGAGAGTTTTCGAAGGATATGTGTGATGCCTCAAGTTTAGTTTAGCTAGATAGTTTATCTAGCTGCTGCCAAGATAAAGTTCCTTATTAAAATAAGGAATAGCAAAAATTTGCTATTTTTGTTTGAGGTGTAGTCTATTTTTTATCTTTCTGTATGACATTTTACTTGAGGAATTTTCATTTTCTCCTTGCTTATACTTCAATATATCTGGCCATTCAGTAGTTCTCAGCATATACATACATGTGGACGCACACACAGATGACCAGATCATAAATGCATGGACATCCTTTGGTCAATCTTATTTGTTACCATCAATCTCACTATACCGTCCAGATTTATTTCACTGTCTTCAAATTCCACCTCTTATTTAATAATTCCCAAAAGGACAGTTCCTAGAATGTAATTTCTTTTTTGGAATAACCCATCATCTGAAACCAGCTAAATACGTTGTTTCAGACAGCTTTTTGGGGATCCAGGGGGAGGAGAACACGGTAAGACTTGCAACATGGGTTAATGCAACCAAAAACATATCCTTTTTAGAAAGATTACATAAACCATAAGCAGGGAGACAGATACAGGTAATACTAGAGATTAACCCCTTATATAAAAACAATATACATGCTTTTCTTTTTCTTCTATAAGAACAGCAAATACATGTCTTATGGGGGACATATGCAATGTTAGTTCGTATATTAACATTGTATAATTGGTAAGTCTTGCAGTTTTGTAATCAAAGTTAAAAATAGTATAAAATTTGTTTTTTTTATTTTTCTATGTGGTCTTCAATAAAGAATGTTTTACAAATTAATATACAAAAAAGAAAATTAGGAGTTTATATAAGGGTCATAAAAGAGAAGGTAGCTATATATATATATCTATATAAATATACACATAATATACAAACATGCTGGATATTTATGGCACAATATATGTACAGATAAAAACACGATATTTAAAATCATTTCATCTGATACTTTTGTCATATGTGGAATCTTGTCATGATTTTGAACTTTATTAAGGCTGTAGAATTTTTTTCTGTTGAGTTATTTGACCCTGATTTAAGCAGTAACTAAGGATAATTATTTCTTCTAAATATTGTCTGGTTTAATCTTATTTGAGAGAAGATGAAAATCAATGTTCTGTCATGGGATACAAAATCAAAATAATTCAAGTGCTATCCAGACCCAAAGAACCTGGAACAATTTGGCTACATGTTTCGTATTTTTAATAAGTGCATTTATTTGTCAGGAAGACAGCAGAGATCAAGATATTGAACAGTTAACAAATGACTCAAGAAGAGTGTGTACCTGTGTGCGCACGCATGTGTGTGTGTAAATACTCTCTAGTGTTTTCCCATCAATGCAGGGTCTGGTTTTTCAGATGAACCAAACGTTGATTCATTGGTTGCCGGCTGAACCTGATGTTATAGTAGAAAATGGCAAAAAACACCCTTTGGATACGCTAGATTTGCTTAACGACATTTAACAACCATGTGATGGTTGTTCAATCATGGTAATTCATATAAAGTCTGTTGTGAAAATGATCATAAAATTGAGCCAGGTGACATGGAGACCCACCTAATGATTGCAACTTACAACCAAACTTTCAGGCTCAATTGTCATAAGTTGACTACACATCAGTGGTGGGATTCAGCCAGTTCACACCTATTCGGGAGAACCGGTTGTTAGCTTTCTAAGCAGTTCGGAGAACCATTTGTTGGAAGAAATCTTATTTTGTTTTTTTCCACTTTACAGAGCTAATCCTGTAGGGAAGGCAGGAAGGAAACATTCTGGTGTTGTTTCTAGACTAATATTTATTGCCCTTCTTACAGAAACTGCTTCTCTGGTTAACTCTTATTACATTGTAATAGCTAAGGCGAAGCGCCCATCGACGTGAGTGATGTTGACTTGGCAACGACCACACGGTCACATGACCACCAAGCTACGCCTACCCAGCTGGTCATTAGGGCAGAGAACCAGTTGTTAAATTATTTGAATCCCACCACTGCTACACATGCATATAAATTTCCAAAATAATTAGGATGTGGATTCTGTCTACACAGAAATGCATTTGATTAACATGTTTATATGATTGTAGCCTAAATGTTCTTTATTAAATATAACCATTTTCTATTGTGATGGTAATTCAGCCAAACTTCAAAATTTTGAACTGGGTTTAGTGTGCTGAGAATGCTATATAATACAATAACAATTGTGTTATTGCCTATTTTTGAAGATCAGTAATTATTAACCAACAGTTAATATTTTTTCTCTAGAAAGGGATTTCACTGAATTCAGTGGGACATTTTTTCTAAATAATCATATTTGGGATTGTACTATATAATTCCGAGACAAACACCCTGTTTTCATTTGTATCCTTTTATGAAAGTGAAATTCTAGAAACCAGGATTCTTCACAAATCATCACAACTGCAGTAACCAGGATTATTATTTTAGTAAAATCACCAGGACTGCATGTAACATTCCCCACTTTACCTTCCATATTTTCAGTTTTCTCTCCTTTATGAAAGCAGACCTACCACTATAGTCTGTTTATATTCTGTAGCCCTTCAGAACTCTAAAATGTTAATAAGAATTCAATGAAAAAACCTCACATCCTATATTCTACATGCATTATTAATTAGTATTTATATCTATCTTTCTTAACAAAAAGGAGTGAGTAGTTAATCTGGGGATATACCACCAACCTGTAGCTTTTAAATGCTTGAGAACATTTAAAGTACCTTCTAAGAATGAATTTAGCAACAGTGCTAACCAAAATTGAGGACCCAGTTGTGGGGGCAATAAGCTGACTGTATAAATATACAAAAGGATGAAGGCTATTGCTTAGCGCATTGTAAGCTGCCCTGAGTCTCCGGAGAAGGGTGGCATATAAATCAAATTTTTAAAAAAATTACTTGTTCATAAACCCTCTAGTCTAGAGGCTTCAATTGAATATAATGGGATCTAGCTTTAGATTATCCTACGTTGCTCTCATAATGAATGACTTCTCAGTCATTTCTCAATGTATGACTTTTCTAATCTTACATTGAAAAAAAAGCAATTAAAAATTAAATTTTCTAAACCAAATTTTCATAGCACTATGTTCAAGCTTAAACCATAGGCTGGTTGAGTTTGTTATGAATGGTCACTGCACTAGCAATACCGGAAGTACCAAACTTTTAGATTTATATACCACTTCATAGTGCTTTATAGCACACTTTACAGCAGTTTACAGAATCAGTATATTGCCCCTAACAATCTGGATCCTCATTTTATTGACCTCAAAAGGATGGAAGGCTGAGTCAACCGATCAGTATCGAACTCCTGGCAGTGGGCAGAGTTAGCCTGCAATACTGCATTCTAACCACTGCACCATCATTGCTTTATTTGTTGAATCATTTATTTATTTGATTTTATCACTGCAATTTGATTCCTAGTGGTTCTGAATAAACACTTTTAAATACATGCTTAGTTATATGTAGGAGCATGTAGGAAACATTGTTTTTGACTGATAAAAGTGGCTGTGTCTCCTTGTATGATTATTATTATGTGGAATTTTTTCCTGTCTCTACATGTGGATACATGTGCAGTCACACATTGCATTGAATAAACATGAATGGATAATCTGTTTATGATTCATGTGCTTTTTTGACAACAGTTCTAAAAGATGACAAGATTGTTACGAGACAGAGACATTGCTATGTAAAGATTGCTTTTTAGTTAAAAAACATGGCAACAGAGCTGAAATCACATTGTTTTCTTGATGTTTCTTCTCAAGTCAGTCCTTTTTAGTTGATATTCATCGACTAAAGTGATCCATCTATCATAAAAACTAAGAGCTATACAAATGGTATAATTCCTAAAAGGGCAGAATTGCCAGAGTTCTTGTTATCCTGGGTTTGCTATTTTTCTTGGACCTGCAGATAGATACACAATAATTATGAATTTTTATTTGGGGTGCCTTAATTTCTTAGCCAGCTAGGTATATCCTTGTCAGGTTTCGCATTGCTGCATCAAGAGAAGAGGAGGCAGACCCCAGCAGGCTAGGGTGCAAAGGAATTGCTGTCATTTTTGCTGACCTTGATTTGAGAAGAAGAAATGCAATGAGTCACCTTTCCTCCAGAAGAGCCACTTGCTCAAGCTGTTGGTGGCTCCAGGAGAGGATCTTGTATGATTCATTTATTTACTGAGAGAATGTGGATTGGCTCTTATAAATGAGATGTGAAGGCTGGTGAAGGTGGTTTAGGGAACAAGGCAATCCAAATTTTGGTCTTTGCCTGTTCTCTGGCTTCTGATGCAATTAGCAGCTCATCTTCGGCAAGATAGGAAGGTTGAGTGGAGAAGCCACTGACATGTCCTCTGGCACCTTCTTTTTGCTGGCAAGGGATCAAAGTCACTGAGGAGAAGCTGTAGGCATCTAGAACTGAGGAACACCTAGGAGGCACTCTAAAGAGATCTGGTGCTTCAAATATATGATCCATATCGGAGAAAGGAACAAGCGCTTGGGTAGAGTCACATGAGCTCTTCTCTGTATCCTCAGAAATGCAGGACACGGCGCAGCTTTCCTGGACCTGATTCTTATGCTTCAAAAGGCGCAAATCATCTCTAAAATGGGGGTTAAAGAGTAAATAAAGCAAGGGATTCACGCAGGCTGGCAGGGGTAGCACCACCAAGAGCACAGACTTGATGACTTCGGGGGTGATGAGAATGAGGCTAAGCATGGAAGAGAAGGTGAGAAAAGCCACCGGGCAGTATAGAAGGCAGTTGGTGAAAATGAGCCAAGCAACATGTTTGATCATAGCACAGTCCCAGACAGAGTCAAATTCACCTTTCAGCAAGTTGCAATAGAGGCGGATATACGTCCCAGTGATAATGAGAAAGCAAAGCGTATTCACTAGCACCAAAGCTACCATGAAACCCAACATGGAAGGTTTCCCATCAGGAAGAAGGTGAGGCAGACAGAGAGGGGACGCCCCATACTCCCCAATGGAGAAGAGGGGCAACATTGCAGCCACTGAAGAGAGGAGCAGACAACTTAGGGCACCTGCCTTGACAGTGCCAAAGGAAGGAGCCTTTCCGTACGTCCTCATGCATGATACTGAAAAGCTGCACTGGACTGCAGCAAGGGTTAAGAGAAGAATGGAAGCTTCTGAAGCGAAAACAGACAGGAATCCAGTCACTTGGCACCCTGCACCCATCTCCCACCTGGCCCCGTATTTTGCAAAATGACCAAAGGTGACTGCATCCACAAACGCTAGAATAGCACAGTATATTCCCGTCAACATATTGGCTCCAGCAATGGATCCAATGATAAACTTGATCGGGGACAGATAGCCTGGCGAGACAAAGACAACCACTGCAACCAGTCCATTGCACAGCACAGAAACCAGCATGATCAACCAGACACCGAGGCGAATGACCCAGCTTTCAAACAGATAATCGCAGGGCTTGAAAGGACCTGGAAAGAAAGAAAGGAGCCAAATTACTAAAAGGAAGGAAAGTTCACTGCAACAATAAGTGGCAGAAAAACTGCTGAGCACCCATTCAAAAATGTCTTATCCATATCGCCTCACTTGCTTTTACAGATGATGATGATGATGCCAACAGAAGGTTACCAAAATAGAGAGCAGCTGTTCTGAGGCCAAAGGCACAAAGCAGAGCCATGGTAAATTATCTTAATTCACCATTTTAAGGTCATTGCTGCAATCAAAGTTTTGCAGCTGACCTTTCAGAGAAAAACGCTTCATTTGGGATATTATATTTGGCTTCCACTAATTGTAGGAAGAAACAAATAAATAGAAGACTAAAAACTCTTCTAGATTACTGAAAAATCTGCTTATTTTCATCTGTGATTTCAACAGATGCTGTGTTTACACTTTGTGCTATGTCAAAGTGTGGTTTCGTTTTGGATTAGTGTATCATGTGTGATTTCTAAAGTATGTTTTAGGGCTTATTGTGACATGATTTCCCCCCCACAATATTAGAAGTTAAAATTTTGCTGTATATAAAAAAAAGTAATCAAATTGTTGCATTCATTACCATTGCATTATTCCTAACGCAGTGACAAATACATTTCTTATTCTTCACAATAGCTCTTTTTCATGCCACTTTTATTTCCAGATTATTGTGGGTTTATGTGTTTAGATCAGGGGTATCAAACATGCGTCATCAAGTCATTGTTGTAAATTATATTGTATGTATTTTGGTAATGTTCTTACCGGGGTTGGGTGTACATTGGATGTTGGTAAGTAGTTTTGAATCATCAGGGTCTGCCTGGAAGTCATCCATGTCTAAGTCATCTAAACAGTAATAAAGAAAGGAAGAATTACAAGCACATTAATACTTAACTTGTTTTATACTGAAAATGAAACCCTTTTCTTATTTTCTTAAAACCATGGCTGTTGAAGTGACATAAATATCAACTCTGCTGTATTATACTACTTTACTGGATCTCATACAGCTCATCTTGAAAAAAAAAAGTGACTTAACATGCTAGGAAACTGAAAATAAACCGAACATATATAATAATTGTTAAAAACAAAAGGACAAAAACACATTTCTAGACTAGGAAATTGTCTTTGATTGAAAAATTAGTTCTATTGAGTTACATCCATAAAATAACTACTCTGTAGAGCATTAAAAGATTGCAGTCTCAAAGGAGATATAGCTACAGTATGTCCCTTAATACCAAATTGGCAGGAATCAAAGGCTATTTCTGTGTTTCCCCCCTGAAATATTGTTGCTTAGTTCTAAAGGGGCATGTTAGAAGAATTCCAAGTCAAGAGAAGAGAAAGTACTTTCAGAATTCTTTAAATAAATCCCAGGAAATCTAGAACCATATTTTGCTCTTTAATTAAAAGAAGTATTTTTGTGCATGTTGTATTTAATTTTCTAGCTTGCCTTGTGAACATTTTCTAATCTTTAATTTTAGATTTTATGATAAGGGCATTGGGCAGTTCTATAGTAGCATATAAAAAACTTCTGGAAAGTTTTCTTAATGTAGGGTTTTAACCAGTGGTGGGATTCAGTCAGTTCGCACCACTTTGGGAGAACCGGTTGTTAACTTTCTGAGCAGTTTGGTGAACTGGTTGTTGGAAGAAATCATTAGGGCAGAGAACCGGTTGTTAAATTACTTGAATCCCACCACTGGTTTTAACCACTAGTCCTGAATCATCAACAATTTAGGTCCAGTTCTAGAGGTGACTCCTGTGACATAGGCTAGCAAATGAACTGTGTATTTCACAGGTACAGACTCCAATAAAGAGAATATTTATAGTTCGGGGTTGAAATGAGATATCCTTGGTGCTCTCTGAACTTGGTTGTTTTCTTGCAGACATTTCATTACCCAAACTAAGTTACATCATCAGTGCTAGTCCAGGTACAGACTTTCATCAGATGCAACTTTCTTTCCTTATTCTGGAATGAATGAAAAGCTGTCTGTAGATTTTCTACTTTTGTCAATAAAATGATGTAAATCCTACCATTAAGTATTTTTCTCTCCAGTGAAGTTAGTTTTCTGTCTTCAAGAGAAAACTCACACAACACATAATATGATGAATATTTCCAAGGAACTTACACACACACACACACACACACACACACACACACACACAGAATTTCAAGTCACTGCTACTTGCTTACAAAGGTAAACCCAGATCCACCTCAGCTGAACTAAGAAGATGCTGGCACCCAGAGAAGGACCTGTTGCCCAGTAGTCTAGACTTTGCTGTTTATTTTCTTGAAGGTGTTGAGAACATGATTTGGGGCAGTTTTAGAAAAGGTGCATATTCTTTTCCCACAAACATCCTGCCAGAAAAGCAGCCTAGTTATACAAAGGGAGCCATACAGAGCTTCCATTGAACTTGTAAGCAAAAAATGACCTTGTATGCTATTGAATGCATAGCAAGACTCAATGGTCTGATGCACACTATATGTAAGACCCCCTCTTTTACTGGCTTGAATCGACTCTGTTTTCTAGTTCTGACTATGGCTGAACTAAAGATTTTCCAGGAAGAGAAGTGAGCAAACCCTTCTTCCCAGTCATTGGCAAGCAGATGCAGAATCACAAGACTCCACTGTAGATGATAAACTAATATGCTCCTTGATACCACAAAGTTACTGGTAATGCTGGAAGGTGACACAAGAAAATGTGATTATACTCATGTTGGAATAGTCAAAGTGGGTGTTCTGCTTCCCAAAGAGTGGAAATTAATTCCTACATTAACATGTTCATGACTACACAAACCATCAGGTAACTAACTATCTGTAAGCATTATGTTCTTTGTACCTGAAAGCAGGAAGTGACATAGGAATTGAGTGAGGAAAGGGTATAAGGCATTCCTATATAGTAAATCAACCTACAGTAGGGAAAAATGATAATTGGAGCAGATATCTAGATATCCTATTTTTAAAAATAGCAATGGCTATTTACTGCTTCATGGTGCTTTATAGCACTCTCTAAGTGGTTTACAGAGTCAGCATATTGCCCCTAACAATCTGGGTCCTCGTTTTACTGAACTCAGAAGGATGGAAGGCTGAGTCAGCCTTGAGCCACTCAGGATCAAACTCCTGACAGTGGGCAGAGTCAGCCTAGAATACTGCATTCTAACTACTATGCCACCAGAGCTCCTATTATTATTCCTTTATCTCCAAAAATGTAGAGTAAGGGGCTAGATGGGGGAAGTTTATGATATCATAAGATGACCAATTAAATATAAATTCTAATAAAACTCAGAAACCATTAACTAGATTGCAAGCAGTGACGTATCCCTTCAATCTTGGAACCATATCTGACCAAATTTGAGGAACTGTTTCCATAGCTATCATATAATATATTAATATAGTATGATAAGACTGTTATACTTTAGGCCACGATTTAAAAACAGGATCTAAAAGGAACGAGGGTTAGCAAGTCCTCTCTCTCCAGTAGCCTGTATCAAATAAGTTTTCCATTTCAAGTCCACCCTCAGTCTAGTTACTGGGTGTGTGTGTGGGCTGCGTGTTTACGCAATCATGTCATGCAGCAAACAAACAATCAGTGTGGTGGTTTGAGAATTCATATACTTCCATCAATGTTTTTGCATGTCTCTTGCCACTCCACAGAAATCCCCCACCACCACAGAAAGATTTGCGGACTAGATAAATCTTCTACCTAGTAGCCACAAGGCATCTAGTTATATAGACTTTTTTTCTGAAGTGAATCTAAGTCTTTCTTTTGAAGTACATGTACAGAGGCTGTGATAAAAGACTTGAGACTAGTCATAAACATTACAGAAGCAGTGGAAGTATACAGATGGAGTTATCACCATTTACAGGTAATCCTTGGTTTACAACCATTCTTTTAGTGACCATTCAAAGTTATAGGAGCCGCGGTGGCGCAGTGGTTAGAGTGCAGTACTGCAGGATACTTCTGCTGCCTGCCGGCTGCCTGCAATTTGCCAGTTTGAATCTCATGAGGCTCAAGGCTGACTCAGCCTTCTATCCTTCCGAGGTTGGTAAAATGAGGACCCAGATTGTTGGGGGCAATATGCTGACTCTGTAAACTGCTTAGAGAGTAATGTAAAGCACTGTGAAGTGATATATATATAAGTCTAAGTGCTATAGCTAGTGCTAGTGCTATTTCTATAATGGAAAAAAGTGAGTTATAACCAGTCCTTGCACTTATAACATACACACAGCATCCCATGGTCATGTGATCAAAATCTAGGGGCTTGGCAACCAAAATGTATTTACAACAGTTGCAACTTCCTGGGGTCATAGGATTACCACTCGCAATCTTTGCAAAAGCCAGATTCACTTAATGACTGTAGGCAGTGGTGAAATCTAATATTTGTTACTACTGGTTCTGTGGGCGAGGCTTGGGGGGTGGGGGGTAATGTGACTGGGTGGGTGTGACCAATTTTTTTTTATTTTATTTTTAAAAGCATTTTTTCTACAACCTCTTCGGTTTTTTTTCTTTTAAAAGCCTTTGATGATCCCAGCTGAGCTGCACGATCATCAGAGGCTTTTTTTTTTTACTTTTAAAAGCATTTTTTGGCCAAAGAGGTTGTAGAAAAAATGCTTTTAAAAGTAAAAAAAAAAAAAGCCTCTGATGATTGTGCAGCTCAGCTGGGCATGGGGGGAGGCAGGGATTTTTGCTACCGGTTCTCTGAACCACCCGCCTCCATTGCTACCAGATTGGGCGATCCGATCCGAACTGGGAACATTTCACCCCTGACTGTAGGACTCATTTAAGAACTGTGGTGAGTCTCTTAACAACTGTGCCAAAAAAACAACTGCTCCTAAAACTGAGCACAACTCACTTAACAACCACCTTGCTTAACAACAGAAATTTTTATCTCCATTGTGATTGTAAGTCAAGGACTACTTGTATACTTTGTATACAAGTATCCAAAGTATACTTGTATACTTTTGATTTAATTTCTTTTTAACTTTTTCATTAGATGTTTTTTACTGTTGTGAGCCGCCCTGAGTCCAGCTGGAGATAGGGCGGCATATAAATCTCATTAAATAAATAAATAATACTGTAGTTCTGGTCTTGTTTGCCAGGAAGTCTGCCTAGAAGGTTGTACTGAAAAGACATCTAAATAAGGCGGAAGTATTGTTGTTAAGGAGAAAGCTTATTCTGGATGGGGTTGTGGTTCTCTACAAACAGACTGGCAATTGGAGAGAGCACTTTGAACTCTGCTGCCACTGGATTCGCAGGTAATAGATATTATTAGGAGAGCATTGGCACACATATGGCTCTAGTGCCAAGTATAATCCTTCTTGAACTGACCTGGTTTAGCAACAATCATCATCACCCTGGTTACAACTCATATTGATGAATGCAATGGGACTATTTTTAAAAAGCATCTAAAAAACACAAGTGGTCTAAAATGTGGTCTAAAAGCCAGATTTCTAATAGGAACCAGGTATAGGGACAAGGTGTGCTGGCTACCAGTTGTCCACTACCTAATGTGCTAGGGCTGACCTCTGAAGCTTTAAGCACCTTAGGACCTCCCTATCTGAAAGACTACCTTTACCTCTAAGCACTTGCCCATTCGATTCCTGTGTGTCTGTGCACGTGTGTGTCTGCATGTGTGCGTTCACATGCATGTGTGTGCACGTGCACAGTCTTCACTGACTCCTGGTAATTACCTGGACAAGTCCCTGCAGTTTTCTTGGCAAGAGTTTTGGAAGTAGTTTGTCACTGCTTTCTTGCTAATCCTGAGAGAGAATGACAAGCCCAAAGTCACCCAACTGGCTTCATTCAACTCATGCTCTCCTGGTGTCTAGCCTGGTGCTTTAAGCAATCTGGCTTTCTAATAATAAATAAATACCCCAAATACAGATAGTCCTCAACCTATGACAGTAATTGATCCCAAAATTATAATTGTAAGCTGTTGCACTCAGTAAGCGGTCCCTATGTGACTGGACCCACTTTAATGATATTTTTTGTGGAAGTCATTAAGCAAATGTTATGGTCATTAAACAAGTCTATGGGTTTTGTTTTGGGTTTTTTTGCTGGAAACTGGTAAAAAACATTTAAAAAATTGCAATCGCATAACTGAGGGATGCTGCAAATAGCCGTAAAAGTGAGCTGGTCCCAAAATGTGATCATGTGGCTTCAAGGGTATGCATGTGCAGCTGTCATAGTTTCAAGATTTGATCATAAATAGCTTTGGGGGGAGGGCATTATAAATTCAAATGGTCACTAAGTGACCAGTCATAAGTCGAGGACTACATGTAAAAAGAGCTTGGGTAGACTTACCTTTCCAATAGTATTCCTGCATTTGTTATTATAAGCTATACCTCAGATTTTGGAAATTTAAATTTTGAAAACCTAAAAGGCAGAAGCAGCCTAAAATCAAAACTTGATCTTACAATGATCAAGTCCCAGGGTCCTCTTGTAGCCATCATCATCCTCAGGACTCATGTCCTCTGAGTCCCACTGACTGGAGATTTTGAAGAAGTTGCCACATGCTCCGTAAGCACAGCACTGGTAGGCATAGGGAACCTCCAAAACCCTATGAAGAAGAACATAGGATTATCAGTTATGGTATATGGGTGTAGAATATGCCTTTCTACACCCATATGGGCATAGAAACAGATGTTGGAACTAAAGTGGTTTTTTTGTTTTATTTGAAAATTGTACATGGGAAGGCATAAAGTTAAGCTGCAGAATTCCCAGATCAAAGATCTTGACCCTTTAACACTCTCACAATAGAAGGGCATTTTGCATGGGTATTTTTCAAGCAGACTAGTAAACAATCAATAACCCTCCTTCCACACAACTCCTAAAGGTACAGAAGATCATCATTCTAAACATAGCAAGAGACCAATGTCGATTACTTTGCATGTAATCGACACCCAGCACAATAGTCATGTTTATTGCATTCTCAGTATATCACGTAGTATAGTAATATTGAAGACTAAGATTATGCTGTGCATGTCAGTCCAACTAGCACCCAGAAAGAGGGCAATGAACAAGAAGCAGGAAGTGCAGAAATAAACTTGTTTAGGATACCTTTGCCAAAAGTATAAAAAATGACAGCCTTTCGGAAGTTAGTGAAGAATGAACATTTCTGCATAGCTACTCAAATGTAATTATTCACCATCAGTATTTTATAGTCCTTTTATCTTACACTGTCAGGTTTATTTTTTTGGTTTTGCTTTGTTATGAGTTTGCGTGGTGTTATATTGTAAAGAGACAATCCAAAACTTAAACCTTTCAGGGTTAGAAATTTAAATTGGTAAAGGTAAGAAATTTTTATGATGTCCAAACTGCTTCTTTTGATTCTGGATATGTATGCATGTATGTATAAATAAATATATAAATCTTGATTAATTTAACCATCACTCCCTCTCTCTGGAAACTAATTTTGTAAATATGATTAAGAATTCCTGATAGATAATTTTTAGCGCCATTTTCATAGAACTGTATTTCCCAAGATTGTTTGGGAAAGATAAAACAATTAAATGGGCATAAATAAGCATATGCTTGTATTATATGTTTGTGCCTTCCTAGTATTCTCTGTGTTTTATATTCCTTTATATTCCTGCAAATACAGAGATCATTCAATCTCTTTATACAAACAGAACTAATCTTGTATTAGCTGCCTGTATTATAACCAAATGGGTGCTTTCTTTGTATCAGACTGATAGGTTACCATGCTGATTGCTTTGTGAATGTGAGTTTGGATGATGCCCATGACAAGCCATTCAATGGCTCATCAATTTCTCAAGTCAATGATGAACACAGAGTGCAAGCAGAAGCTGCTCAAACCTTTAGCTGAACTGAATTATATGGTACTGCCTAGTAAAGACATAGACAGTAAAAGGCAGATCAAAGTAAATTAGGTTTTAGCCTTGGGAAGCCAGAAATTAGAAATGAAGTTCACCGTATCTTGGGGAAACTTTCTTTAGGGAATGCTTCAGACAGTGCAGGATTGCCTTTGAGCTTCAGATGAGTCAGTCCACCCAAGCCAGCCAATGGAAGCATCACCAGTTGATTGTCAGTCAAATCCCTGTGACAAACAAAAGCACAGGACCCATTGGAATAGATAGAAAGTGGCGTGGGGGACTCAGTGCAGCAGCATCTCAGAACATTGCTGCTTCAATTAGGTTTTGCGTTCGGTTCTTGATTATTTTAAAGCTAATAAGTATTTTTGGGATGAGTTGATGGGCTTTTGCTGTGAATAAACCAAGAAAGAAGCACGTGTCTCTATCAGGATTAAGAGTAAATTGATATCTATGCTTTTGTATGCCTTTTAGAACCAGGCCTACACCAGGTAATAAATTAGCAGCAGTGATGAGTTGGGACTATGCTGTGCTTGTACTGTATGGGGACAGGCAGGAAAAGTTTGATCAGTGGTTTGGCCCTAAAAGAAGCAGTTAAGACTGCCAACCTGTAAGAGAAGAGATTAAAATAGCTTCTCTCATGTGACATAGTTTTGATATCTTAGAAATGCAATATGAATGCTTGGCTCTATAAACAGATTTACTGTATTCCTTTTAGTCTCATACATGGTTGTAGCACATTAACAATGCAGAACATGGTAAAAATCAGTATAACGATCCGTTATACTCTGCAGACCATTTTTATTAGTCCCAGCTAGCCACTCACCTTACAACCACAGCTTTTATAGAACTAGGGGCACCATTACATTACATTAGTGTCTTTATATTTCAGTTTTCTACAAAACGCAATAACTAAGATGGCTAAAACACAAAGACTCATAAAACAAAACATAATTAAGACACAACAACAACAATGAACTCCCGGAAAGAACATAGACATTTTCTGGGGGGAAAGAAGCATATATTCTTATATTTATGAATTATGTTCGATATAGGAAAATGTAGTATTATGCTTAGTCCATCATTTTGACAGTTCTGCCTTGCTTCTTCCCTATTACAGACTCTGATACTTCTACTTACGGTTGCAGTGTCACCAGTTTTGAATACCTTATTTCAATCAATAAGATATCAATATTATATCCAAATATTTCCAGCTTAGATGATGAAGCTTAATAGTTTGCTATTTCTATGCAGGCTACCTAAATTTGTCATGATTCCTTGAAGCTAGGGAACTCAGTTTGTGTACCTGATCTTCTATCTTCAGCCATCATCTTTAAAGAAACCAAACAGATTTTTCTTTTTTCTCCTTCTGTTCATGCATTTTATATCTTTGCCATATATCATCCATTTATGTTTAAGCAATGAAAAAAGGGGAAGGCACCCTTAAGCCAAGTTAATCGCCAGGTCACTACAATAGTTGATATGTCCATATAATTTACTCAGCAATAAAACCAAAGTGGTTTGCCATGGCCGCCTTCTGGGAAATTTCCCAATCACCCTAAGGCTTAAATGTCTATGGAGAGCATATATCTGTCCTATGCAATATAACTTACAGCTTGATGAGGGAATGAAGAGTCAGAAAAGCTTCAGAGTGGATAAACTGAATGTAATTCCAACTCAGGTCTCTGCAAAGCAAAATAGATATTGTGATGGAAAATATGCTTTATATTAGTTTTTCCCAATTTGCTACACTCTAGGTAGCAATTTTACTTACAATAATTGATTTATATATATATATTTAATCAATTTTGTTGTCTGGGAATTATCAGAATTATAATCCAACATATTTAGAAGGCATTAGAGAAGTCAAATGTCAGACTATAGATGCTGATCCTGTTGCTTTGCACAGTTACCCATTATAACCATATGTTACCCATTAAATTCATATGTTCAATTTAATTATTGGGATGCCAACTTTTTGAAAGTCAAAGAGAATTTCTGAGAATTCCTGAATTGTGCTCAGAGAAATTCGTGTTTGCATGAAGACTTATGGATAATTTCTCTTTTGCAGAATATCTGTTTTTATTAACCACACATGTCTTTATTGCAACTGTATTGGAAATCCATTTTTAGCAGCCATATTTTCTTATCTGACTTGGTCTACATTCCACTTTTTATACATAAACAAGTGTTATACAGTTTATACAGTTGGTATACATAATACTTGCAATCTGCTGTGAAGGACATTGATTAGAAGAAGGCAACACAGTACCATCTAAACCTTAGATGACAATTCCTATCAGCGTGTGCTGGTATGAGCAATGGCAAAATTGCCTGGCACTGGGTTTTAGATGTACTAGGGAATTCTTTAAAAATAATAAATTTAAAAATATAAAGTATCTGGTAACATAACAAGCTATTTGAGGTGGCCAAATAATTTCTGGGGGAAAAAAAAACCTTTCTATAACAAAGCTGCTTTCAGAAATTCCAAAGACTTCTTATTCTCAATTGTGCCCTTTGCATGCAAAATGATTTCCAGGTCAAAACAAATTAATGGATAATTAATGATAGACCTCTCTCTCAGTGAGGAGATAAAACAGATTTTCTTTTCCATCCCCATCTCTCATTATACCTGGAAGTGCCCCACATTTGATGAATGAAAGTAAACTCAGGAATTGTCGAAGTGACCTAATTATTTGATGCCATCTCTATAGTTATTGCTTTCCATGTGCCATTGCCTTTCATGTATAGTACTTAACTAGGGCTACCACAAATAGTCTTCAAAAATTTGGTGACTGATAGATTATTTACTGTCATCTAGTCGGCATCCAAATATTTTCAGCCCAAATACAACAATACGGAAGCATAAGGAGCAATGAACATGGAAGTAATTCTCCATATGGCAGCTTATACAAGTTTTCTGCTCTCGGCACTTTTGTTTCTACTATTATCCATTTGGAAAAAGCTCTTAGAAACTGGAGCATTTTTCCTGGTTTGTCTTTTTCCAAACTTTAAACTTCTAGTGTTTGTGCGAGAGAGAGATTGTGTGCCTCTGTGCACATTTGAATAAGTTATGTAGTGCTATTAAAATATCTTCAAACCCATATTCCAAAACATTTAGTCAGGAAACTGGTATAGAGAAAGGGACAGAAATCAACACTCGGGGCTTTGAGGTTAAAAGAATTGGCATATAATTACTTTTTGCAGAGCAGTTAAAACAGTTGACAGGCTAGCAAGGCAAATTAATGGTGAATCTTGTTTATTAAATATTTTGTAGATAAAAAAAATGGAAATATTTTGGAATGTGCATCAGTGTCTCCTCCTGTTTGTGATTTTGAAGAAGGTAACGTATCGTAGTTTTTTCAAGCGTGTGTGAGAGAGAGATGACACTACAAAGGCAGCTTTCCCCAATATGATGTCTTCCAGATGAGTAGAACTTTCACTCCCCAAATCTTTACCTAGCACAATCATTAGCCATGCTGGCTAGTGATTGTAGAGTCAGAGGACATATATTATAACCCAACATTTCTGGAGAGTACCAGGTGGGAAAGATTTATTTTGTGTTCATATTTTAAACTCATTTTGTAGAGTGCTTTTGTAGGCCTGAGTCTATGCTTAACTATATTGGGATCAAATGTTGGGTGACCATGGGCTAACAGGCCAATTCGTTTGAAGAATTCTTTATATAATTGAGCCTGTAATCTTGTCAAGAGCACAAAGCCTTACTCAGTTCACAATCTCCTGACTCTTTTCTTCTATCACAGAAGGCCCTGAGAATCCCCTGCTGGCTGTACTTACAGGGAGCGGAGGGCTGTGAGCTGCCCAAAGGTGTCTGCTCCAATTTCGTGGATACAGTTGTGCTGAAGGCCACTGCAAAGACAGAAAGGCTGCAATGAGAGAGAAAAACTTGCTTCACTGGCAACAGAAGAAAGCACTTCTGCGAAGAAGGTTACATCCATTAAGGATTGCATGGGATTCAAATTTCAAGGGGAAAGTGGGTCAAGGAACATACCCACCCAATTCTCTCCCACCCTTTCCCCCCTGAAGAGCCTCAGGCTTGGGGCAGTGCACCATTCAAATCAAAAGCGTGCAAGTAACAACGTTTCTTTTTACCAAGAGTTCCCAGGCCTCTTCAACATCTGCTCCTGCTATGGAGCTTGGAGAGCTCCATGACACCAGATGATATTCTCAGCCACAAGAATACCATATCTAAAGGGAACAGGCAGAAAACACTGGGGACTCTGTGCTTTCATGTCTTGCTTTCACTGTAACCTTTGTAACTCAAACTCAGTTACAAAATATTTTGGAGGGTCCCATTATTCTCAGCACCAGAACAATACAAAGATTAATTCAAGCTTTTATGTTATCTACTGGGCACAATAAGAAAGGAAGGTTTAGTTTACTTTACTTTACTTTACTTTATTGTCAGTGTACCTCATACAAAGAAATTAAATGCCATCTTCAGTGTATGTTATTATAAAAATAAAACACAAACACACATCCTTCGCATTCTATGCAATTGAATTGAAAACCCCTGATATTGCATTAATATTGCACTATACAGTAGAATTCAATATAGTTACTGCTCTGGGATAGAAGCTGTTTTTCAGACTATTTGTCCTTGTTTTTATTATCCTATATCATCTGCCACATGGTAATAGTTCAAAAAAAAAGGGTGCCCAGGATGAGATGGATCTTTCAGAATGTTTTGAACTTTCTTAAGGGAGCTATAAAGCTCTTCCAAAGAGGGGAGAGGGCAACCAATGATCCTCTGGGCAATGATGTTAACCCTCTGGAGCGCTGTCCTATCTGCCACTGTGCAATTGGCAAACCATACACAGGTGCAGTAAGTTAAAATATTCTGTATGGTGCAGGGGTAGAAGGCCACCAGCAGTTTTTCATTCAGTTGCTGTTTCCTGAGAAGTCTCCGGTAGTATAATCTCTGCTGGGCACTTTTGGCCAGTGCTGCAATGTGAGCGCCCCAGGTCAGGTCCTCTTTTATGATAACCCCCCAGAAACTTAAAGCTGGCCACTTGCTCCACTCGGTCTCCATTGATAAGCAAGAGCTGGATGTATGATCTATTCCTTCTATAGTCCACTATAAGCTCCTTGGTCTTACTGGTGTTAAGGACCAAGTTATTGTCTCCACACCATGAAAGCAAGCGGTCCACCTCATCTCCAAGGTGGGAGGGCAGAGAGTGATAGAAAGAGAGAAAGAACATCACCGCCCCCCCCCCAAATCTCTGAGATATAAAATTTTCAGAGGAGTCCAGACTAGGTCATTGTATATCAGGTTTAACCTCTCAGTTGTTCACACATACCTACTTGGTTACTTGGATTTGGGGATTTCACAGCAAAGCTTACACTTACATTTCTTCCAGCTTCTGGCACTGGTGAAAACTGGGCAGTTTCTCAATGTGATTGTGCGCAAGCTCACTGTATGGAAAATAACAAAGGTTAGAACAAAGTCAGTCTTCTTAAAGGCCCTCTTGGCATGCATCTGGTACACAGGAAGGGAGTGCATGACCTCAGGCTATGCAGCTGGGGAAGCAGGAAACCCCACAGACAGGTAAATCTTCTTGTACCCAACTGATGTTTGGCACTGTTCCTTTTATTCATTTCATTATCTGGTATTATTCTTTGATTACCCCAATCCATTTCTTATTAACTTGTCTATTACGTCCAATTTAATAATAAAAAAATCCAGTGCTATAAACAACTCTTATCTAGTGTTTCTCCAAGACAACAGAAGGGCTTTGAAGCCCTTCAATAACAGCCCAAATATTAAGGGACAGTCCAGCAACAAGTGTAAAGCTGCTACGAGTTCTCCATCACTGCTTTAGAAGATGACCAACACACATTGTCCCCACATGTAAGAGCAACATAACATAAGCTTTCATGCTGCTTCTATTTATGTAAGGTATTTTTGAGTGATGTTCAAAATAACATAACTTAAAAAGAATAGAATAAATAAAAAATGTTCAGCAGGGACACATCCCAAATATTAATAAATGTAATGCCATTACATCACTTTAAACAGCTTTGTTTGTGTGCTGGGAATGTTCAAGTGCTCGATTCTTATTCTACAGCCCTCCCCACCCCCGCCCTGATGTCTCAATTGTAGCAGGGTTTCCATCAACTTGCACTAAAGCATTTTTGATTTCAGATATGATTTTTTTTTCTCTCCTCCCTCCCCACCCTTGCTTTTTTGCAATCAGGGCTCTCAATTTATGCAAGAAATCTGAAAAAGGACACAGATATAATCATACCATTCCCTTATTATCAGTTCCTGAAATGGAGAAAGGAGGCAAATGAAACACTTGTCACGACTGTACAAAAAAACCCTTATAGCAATAGCACTTACACTTATACACCGCTTCATAGTGTTTTTCAGTCCTCTCTAAGCAGTTTACAGGCTCAGCATATTGCCCCCAACAATCTGGGTCCTCATTTTACCCACCTCGGAAGGATGGAAGCCTGAGTCAACTTTGAGCCTGGTGAGATTCAGCCTGGCAAATTGCAAGCAGCCGGCAGTCAGCAGAAATAGCCTGTAGTACTGCATTCTAACACTGCGCCACTGTGGCTCTTATATCTGATCAGCAAAAGACCTGTGAATGGTGTATTGGTAATAAAGGCAATTCCCCAAAGCCTGAAGAAAGCAAAATGCACGTATAACTCACAGAACTCGTAGGCTGGCCAACTGCTGACACATTCCTCCAGGAAGCAAATGGATTCCAGCCTGGGTTAAAGTCCTGCAGGAGAAGGGGAAAAGCATACTTCACACCATCCTTTACTTCTTCAAGGGCTCAGGATAGCCCAAACCAGGATAGTCAGTGGATAGATTGTTCAATGAATGATTGGTGTTACATGAAAAGATATTTACCACATAGCATGTGAATATCTCCTTGGCATTGTGGCACAATTTCCAAGACTATAATGTACTCAATTATTTGAAGGAAATTAAGAAAACAATACAGAGATTCCAGTCCCCCCCCCCCACCCCCGAGTTTCTAAACTCACATAATCCTCTGTTATCCAGTAGAAAAATGAAACCGGGAAATGGATATATAATTGGTTCTACAGCTGTGCTTCGGTAAAACAATGCAGAATAATGGTACTTTTCCAGATATAGGAAGATACAACGATTTATGTGAGGTGGCATTGCTAAAAATGACGTGCAAACATGCTTTCTCAGTTTTTCACTTTCCTGAAAGATTATGTTTTTGGGAACAGGGATGGGAAAATGATGGTTCTCCAGATGTTGCTCAACTAAAACTCACAGCTGTCCCAGTCTGCATCACTGTGGTAAGGAATGCTGGGAGATGCAATACAGCAACAATGTGTGCTGAGTTAGCATCTGATACCAAATGAGAGCAATTAGGCTGCTTCTTGAGCATGACAGAAATTTGAGTAGGCAAAATATGCATTTTGGGTCAGAAATGAGGACATTGGCAGTATCTTTCTGCCTTAGAAATCAGTGACACAACACATTCAAACATATAACAGCATCCACAGCAAAGCACAATGATGCCAAAATGACAATATGAATTTGATGACATCATTATGCAAATAAATAGTTGCATCCTGATGTCTAATGCGAATCTCACAACTGGCAGCAATTGCATGAGGGTATAGTCACACAGGTTTTATCTTTTCCCTCCTTACTTCCTCTCTCTGGGGCTCTCACGCACAGAGATGTTCACAGGAGGGGAAAGCAAATGATGAAGGTACTGCAATGTCATGACACAAATGCCACCTTTATGCACACTATGCATAAATATGAAAGAACAGACCTTAGGTTATTTATATCACAATACTATTTCGTCATTCCGTCATCATCAGGATTAGAATGAATGCTTATGATATTACTTGTAAATATAATTGGAAGATGGGGGATCAATAAATGGCCCTGAATTTTATGGTGCTGGTTCTTACATAATTTGAAGTACAGGATTTCCAGCAAATGCTTTCTCTGGAATAGCCTGGATGTTGTTGTTATGGAAGCCCCTTTAAACAAACAAACAAAAATGCTAGGATGGTTAAAAGAAACAGAGCAAGAAAAGTAAAATTTACTGCACAGCTGTATGAATATTGATTGAATGGGACAAATGGACAGATTTTTCTTTTGCTGAATCCACATGGCTGGAAGCTGACATAAATCATGATTCCCAGCTGCACGAACATGCAAACATATTAATAATTTTATTTTATTTGCCAAATAAGCAATTCATGTATCCTGCATGAAAACAAAAATTGTATTTGAATCCTCCAGCTACTCCATCATATAAGTATGTTTGCGTGTATAGTTTTATGGGATGTAAATATGGAATGAAAATTGTAAACCAAATACCATAATTAACTTTTTAGTAAATCTGAATTAGAGCAATTGTCTAGTATCATATGGCAATCAGGAGTTCTATCATTAGAGTATGGATTATCAAGCACAAGAGACATCCTCTTTGTTCAAAGAAGTCAACAATGTAAACTTGAAAGTCTACATCTGTATCCTGGGAGCAGTGTAATTTTATGTCATCAAGGCAACTAAAGTATTCAGTTGAGGTGAATGCAGAAACTGGAAGCATCATCCACACAATTAGGAGCATGCGGATATACAGTACCTTAATGCCTGGGAAATCTACTCATAATGCATGAACCTTGCTTGAAATGTCACAAATTGTCCATGTCATAAAAGAATGAATGGACTTCAGTGAGGTGGAAAAGAGAATTCTACCGAAAGTAATAATTAGAAGCCCAAAGCTTTTTCTGGGAGCCGAGAAACAGCAGGAGCAGCAAAAATTAGTCAAGGAAAAAGGAAAAAGAAAAGTATATCCTGTCAGTTCTGTGTGCTTTTAATGGCTCTATCCAGACCTATAAGTGTGTACATATGTCATCACTGGGGTCAAAGCCATTGTTAATAAAGCTCACAGCAGATTCCATGCTGGTAATTAACAGTATGAAAGTTTTTCAATACATTAATGATGTCTGTGAAACATTTACTGTCATGCAGGATATGATCAAGCAGAATTATGGAGAAATGGTGAAAGAATGCCCATTAGGGTTTGGGATGGTAGTTTGCCCACATTAGAGTTGAGCCCAAATGATCTGTTTGAACATTATTCTTACAGAAAGAAAATAAAAGTCTTACAGCTCTTGAAGTCTATTGAGTGACTTAATCGCCACTGGGAATTCCACCAGCTCATTATAATTTAGGTCCCTGGGAGAAAAAATAAAAGTCAAAATCAACATTAAGAATTTTGGAAACACTCACCAGAGTGTAACATATTGCAAAGGATTAGGAACAGTTACTAGGAGATGAGTTTTCCAGAATCATTCTGTCACATGACTTTAAAAAATCATGATATTTCAAAGAGATGTTATAAGAATCATTTGGTCTGGGCCCAAGTAGCCTAGAATCTCAAAGGGAAATTGTGGGTTGGGGTTTTCTTTTTTTTTTTTTTTTGGCTCTATAACAATTGTTCCTGGTGTCTTCCCTTATATATGTGCAGACTGCCATTTTAGTTTAACCTAATATTTTAGTGTCCTGCTCTATTCCCTTTATTATCCTAAAATAATGGGAATATAAGAAAATATTTTTTCTCTGTCTGACAGCCTCCATATTTGTTGAAAACACATCTGGCTGAGGATTCTTGGAACAGTAGTTCAATACATTTGGAGGATCCCAGGCCAGTAAAGGCTACTTTAGTGTATGTTTAAATGTTACACTTTCTTTGAAACTCACTCTGACAGCAGCAAGAGCACCCTTGAAGCTAATACAGCAGCCTCAGTATTTGCTGCCAGGATAAATGATGTATGACAACTTTAAATACATGTAAAGAATGCACCTGCCATTCTAATAACCCATCATTTACTTACCTGGTTGACAGACAGGTATTTGACACATTTTCCAAAAGAGATAAAAGTCTAAAAATGTATTGTTCCCTCATTGGACACGTCACATATGGACTAGTTCCTGGATCTTAGAAAAATGGCAGAATACCCAAACTCTGATAAATATTTTTTCATACAGTCCAACCTTTAATACATGAGTTTGTAAAATTGCCCAAATGATGTTCTAAGGATGGTGATGCTGGAGTATCGTATATTATCACATGAATGAGCATCATTAAATATTTAAGGAGAAAGTGAGATTATACATGCTCTTTGTGTGATAAGGTCCTCAATATTAACACTTCTTTTCTGTGGTCAAAATGTGTCATTTGTACTTTCATTTGTGGATTTGAATTAATCCAGATTTTTGTAGAGAGGATTCCCCAGAATTCTATTGTTAAAATAGTGGTTTAATGAAAATATTGTTTTCAGTAGTATAAAAACTTATCAGTCATAATAATATTTTTATCGTTGGGCTTTGATGGATAGATGGAAATGAATGTATCCATAAAAATCACATAATTACAATTTCCTTGACATCTACCATTTCAATTCCAAGTATTTCTTTCCTATGATATAAGTTTTACATGAGAATGAAAAGTTGGTACAAAGTTAGCAAATCCCAAAGGTTCTTGACATTGTTAGATTAGCACCATTTCAGATAAAGTTTTTATAATTACTTGTAAGGAATCAAAGCATGAAAAAAAAAAAGTTTTGTTAGAGACAATATACCTGATGCCACGTTAAAAGACCACAAGATGATGGACAAATAGACAGATAGACAGACAGGCAGACAGATGTGAAATAAGTAAGTTGATTCATAACCAGTTTGTTCTCTGTTTATATACAGTAGCTTGCCACTGTTGGTAGAGATATGGATTTTTTCTTCAGTATTCCCCCTTAAGTAGAGAATCATATCACCATCAATACTGGCAAGGTAAATTATTGTATATAAACCCCACATTCAATAGCATTGAGTGTTGACATATAGCAAATAAGCTATCCATATGTCTAGCTCTATAATGAAAATAATGCTAAGCAGAGTCTTCTGTGAATCCAAGGAAACTGGCAGCCCTATGATCTATTGTAGAAATGGTAGACAAAACAACACATTACTTGACAATGAATACAATTAGCAACAACGCCCCTTTTTGTGTGTTTTTATACTTCCTTTTAAAGTGCTCTGATCCAACACCATTTTTAAAAATGTAGTTGACTAGAAAGGCAAGAATTTTTGGCTTGCCTTTCTAGCCAACTACATGTACCTACAGGAATAGTTCTTCCTCCATGAATACTGGCATTCTTTGTGATGTTGAGAGCAAATTGTATAAAGCGTCTGCTTGGCTGAGATAGTATACATGGCATTTTAAGCAGGTCTGTGTAAAAAAAGGAGCCGTCAATGAATTTAGTCTGCAAATGCATTTCTTGAAAAAAATAAATTATATCAGACACAAACAATCTGTTCGTACAGTGAAGTAACTTTCTCACAGGTTATTCTTACAAATATTAATTTTAGCAAGTGCAAAAGAAGAATGCTATTTATGAAGCCTTTGTAGTTTAAGCATGTGCATTTGGAGAAAATTGAATGGATACAACTGCAGAATGGAAGGAAATAAATGTTAGTGCTGGAGGAATATTGACAGAGAAGATCAACATATGCCATTAAAAATATGAAAGAAAAATCGCATAGGTACAAGGAGAGACCAGGAGAGAGAATACATTTAGACAGAAAAAAACCACTTAATTTGAGTACTTGCCAAGACTTAGGTACAGAATGTATTTCAATATATGAAAAACAGAATTTGAAAAAAAACTACCATAGATAGTGTTTCTTTCACTAACGAGGAACCAAAGCCTGCATTTCTCCCATATTCACTTTCTGGGGGTGGTGATATTATTTGTTGTTATAGATAGTAGATGGCTACATTTAAGAACTTTTGTCAAGATAATTTCTAGAAAAAAAAGAATTATTATAGCGCAAATCTGAATGAAACAACTTCCTCAGTTTTACAATACTTTGACTATCCTCAAGTCTTTAGGATTCTCTCTAGGTCAGCCATCCCCAAATTTTTGTCTTCCAGCTGTATTGGATTACCAATCTGACTATACTCAAGAAACATCTGGAGAAGATAATTTTATGGGAGGTTACTCACAGTAAACCTTGCCACTGAAAACTGCGCCAGGGACATTTCTCTGTAGTACTACTGTGGAACTGATGACTTCACAAGGGCATTGTGTGCAATAACAACAGCAACAATATTGAATTATTTATGGACTGAAATAAAGATACCGTAGGCTATTAAATAAGTATTTAAACTGAAATATATTACCGATGGCAGCAATGTAATACCATGTAACATTCAGGATGTTAACTTTGGCAGGTTATTCCCCATATTTCATAATATTTCTGAAAGAGACACTGTTCTAGGTTTGTTAATTCCTTCAGGCTGTGCAAGTAGACTATTTCAAACTGTGAGATCTCATTTGCTTTTTTATTACAACCCCTAGGTCCATTCAATGGCAGCAAATTAAAACCCAGAGTTCACAGGTAAAACACAGATAATTCAAGCAAAAGAAGAGAGCAAGTCTAAGCTGAAACCCAGCCAAGAATGCATAGTTAAATTTATATATTTTTTTCTAGAAAAATCAAGTTCAGTTTTTCTAATGACATTTTCTTTGTTTCAGTTGTTCAATAGTGGAAGTAAGGGTAGAGAAAAAGCTATCTTGCTGTTGATATTATTGAATAATTGGGAATAAAAAAATTCTCACTTTCTACAACAAATTATTAAGAGATATTCCAATAATCCCTGAACTGATTAGCCTTTTGCTGACCCATGAACATCCAAAACTGATACGTAAATAAGCAATTAAGAAATTCACTATGGGAGATTTCTAGATAGGGTTGGAAACTTAGCCACACCATCATTTCAAAATTTCATTTATATCAAAATAGGCTCATTATTAACTCCTCTGCATTGTTTAAAATGCTAGCAGCTCTACATTTCAGACTAACATTTCTACTCTGCAGATACTGTTTCTCCTAGGAAAATACAATTTGGTCGCTGGCCAGATCTCACTTCAGTTTGGAAGGTGACTGATTGATTATCATAGGTATCAACTAGACAATATCTGGAGTATTATTTATGTTAGTTATCTAGGAATTATAGGAATTAAGATCCAATTTATGCAAATAGGATATCAAATTATCAAATTCTGAGTTTTGTTCAATAATTGTCATCTGACATCTTTTTAAAAATATTTTTAAAAAATAAATAACTCAAGGTGGCCATCTTACCTGATACTACTTCCTCCTACTACTTCCCGAGACTGAGACTTGGACTGAATAGGACAAAGTCACCCAGCTGGCTTTCATGCCTAATGCAGGAGTAGAATTCATAGCTTGAGGCATCCTTGGTATTCTCTGAGCTTGGTTATTTTCTTGCAGAAGTTTCATTACCCACACTAGGTAACTGATGATGTTACCTAGTCTGGATAATGAAACATCTGCAAAAATACAGCCAAACTCAGAGAACACCAAAGACCCCACATTTCGACCCTGAGCTACAAATATTCTCTTCATCAAGTCACGGTCTCCCTATTTCTTGTATTGAATACACAGGCCGCTTTTATTAGCAAAATCATTGAATAAAATAAAACAAGAAGAGAAAATGGAAGAATTTGGAATTCCGCCCCAAGCCACCAAAAGAAAAGTTTCCCCTTATCCGGACAACACAAACTAGAAATAAAAAAAATAATATGAAAAGAGATTATTACCATCCATACTAACAGCCTTCTGGAGCTCAGTGATACTGCCAAAAATAATGAGGAATGGGTGTGAGAGGAAAGATCATAAACTACTATGCAAATTTACAGCTGTCCAGTTAGGTTTCACACCTAGTATATCTTTTAAAGTTGGAATCTTTTAACATTTCTCTCTTTCTCCTGGAAAAGTAATATGCCAACTGAAGTTGTTATTGCTCTGGAAAACCTCCATAGACTCATATTTAGAACATGAATCTGTGTTTATTTAAGAGTAAAAGTAAATTGGCAGTAGCAAAATTATGATTGCTGGTTTAGGCTACTAGAGTTATTACCTTGAACCAACAACACACAGCTTGAGTCTAATAATAACTTGTGAGGGGGCAGAAAAAGGGAAAATAAAATAAGAAATCAGAAAGGGAGCAAGAGATGGTGAAAGCTTCAGCTTAGTGTTTGGCCTATTAGAAGCTAGTGGTTCTGCATAGGAAGCCAAGATGAAACTGCATGGAATGGAATCATCACTTCTTCCATAGAACACCACACATTTGCAGCTAATAAACCTATTGC